CACAATAAATGTCACACCTATCTATTCTGTCAATAGTACCAAGTATATGCCGTGCAGTGAAGTCACTTCACATCTCCTAAACAGCAAAGAACATAAAAGTTAATTACTATCATCAGCCTCAATTAAGAAATATAAATTGAAAGATCAAGGCATTTCTGGCAAAGTGAAATGCAAGTCGAACTGGTTTGAAGACATTTTAACCTGAAATTCGTTTTTAAATACGGCGAAAATACTGTAGTCAACATTCTAAAGAAACAAAGGGAACAGTTTTTAAAGATGTGGTAAATGCCTTGTTAACGATTAAAATAAAGGACCATAAAAGGAAATTTGTGAATTTAGTTATATCCACGCAATCTAGTTTTACATTAGCAAATACCTCTTGTGAAACACGATGTGTAATAATCGATTTCGCTCACATCCTTTTTCTCTTCCTAACACAAGTGTAACACTGAAACTAAAAGCGTAAATTAAAAGCAATTAAATAGGGAAGGACTTGAATCACACTCGAGAACAGGCAACCGTTTTCATGGTAACAAGAACGTCGCAAACTTAAAAAGTGTATGTTTATGTTTCTCTCTTGGCTGCCTAGCTGCATGCAAAATTTGAATTGTGGTTGAAGATTTTCATTTTCAAAGTTGTTTGATTCCTGAACAGACCAATTCTTAGCTATTCAAATAAAAAGTCTCCGAAAGATTAGATGTGCGACTGCAGAGGAAGAATGGGTTAGTAATGACTTGTCTGCTGGAATAAATAATTTATACATTGTTTTGTGTCTGTACCTCGATTACATTGTATTCCTAAACGTTCCTTAATGGCTGAAAACCGCTGACATGTACTTCAGTTAAAAGTCAGGGGAGCAAATGAGAGAAAATGTTTGTGAAGTTTTTGATCTTATCATTCTGATTCAAAGAGGTTGAGTTACTTATTATCTAGCGATGATTGCTCAAGTTTCAAGTTTTTTTTCATTGTAAAATTTGGCTTCCTATTTGGGCAAGTCAAACAGGTCTGCTTACATTTGCATTCATACGAGATAAAACACGTTAGTGGTAAAAACATATATCTACTAGTTTGTCTAATACGCACGCAGCCATTTGGCTCTAGTCAACAGTGGTTGACATTGTAAATGAAGAAGTAATTGATGGAAACGTGACTGATTAGAAGATACCTTAAAAGACAGTGAGAGATTATTGGAGCTTTCCGCGCTATGCGTGGTATAGTCAGCTTTTCCTCTCAACGACAAAAAAATTCAGTAACCTTCCAGCCATACACTGAGTTATCGTTCGTTTAGGTACTTTTGTCTACTAATATAAACGAAGCAGCTCTTTAAAGATTTTATAAACTTAGAAGACGATGCTCTTTGTGTCCTTGCTTTGCTCTTGAAAGTTTTTTGGTAATATCAAGAGTTACGCCTATATGATGCAAGGTATTCAAACGAAAAGCATGTAAACACTTAATTGGATCACATTCAAACACATTCGATGAGATTAAAACAAGATGTTCTTTGACGCGACCATCATCAGAGCTGAGATGAAAAGAAGCGTCGATGGGTTGCTGACTGACGATCCTCCTTGTTCTACAACAACTAAATTAAAAGATATTTCAAAACAAGATAATTATTAACACTTTGCTTAATTATGTCATTCTACTGTTGTAAGGGGCCATTCTTTATTATCACGGGGGGGGGGGGAAATGGGGGCGGAGATTTTGAAGGGGATTACGCGATTTTAACGGGGGAACGGAGGGGGAATCAGTCATCGCCAACAGAGTTTTAAGGGGGGGGGGGCGGTGGGATAATTATAATATTACAGAGCCTTACGGGAGCATTAGGTAAATTTTATCATGACACATCCAAAATCTTCCGACACACCCCCCCCCTCCCCTGGCAAAAAATAATGACCGGAACTTTACCATATTTTGATGTTATCTTTCGTCTGAGAGTGAACAAGCACTGGAAGAAAAAAATCTAAACAGGTATCGACCATTTTGAACCGACATTCGATCTCATGCACGCTGTATCGTTGCATCATAATTTATGACACGATATGATTACTGCTCCTATAAGGCTCGTACGGGCAAAGGAGACCTTGTTTGATGATGAATGTAGAAACTTTTAACGTCATGAGATTCAATTGTCATGATTGCTGGTATTTCATCATTCATTTAAGTCCTTTGTTCCCATTTGTTTTAAGTAGTATTCACAGTTGAAGACATTGTCATCGGTTTGATGGCAACTTGCCCCATGAGTGAAGCCTTACTTTAAAATTACTAAGGAAAATATGCCATCTTAGAGATGACTTCTGCAAACGATTAGCTTCTTAAGGCTTTCGGATGACGGCTATAAGCCTAGAGCCACGTCTCCCGCGCTAATTACGTTTCAAAGCTTGCAGGGGAGGGTAAAGAGCTAACGTATTATCTGGAAAAAAAGGGGAAGTCTCATCTTAGACTGTCACATTTACATGGTAGAGAGGAAGACTAAGAAAATAGATAACAGAACTTTACAAAAACGAAGTCCAGTTTACTTTACTTAATGCCAAGGTTGGTCTCTCCTAAATATCATGTAAGAGAAAAATGATAATGATAATGATAAAAACCAGTGCTGATATAATACAAACCTGCTTTAAATGAAGCTTTGAATCCCTTGTAAACAGTGGTAGAGTTGCTGTCACTTTTGAAATTAACCCAGACAATACTTCCTTTACTCTTTATTGAACCTGGCTTGGTTTTTCCACACAGTCGTTTGGTCAGTATTGGACCGGTGTCACCTTCGAAAAATTCGCCATCACTATCCTCAGAAATTGCTTCACGGAGCTCAACATAATCATTTCTGCAGTCTTTACTATCCTCCAGATCAAACGTGTCGAAGTCTATCTGGACTTGCCTTCCCACGGGAACAATTAAATACCACTCCTCTTCGCTATTTGTTGGGTAGTTCTGGCTGCCAAACTTTTGTGTGTCAAATGTAATGGTTTCGTCTTCGGGTGCATTGAGATAGTTTTTGACACCCCCTGTAAAGTAAACAAAGTTTTATTTTTGCTGCTTAAAAACCAAAAAAAAGCTCTTTTTTCTTATGCTTTTTCTGCACATTACTTTTATGGTTGGTTCCTTTTGTTTTGGTCTTGTTTTGCAGTAAATAAATAGACAGATAGATAGAATCTTAAATACGAAACAAAAAACTTGCTTCTTGCTTGTGGGTTCGTGTGTCCATTAAGTAAAACTAAACAAATAAGGATTGTTTATATTAAAACCTGAAGAACCGTAAGGCACTAAACTGATTATGATGACTTAGTTGAGAATAATTAAAGCTATACAGTTGAACATTATCTCTAAAAAATTCTCAAGCATTTCCGCGCCTCTTTATTATTATTAAAGTTGGACGCCACTGCCAATTTGCCGTGGTAGATATCAAGAATCCACAGAGATGAGCCTCGAATTGTGAGTTATTGTCTCATATATCTGGCATCGAACCTCGTCATAAAGAGACAGTCTCGTTCTAGTTAATAAGGCGGGTTTGTCGCCTAGTCTTGAATAGCGCATTCAGGGACAATTCGCTTTCACCATGGGCTGGCTGAGGACATCTTAGGAAAAGGTAGGCCGCCGAGTCCACCTCAGGACATCATTAGAAGCCACATACTTCGATTTGGTTTGTTCATTTACCCCTTACCTGAGTCTGAGAGAGCAGTAAAGGCGAGACTGAATCCTTTGTAATGTTCAGTATCATCCGACACGAAACGAATGTAGGCAATCGATCCTTGAACTCTTTGAAAATTCCCATCACTCCAATGGCCGAGATACTCGTACAAATAGTTGTAACTGCTTCGTCCACAAGTTTTACCAAGTTGCTGGTCTAAATCATTGTAGGTGTTACTTACTTTAAGACTGTCGCATTCACAATCCTTGCATGATTCTATGTCATAGCTACCAAAAAAAGACACAAACAGTTAAAATCCGCTCTCTCTTCTCATCCAGCGATAGATACACAGCACCTCATATGAATCCTAAAGTTACGAGGAAGACGAGGAAGGGACTGAGACGAGAACAATTATGGAACAACGGGGGACCAAATTAAAATAGAAGCCTATGTTGTTTACCAACTGTAAATGCTAATAACAGTAATTACGATCTAGAGAATTTTGAAAGTGCCTTCCGACAGTCGGAGAAAACCGCGGGATTTGGGGTTGTGTTGGGGTTATTCAGTGCAGAGTGGAGTCATGCCGCTAAAGTGAAAACGGTAACAGATGAAGCATTAAATTCACTGAGAAACGTTCGTTACTCTTTGGGAAAAAGGTGTTAAAGGCATTGTTGCCGGTCAGTTGTAGGTGAAATACGCTTAAACAAATGAAATATTTTGGGCATATGCACCACATGAAGAGTTCCAAGGTTCGTTTGCCAAATTTGCTTTTAGTCCAAATATGTACATTTCTTCTTCTTGCCTCGATAATCTAACCCTCAAGACAAACCGTGTCTTACGGTATTTGATGAAAAAAGCACCATGTACTTTCCAGAATCTTTCGGCGGTTTGTTTTGGAAATTTCTCGAGGGTCAACTAGTCAGCAATTATTCGCCGACGGCGAAATGAATATTGTTCAATAATCCTCGAGAAGTTACCTCTACGACATTGAAAAACGCGTGGTAGCCATTTTGAAATTAAGCGCTCCTGCTACAATCACCTCGCGGGAGGTGATTATAGCAAGACATGACGTAATCTGCGACCAATCAGAGCGCTTGCATCTCTATAATCGCCGGAGCAATTACACTGACCTGTTATATTGAAATCTGATGCCTTGATATGTGTCAGTGACTTCAATTTTCCAACACTTGATTTCATTCGCGCCATAATTACCTGACGTGGGATATTTGAGCCTACCACTGGATGCTGTGATGTATGTTATACCATTGGGACAAACTGTTACAAAAGAAAAATGTGGAAACAACAAATTATTCCCACCGACGTTGCTTACTAAGTTTTGCGTGTTTTTCATTTATTTACTCCTACAGGTTTCAACCAGCCAACTTGACTCGTTCAGGAAAGAAACTGTCCTAACACATAGTAAAAAAAAAAACTTTTGAACAACCCTTGAACTGGAAGACTTGCTGGCGTTAAATTTCTCTTAAGACTCTCTAAAGGCGAAACAATCGCGGAATCTTGACGAGATGATCACGTGGTGTAAGGAGCCGGATTATTACACGAATTTGCTGTCGTGACCTTATGTATTTATGATGTATATTTTATGGGGGAAAAGTGCGTGAACATGTAGGATGTAAACCTAACATAACTAGAACCTCCTTAACGTAAAGTTTCTTTATCTAGTTACTTCATAAAGTCTTAGTCAATTAGCTAGACTACTGAAGTTGATTTTTACGCATAACTTACTTGAATCACATGCTCCTTCTCCTAGGAAGACCGCCAGAACTGCAACAGGACAGAACAGTGGCGACATTAAGAACAATATTTATTGGAAAGGCTGAACGGCACGAAATATACTTTTCTTGCCTGCTTTTCATAATTTTTGCAACAAAGTGAAAACAAAGAAACACGACCGATATTTGCTTGCACCAAGTTGAGGCAGGAAAAGTCTGAGTCTCCTCACATCGATACTCAACAATTGTAACAGCTACAAATACCTCACTACTGAGCCAGGCTATATATCATACGCGTTTTATACTGCTGGGATAAACTGTCTGTCTAATTTGATTAAAAGACCAGCAAAGATGGTTGGCAAACGATGTTTACATTTGTTTTGAGTAAAACTATCGTTCAGGTGTCCTCTTGGATATATTTACAGACAAGATGAAAAAAAAAGAGACGAGTTTGAAAAGCAAAAGGTTTTCCATTTACTTTTACAGTAAATGCAGTTCAATATATATTACAGCTGGCTTCGATGCTTGCTAAACTTTCAGACAAAGAAAGAAAAAAGTGATCAAGATATATTGCTATATTATCTTTCCATCGCTGCCGTAAGATTCTTGAAAAATTTAGGTGAGATTTATTGTTCGCTTTGTCGACCAGAGTCAATTTGTTTATGTCAGTCCAATGTTATGGACTCCATGGCAACTGAAAAGGACACAACAAGTCGAAACCTCCATTCATAAGGATCAAAAAACGGATACTTTGGGAAACGCTTAGAAATAGACAAAACCATGTTAAAGTCAGTTGTAAATAGATAGTTGCCTTAAAAGCAAAATTGAATGAAAAGCTTTCTTATCGGTTTATGTGTTGCGAATAGGTGAATCGAGACAGGTCTAGAGTTAATTTAGGCAGTCAGGGTTATTGGGTGATCTCGACAGTTTTCGTGCAGTTGTGTCACCGAATATTTACAGGAAACTGTAGCTTAGCTGAATATCCACTGAAATCGATACAAATATAAAACAGCTACCTGCGGCGCCCTAACTTCGCTGTCTTTCTCTTTCGACGATTACAAAGAAAACGATTCATTCAGTGCGACCGTTATTTATTTTAATCTGTGTTTTTTCAGATCGCGCGAATAGGTTGATCTATGACACCTTTAATGAACTTACCAAGAGCTTCCGCAATCAAGAGGGATTGTTTTCGATGCATGATGACTATTTTCTTGTACTCTCTTTTCTTCAGTCAGATACAGTTGTCAGATCACCGTTGCCGACCTTCATATAAATCAGTAAATTGTCGAGAATGTTTAAAGAAATCAAACGGACCCCCTACGTCAAAGTTTGTTTGGTTTCTAAGTAAACATCAGACCACAAAGCCCTCCAGATGGATGAATCAAATTTAAATAATGACATACCCACAGTATGCCAGAATGTAATCTACTTTACTTTCAAACAGCATAGCTCGAAAGATGCTATGCTGTTTAAACACCCTGTCGTTAACTGAAGCAGAGAAGAAAGGAATTTGAAACAAATTGCGAAGTTTTTCAAAATGCTCAAACGTGAAAACATTTATCCTCGTCCATAATTGATCATGAGATCAGTGTGGTACAATTGAATGCATATAAGTTGATTTGCATGGTTTCCCATAAACAAAGAAGAAAAAAATAAAGCAAAACCCAGCCATATTATTGAATTCTACAGTCGATCATGAATACCAGAACACAGCAGTCGAGAAAACTTAGACATGTTATTTAAACACTAAGAATTATTTTCGAGACGTAAAAACCAACTCCGACTTAAAGGCGATAAGCTGTAGAGGAAGCAAATAGTCTCAAAAAGAAGAGAAATGAAACAAATTGCAAAATTTAGGCAATGTTTTTCATGGACCTTCAAACTTCCCTCCTTTGAAATCAGTCGCCTTCACAATTGAGACGTCCATAAGAATGAAAATAACAAGTAATAATTTATGTCTCATTCAAAATGGGCATCGGAGTAATTTATTCACACATTACTTGAATACAATAACATTTACTGTTTCCACGGTACTAACAGTATATGTTACACAGTGGAAAGAAGTCTTTCCAAAAATGAACGTTCTCTTCTGGGCTCGACCTTTTTAGATCATCTCTCTTCAAAAAATCTCGAGGTTTCAGGTCTCTCAGTGAAGCTATCCTGAATGATTTTATATCATTTCAGCACAAGTTGAATTGATGCGTACACAAAACAACAAAAACCGTTGTCATCCGAGCGATCTTCATGTCCGGTGAATTCGGCTGTCGTTCGTTTATTAAACACTCGCCTCAAACAGTTTGTTTTTTTTGGTAAACAGTGGAAAAAAGTCTCTCCAAAAATGAAGGTTCTCTTTTGAGCTCGACTGTTTTAGATCATCTCTCCTCAAAATCTCGATCGCGAGGTTTCAGGTCTTTCAGTGGAGCTGTCTTAAATGATTTTATATCATTTCAGCACAAGTTGAATTGATGCGTACACAAAATAACAAAAGCCGCTTATCTTAGTACAGCTGATGCAGGCTTTGAAGGCCTAACAATAGCGTAAATTCATGACATATAATAATTGACACGCGGTATACACGCGGTCAGTGGCATACAAGGGAAAAGCTAATCTCGACGTTTTGCGAAGTCTCTGCTAATATACCGCTTCCATTTATATAAGCACTCTAAAGTGTTTTTGTATGCATATCGCTTGACACAATACACAGTAAGGACCAAACCATCAATAAATTTGAAACTCAGAACACTTCAAATAATCACAATAATCATGATAAATAAAAGTAAATAATCAGAAATAATATATAAATAGAAAAAACTGATACTTATCAATATTTGTAAATGATGCTTCGTAGAGAAGGCTCTCCGCTTTAATCTCCTCAATAAGACTTTTTAGTTATCCGTGTCTTTTTGCACCATTGGATTTTGTCTGTACTAAAATATTAATTTTACTTTCTCAGCCGGAGGCGTAGCTAGCTTCTTGACTTATTGTAAGCGTTTTCAGAGATATGAAAGCGTACTAACCAAGTGCTTTCACGTTGTGCTCTTGTTGCATTTTTGTTATTCAAGCTAAGAACTCGAAAGGATGTCGTAAAGAATGTTCAATTTTTTTTTCAGCGTTTTAAGGAGTAATATTTTAAAAGTCAAGGGACGGGAAAAATTGCAAGTTACGCACCTTTCAATAGTTATGTTTAAAACGTGACGGTGAATACTTCGTTCGTTATATCCGAACCTTCATTGACAGGTTGTCTCCACATCTGTTTTTTCAGTTGCAGTGCATTAAGTCTGACACACAAAGCGCCAGATTGTGCACTTTTTTGTGGTGTTATCATAGACAAGCATGAAGAAGAGATATGAATGGAGATGCTAGACTGAAAGGTAATTTATTTGCTCGTAGTCTTCATTCCATTTTAATGTTTGCTTCATGTCTGTGGATCGTACCATCACAGCATTATATCGTTCCTTCCTTACAGCCTGCAGTGCAGCGGATGATTAGGGCGAGTTAACGTTAATTAGGAAGCTCGCTATCGTTTATTTGACATGTACAGGCCATGTTTGATTTGAAATTAGAGGTGAAGGGAAGGGGGAGAGGGGAAAGGGATTATCAATTGCCCCACCCCTCCATTCTCCTTCTTTTTGACCATCGCTCACTCCCTTAGTACCAATTTCTTTCTCTCCTTAGCCCTCCGCTTCTGCAAAATTAAAAAATGGCAATTAAATCGTACATGTACCTCCAATGAGTAGAGGCGCATTTTGTCTGCGCATGTTCGGTAAATTTTAGTTTGATGGGAGAAACCGTTGGTATGCGCCTGCGTTGGTTTGCAAAAAAAAAAGAAGCAGGAAAACTAGTGAATCGAGTACTTGAGACAACTTTCTTGTCATTTTTCCCTCTATAACTTAGATGGAAGCGGCAAAGTCTTCAAATTGTTATGTGGTGTGTGGAAAAAGTTATTTTGAACAAAAAGATTTTACAAACGACTTCGAGTTTTTTCTTGTGATTGTTTGGGCGATCGATGTAGATGATGTTATTTGTGAAGGATGCAAGAGGCCTATCGAAGAGCACAAACGAATTGGATAGTAACCTTTTATCGTGTCATTGCTATCTCAAGTTATCGTTGATCATTTGAAGTACTCACTTTCCTGTGAGCGTTTTTTAGAGCTTTAACTGTACTACTAGTACAATGTACTTCCAATTTCAGCGGAAGAATTAAAGTTTACGCAGGTTTATATCTTGTTTCAAAAGTGTTTTTTGACATGAATCACAACCGGCGGGGCCGAGGTCAACTTCGAGTAAAGAAAAGTAAGACAACGTTAGTACTAGAGATACGGTCGTTACGTCAAAGAGCTTGTTAGAAATGAAGCAATAATTATGGATTTTATCGGAGTAAGAAAAAGTATTTTCAATCATTAGCCTCAGAAATATCATCAAATGTGATCAATGATGTGGGGAAATTGTGAATTAGTATAGGTAATCGCATGGGCCGAGTAAAATTAAGGATTAATATCACGCGTGAGCAGCCACCACATGGTGTTAAGTAGAGCTCGGTGAGTGCATCCTCCAAGCTGGCCGTTGTGCCTGAGGACTTCTTCCTCTTCTTTTGTCAAACTTCTGGATCGATTTGGTAGCTTTCCTTTGCCTTGCTCTTGCAGTTTTCTGGCCTTCCCTTATAGGACTTTTCTGGAGTTAAGAAACTCCCTATCTCGGATGATAGACTTTACATAGGCTTTTGATTTAAGATATCTCACCAGTGATACCTGCATTACTTTCAGGCAGTCGGGCTCATAGTCATCCCCGTTTTCTTTTCGTAACTCGGCATAAAACTGCGACAGTTTTTGGTCGAGGACATCGCTCTCGCACTCCTCTAAATTTGCGTTTCATTCGCCCACTTTTTGAAAACGTTCTTCCAGTACTCCGTGCTTTTCTTCGTGTTTTCATTTTCGCTGTTATCTTTTAATTCTTCGATATATTCCCCGTCAACTATCTCGAAACGTGACGCCATTGTTACAGAGAGCTTTTTGGCAAGAATTACTCGATGGCATAAGCTGTTACTAGGCAACCTGAGAACCAATCGTGAGCAAGTAGTTTTGCCCCCTTCACAAGCAAAATTAAGAAAAAATACCCTCTTCATCCCCCTAGGTTATTAAAACAAGTACTAGTCCGGGCTTCCAGTTGCAATAAATAGTTAAATAAGTCAATTATTTCCAAATAAAAATCAATTCATTTATCATTTCAGCTGCACAGCAAAATCGTATACAATTTGGAACCTTATTCTTCAACCTATTTAATTACAAGAATTATGCGACAACATAGAAACTGTAGAGCTTGATATCTAACAGTGAGGATGAAAAAACAAAATATTTCCAAAAGACTTTTTTTCCTGGAAACAAGACCAAATGAAGTCAGATTGAACTAGTGTGGAGAAGTTTGTTGATCTCTTTATGAAAATGGATGCTTTACATCAGATTTTAGAGAAATGAGACTTAAGTCAAAAGAGGACTTTGACATTGCATTTTCTGCAGTAATAGATACCGGCTTGGATGCCTATTTGAGGATATTTATATTCAGAAGAAAACGGTTAAAGTACACTTGTCGTCCAGAAAATTTCTTAACAGTATGGAAATGTCTTTTGATCAAACATAAATGTGATTATGTTCAAGCAAAATTATTGCAATGGGATGATTTTAGGTAACTAATAGAATTTAAACAAGCCACGCACAATTGCGTTCAGAGTTTGTTTCGCCTACCGTTTTGAGAACAAAGATTTTATAAAAGAAACATTCTTATAAGTTCTGATATACTGTTGGTAATTGCAGTTGGTCATTTATTTGAATTAAAACGATGTGCAAATTTATCACGTTTTCCAACAAGAGTCAGTTGACCATTTCCTCAAGTTTGCAGCATAAGAAAAACCCCAACCTTTGGCAAGTCCTCTAGAATAATTTTCATCTATATCAAAAGTAAGCCTTAAATACCAACGTAATACACTCTGGCAGTGGCCATACACTCAAAACGGAATGTGGTTTGAGATGGACATCAACTTGGACTCGTGAGAATGCACAAGCAATTGTAAGTTTATTCTTGAGTCTAAAAGTGAAAATTTATTGCTTTATTTGAGGATCCCCAAAAAAATTCCCCACCTCAGCCACGTAAGATTCAAATTTCCCATCCCCCAGGCACGGGCGACAGTAAAATACCCGTGGGTTGCCCGGGGGAAGGGGATGTTGAAGCTTCGAATTGATCGATGCATTATTTCTTAGTCTCGCTTTTGCTCCTTTACAGGTACTGCCTTTTTAAAAACGTCTGTGTCAGAGGTAGATATTTTTACTAAAATGGGATGGAAACACGACACTCGGTCAGACATGAACCCATAAAGGCACTGACCTATCTAATGTTCCGCATCGACGGAAGAATAGCTCATTGCTCACAAATTCTTTTCTACTTTTGTGGCAGAACATCGCAATACACTTGGTGCAGTTTAGTACGTTCTCGTAGTGACTCCAATTCGACCTAATGCAACCTAGTGCGACACGATGTGCTGTATCGCAACAAAGTGCTGACTACTGGCGCACGTGTCACGTGACAATTTTTTTTTCTCAATTTGCGAAAATTTTCTGGATTTTAGAAAGATTCTTGGATTGTAAACTATTTTCGATTTTCATGAAAGTTGTTTGTCAATCTATGAATTAAACCAGGATTTGAAATTGTTTTCTCGGTTTGACAAACTTTTCAAAAGCGATTTGTCTAAAAGATATCGATTCTGAATATTTTTTCGGATTTGCAAAATATTTTTGGATTGTCCTTTTTCGGCTTTCGTGCCTCTCTCGTTGCCATTGAAAAATAAATGAAATATGGTTTCTTAGTTTTCGGGTTGTAGGTCTTGGGTCTTAACTTTCGTTTTCGCTACAACCAACAGTTCAGTGATGAACAAGGATTCAATTCGAATTCATTGTTTCGTTTTTCATAAAGATTAGATGTAAAGCTAGTTTAAAGACATCGAAAGAAGTTTTTAAAAATATCCTTCAGTCTCTCAAAGCAAAATAGATCTTAGAGTAAACTCAATCAGCGACTGCGTGCGCTTTCCAACGGGGTGACGCATTGGCGCATTTCGTCCATAATGGCGTCCAAATAATATAGGAAACTGTATGGAAATTTGTAAAATTTCTAAACTATAACAATCAGGAGCTCATGGTCCCGTCTGCTCTCGATCGAGACATATTCAGTACTGATTCTGTCACAGTGACTCGATAAATAAAAACAACTTACTTCCCGAGCCAGTTCTTTTGTCATTGTTCATTGACCTAAGTCGCCAAACAGTTCTTCAAAATCCGTCGTTCTCCATCCCAAACTCTCGCCTATTACAGGAAAGTACATCAATGAAGTCAACTGCTCTCGATCGAATTGACTGCCACTGAGTTCGAAGCGTCAAAATATCCTGAAAAATTGTCATTTCCTCCCATCAAAAAACTTCCCAACGCGCCAGAATATCCCTTATTTTCCATGTTGAGTAAGTGACGAGGCGCCATGTTGAAAACTATGACTGAAATGGTTAAACACGAGCAACGCTGATCTTCGAATCATCGGCCATATTTGTTTACGTTCTCGCTGAGAAATAAATTATTTCTCAGGTCCTTTTCGGAATAAAAATATGCCAGGCGTTAAATGTAAATTCAGTAGTCTTGGCGCAAAAATTTAATAAAAGCAAATCAAAATTCTGACATCAAGACATCGCTCTGCCTCGAAAAATCCCAAAGATTTACTTGCAGGTCTTCTTTTCTTTTTCTTTTCATCAAATAGAAGATCTGCGGTGCTCAAATTGTGTAAGTCATGGTACGAAACACTCTTCTTTGCAGATCGAGCCGTGATCGCCGGCATATTGAATTCTCTTGATATTCTATTGTTCCGAAGTGTAATACGATATACCTCTGATAATTGTTAGCGGGCTCGAAATGTCCTTGATTTCTGGCGATGGTTTATTTCAAACAACACTGTATTCACGTCTCTGCCCTTAGCGAGGGCGCCTCCATGTACGCATTTTGCGCTCACCGTTAGTGAAAAAAAAATTTGTAAGGAAGTATCCTGAAAGGTTGGGTTTCCTTTATACTGACAAGAGAATTGAAACATACGGAAAATGAAATTAAGACCCACTCAAAAACATGATGTAATTTACGTCATATCTAACGAAGAATATCCAAACCGTTGGCGTGACAAGGAGGATCAACTGCAAATGTAGCTTACAGGCATCAGATTTTGAGCAAGTCACCAATCACCACCAAATAAACTAGGTTGGGATCCACGAGACCTTTTCTCGAAATTTTTCGTTCTCAAAACGGTAAGCGAAATCAACCCTTCCGAACGTTAATACCGGATCGATTGTTTACATTCATTGGGTAACCAAATATTTATCCCATTGCGACAATGTCGCTCAGAGATATTTGCTTTTGCCTAAATCAACAGATACTTCCATATTATTAGGAAAACTTCTGGAATTTTCTTTCATTCTGGACGAAATAAATTGGACTTTATTTCTGACCGGTAAGCTGAGTTAGGAACTGGTCCCAAATATAGCCATCATAGATTGATAACTTTTCTCCTTTGACCTTTAAATTTTCCCCATTTTTTTATTAATGTAATCAACTTATCCATAAACAAACATTGTTCCAAATAAATGGGAACTTCTGGATCAAGGTAAAATTGGAGATATCGGACTAACAAGTTGGGGTAAATTTTTTACTGTTCAAGGCAGCGCAAAACGACCTTCGAACGTTGAGATAACCTGTCATCCAAATCTGTCATTTCCCACATTTTTTTCAATAAATGTTAAGAAAAAGGGTAGATATTTTATTTATTTCAAGAGATTTTAGGAAATATTTACGACAGGACTCGAGTCGGAGTCTTACGAACACCTTCGATACGCCATGTTGGCGGGCAAGTATGGGCGGACTAGGCCGGCTTTAATACCCATTTCGTAATTGAACCCTAAAATAAGCCTTCATGCCAAATTTCAACCAAGTCGGTGTGGTTATATGGCCACGATTTTTTTAAAAAGTTCGAAAGTTACAGCCGGACTATCGCTCCTAACATTGTGTTCCGAAGCGTACCTCAATAGCTGAGAACCGCTAAGATGTACTTTAGTTGAAAGTCAGGGGAGCACATGAGAGAAAACTGTTGTGAAGTTTTTGATCATATCATTCTGCTTCAAAGAGGTTGAGTTACTAATTATTTAGCGATGACTGCTCAAGTTAAAGGTTTTTTAAGATTTAATCCTCAAACAAATTTGCGTCATTCACCTTTTTGGTCAGTACACAGAGTGTTTGTACTTGAACACCAGTGAAAATACCTGAGCATTCTTAATTAGCATAGCTGGTACTTAAATGGGTATTCCACGCCCATTTTTTTAATGTAAAATTTGGCTTCCTATTTGGGCAAGTCAAACAGATCTGCTTGTATTTGATATTTTAACACCAGTGCGTGACGAGGGCATCTTAGTTGAAAGTCAACAATATACGAGATAAACCACGTTAGTAGTAAAAACATATATCTACTAGGTAATTTAGTGTTAACAACTGGGTTGAAAACGTAAATTAGCCACCGTAAAGGGTAAAAAAGCTGACGTTTCGAGCGTTAGCCCTTCGTCAGACCTGCTATACTCTCCCACCGACGCAGCACCACAGTTTCTTTAGAAACTTACCCCTTTATACATATATCTACTAGTTTTTCTAATACGCACGCTGCCATTTGGCTCTAGTAAACAGTGGTAGACATTGTAAATGAGGAAGCTATTGATGGAAACGTAGTTGATTAGAAGATACCTGTAGGTTTTATGAGAATAAAAAGACAGTGAGAGATTATTGGAGCTTTCCGCGCTATGCGTGGTATAGTCAGCTTTTCCTCTCGACGACGTCCCAAAAAATTGAGTAACCTGCCACCATACACTGACTTATCGTTCGTTGAGGTACTTTTGTCTACTTACATAAACGAAGCAGCTCTTTACAGATTTTGTAAACTTAGAAGACGATGCTATTTGTGTCCTCGCCTTGCTCATGAAAGTTTTTAGGTAATATTCAAGAGTTACGCCTATATGGTGCAAGGTATTAAAACTAAAAGCATATAAACACAAAAGACTTGGATCAAACTCAAACCCACTCGATGAGATCAGAACAAGATGTTCTTCGAAGCGACCATCATTAGAACTAAGACGAAAAGAATTGTCGATGGGTTGCTGGCAGACGATCCTCCTCGTCCTCCAACTAAAACAATTAAAACGATAGGTTTCAAAACAAGATATTTATCATTTATGTATACACTTTGCTGCAGCTTGTGTATCGTTATACTGTTGTAAGGGGCCATTCATTATTATTACCTGCAGGGGAAGGGGACCGAGGATTTTGAAGGGGATCATGTGGTTTTAAGGGGAAACGGAGGGGTGATCAATCATCGCTAACAGAGTTTTAAGTGGGGCGGGGCTGTGGAATAATGACCGATGCTTTACCACATTTTGATGTTATCTTTCGTCTGGGAGTGAACAAGCACTGGAAGAAAAAAATCTAAACAGATATCGACCATTTTGAACCAGCATTCTTATGCACGCTGCATCGTTGCATCGTAATTTTTGACACGATGTGATTACTGCTCCTATAAGGCTCGTACGAACAAAAGAGACCTTGTTTGATGATGAAAGTAGAAACTTTTAACGCCATGAGATTCAAATGTCATTATTATTGGTATTTCATTATACATTTAAGTCCTTTGTTCCCATTTGTTTTAAGTAATATTGATAGCTGAAGACATTTTCATCAGTTTGATGGCAACTCGTCCCATGAGTGAGGCCTTAAGTAAAATATGCCAGTTTAAAGATGACATCTGTAAACGATCAGCCTCTTAAGGCTTTCGGATGACGGCCATAAGCCTAGGGCCACGTCTCCCGCGCCAATTACGTTTCACAGCTTGCAGGGGAAGGGAAAAGAGCCAACGTATTATCAGAAAAGAAAGGGGAAGTCTTGTTTTGGACTGTCACATTTACATAGTAGAGAGGAAGACTAAGAAAATAGGCAAAAGAGCTTTTTTAAAAAATTACAAAAACGAAGTCCAGTTTACTTTACTTAATGCTTAGGTTGGTCTCCCCTTTATATATCATGTAACAAAAAATGATAATGATAATGATAACAGCCACTGGTGATTTAATACAAACCTGCTTTAAATGAAGCTTTGAATCCTTTGTAAACCGTGGTCGAGTTCCAGTCACTTTTGAAAAGAACCCAGACAATACTTCCTTTACTCTTTATTGAACCTGGCTTGGTTTTTCCACACAGTCGTCCGGTCAGTATTGGACCGTACCGACCAGTGATAGTTTTGGGATCATCAGGCTCAATTTCTGCTTCACGGAACTCAACATAATCGTTTTTGCAGCCTTTACTATCCTCCAGATCAAACATGTCGAAGTCTATCTGGACTTGCCTTCCCTCAGGAACAATTAAACACCACTCCTCTCCGTAATTTTTGGGTAATTCTTGACGCCAGCCTTTGGTGTGCCAAATGTAATGGTTTCGTCTTCGGATGCATTGAGATAGTTTGAGATAGCTCCTGCAAAGTAAATAAAGTTTTCTTTTTACTGTTTTAAAAACCAAAACAAAGCCCTTTTTCCATTGCCTTGTCTGCCCATTTACTTTCATGTTTGCTTGCTTTTGAATTGGTCTTGTTTTGCAATAAATAGATAGACAGATAGATAGAATCTTAAATACGAAACAAAAAACTGAAAGCTACTTGCTTGTGGGTTCGTGTGTCTATTAAATAAAACTAAGCAAATAAGAATTTTTTATATTAAAGCCTAAAGAACCGTAAGGCACCAAACTGATTATGATGACCAATTTTAGAATAATTAAAGCTATACGGTTGAACATTATACATAAAAAATTCTCAAGAATTTACGCGCTTCTTTATGATTATTAAAGTTGGACGCCACTGCCATAATTAATAAGGCAGGTTTGTCGCACAGTCTCAGATAATGCATTAGGAGACGATTTACTATGGGCTGAGGAAATCTGAGGAAAAGGGAGGCCACCGAGTGCAGGACATCATTAGAAGCCACATCCTTCGATTTGGTTTGTTCATCTACCCCTTACCTTCGCCTGAGCCAGCAATAAATGTGAGATTGAATCCTCTGTAATTTTCAGTATCATCGGACACGAAACGAATGTAGGCAGTCGATCCTAGAATTCTTTTTTTCCTCTTTCCCAGATGGGCGAAAAAGAGATACTCGTACAAAAAGCTATAATTCTTTCCTCCACAATCTGATGAAACGGATTGCCGATCTAAATCATTATAAGAGCGGCTTACTGTCAACCTGTCGCATTCACACCTCTTGCATGATTCTATGTCAGAGCTACCGAAAAAGAGAAATACACAGTTAAAATCCGCTTCCTCTTCTCATCTGGCGATAGATACACAGCACCTCATATGAATCCTAAAGTTGCGAGGAGGACGAGGAAGGGACTGAGTCGAGAACAGCTATGGAACAACAGGGGACCAAATTCAAATAGAAGCCTGTGTTGTTTATCAACTTCAAATGATAATGGCAGTCATTATGCTCTAGAGAATGTTGAAAGTGTCTTCCGGTAGTCGGAGAAAACCACGGGATTCGGGGTTGTGTTTGGGTTAATTAGAGCAGAGTAAAGTCATGCTACTGAGGTGAAAACGCATGAATAAATCGATAAGTTCACTGAGAAGCGTTCGTTACTCTTTGGGAAAAAGGTGCTGATGGAAAAAGCATTGTTGCCGGTCAGTTGTAGATGAAATACGCTGAAACAAATGAAATATTTTGGACGCATGTTCCACATTAAGAGTTCTAAATATGCGCATTTCTCCTTCTTGCCTCAATAATCTAACCATTAAGACATCAGAAGCTACAAAACTTTATCTTACGGTATTTGATAAAAAGAAAAAAATACACTGTGTACCTTCCAGAATCTTTTGGCGGTTTGTTTTGGAAATTTTTGGCGGCGTCTCGGCGGTCAATTGATAAAAAATTATTCGGCGAGGGCGAAATGAATATTGTGAAATAATCCTCGAGAAGTTACATCTACGACATTGACAAAACGCGTGGTAGCCATTTTAAAATTAAGCGCTCCTGCTACAATCACCTCGCGGGAGGTGCTCATAGCAAGACATGACGTAATCCGCGATCAATCAGAGCACATGCATCTCTATAGCCACCAGAGCAATTACACTGACCTGTAAAATTGAATTCTGATGTTGTTATATATGTCAGGGATTTCAATTTTCCAACACTTGATCTCATTCACGCCATAATTACCTGACGTGGGATATTTGAGACTACCACTGGCTGCTGTGATGTTTGTTATACCATTGGGACAAACTGTCACAAAAGAAAAATGTGGAAACAGCAAATTATTACCACTGATGTTGCTTGCTTAGTTTTGCGCGTCTTTCATTTACTTACTCCTACTGATTTAACTGGCCAATTTCACTCGTCAAGGAAAGAAATTGTCTAGCTTTGTCTTTACACATAGTAAAAAGGAAAAAAAAACCTTTAAACAACTCTTGAACTGGAAGACTCGCTAGTTTTAAATTTCTCTTAAGACTCTTACATGTGGTGTAAGGAGCCGGATTATTGCATGAGTTTGCTGTCGTTTCTTCATGATAGTTTCAATCAATTAGCTAAATCATTGAAATTGATTTCCATTCATAACTTACTTGAGTCACATGCTCCTTCTCCAAGGAAGACCGCTAGAACTGCAACAGGACAGAACAGTGGCGACATTAAGAACATTATTTATCGGAACGGCTGAACGGCACGAAATTTACTTTTCCTGTCTGCTTTTCACAATTTTTGCAACAAAGCGAAAGTAAAGAAACACGACCGATATTTGCTTGTACCCAAATGAGGCAAGAAAAGTCTAAGTCTCCTTCGTCAATTGGAACCTAACATCGATACTTAACAACTGTAACAGCTACAAATGCCTTACTACTGAGCAAGGCCATACATCATACGCGTTTTATACTGCTGGGATAAACTGTCTGTCTAATTAGATAAAAAAAAAGACCAGCAAAGATGGTTGGCGAACGATGTTTGCATTTTTTTTGAGCAGGAATATCGTTCAGTTGTCCTCTTGGGTATATTTACAGATAAGATGGAAAAAAAAAGAAGAGTTTGAACATAAAAATGTTTTCCATTGACTTTTGCAATCAATGTTCAATTTGTATTACATCTGGCTCCGATACTTGCTAAACTTTTAGACAAAGAAAAAAAAATGATCAAGATATTGCTATATTATCTTTTCATCGCGACCGTAAGATTCTTAAAAAATTTACTTGATATTTATTGTTCGCTTTGTCGACCAGAGTCAATTTGTTTATGTCAGTCCAATGTTATGGACTCCATGGCAACTGAAAAGAACACAACAAGTTGAAACCTCCATTCATAAGGATCAAAAAACGGATACTTTGGGAAACGCTCAGAAATAGACAAAACCATATTAAGGTCAGTGTTTTTAGTCTTTATCTTGTACATAGGGAGTTGCCTTAAAAGCAAAATTGAATAAAAAGTTTTCTTATCGGTTCATGTGTTGCGAATAGGTGAATCGAGACAGGTCTAGAGTTAATTGAGGCAGTCAGGGTTATTTTTGGGCGATCTCGACAGTTTTCATACAGTTGTGTCAGCGAATATTTACAGGAAACTGCGGCTTAGCTGACTATCCACTGAAATCGATACTAATATGAAACAACTACCTGTGGCGTTCTAACTTCGCTGTCTTTCTCTTTCGACGATTGGCGCGACCGTTATCTTTTTAATCTGTGATTTTTTCAGATAGCGCGAATAGGGTAATCTATGACACCTTTTATGAACTTACCAAGAGCTTCCGCAATCAAGAGGGATTGTTTTCGATGCATGATGACTGTTTTCTTGTACTCTCTTTTCTTCAGTCAGATACAGTTGTCAGATCACCGTTGCCGACCTTCATATAAATCAGTAAATTGTCGAGAATGTTTAAAGAAATCAAACGGACCCCCTACGTCAAAGTTTGTTTGGTTTCTAAGTAAACATCAGACCACAAAGCCCCTCGAGAAGGATGAATCAAATTTAAATAATGACATACCCACAGTATGCCAGAATGTAACCTACTTTACCATCTTTCGAGCTATGCTGTTTGAACACCCTGTCGTTAATTGAAGCAGAGAAGAAATGAATTTGAAACAAATTGCGAAGTTTTTCAAAACGCTCAAACGTGAAAACATTTATCCTCGTCCATAATTGATCATGAGATCAGTGTGGTGCAAGTGATACAATTGAAAGCATATAAGTTGATTTGCATGGTTTCCCATTAACAAAGAAGGAAAGAAATAAAGCAAAACCCAGCCATATTATTGAATTCTACTGTCGATCATGAATACCAGAACACAGCAGTTGAGAAAACTTAGACATGTTATTTAAACGCTAAGAACAAGGAAGGCCATTTTCTTCATAATTTTCACAAACTGTTCTTTCGTCAAGTTTTCGAGACGTAAAAACCAACTCCGACTTAAAGGCGATAAGCTGTAGAGGAAGCAAATAGTCTCAAAAAGAAGAAAAATGAAACAAATTGCAAAATTTAGGCAATTTTTTTTTGCAATGCATGGACCTTCAAACTTCCCTCCTTTGAAATCAGTCGCCTTCACAATTGAGACGTCCATAAGAGTGAAAATAACAAGTAATAATGTTTAAAGAAATCAAACGGACCCCCTACGTCAAAGTTTGTTTGATTTCCTTCGATCATGAAAACTGAAAATTAATATTCGTATGAATTTTAAGCTCCAGAATTAAACAGATAACCTAATCAAAATCGCAAAAAACTAGTCGTTCATACCGTATTCAACCATTAAGTGTTTTTACCAAATAGCAGACAAGAAACTCTCCTATGTAGCCTCGCCTTTACGAAGCTTAGTTGCCTCGCCAGCTTGTACGAAGTTCTTTTAGCGGTTGTCAAGCCAAAGTTAAGAAACTTTAGGGCAATTATTACACTCTTTCGTGTACTTGCCACAGTCAGAGGGGAAAAATGAAGATCGAGGAAGTTAAAAGTACCACTAAGACGCAGCGAATAGCCACTCATAGCCACGTGAAGGGACTTGGTTTGGATGAAAATGGCGACGCTCTCACGATGGGTTCTGGCCTCGTGGGTCAAGAAACTGCTCGGGAGGTTTGTGTTGGATGCATTTGGATCAACATTTAGTGTTTTTTTTTTTCACTGTTGGACTAAGGAAATGACATAAAATTAGGCAAAAACTTGCAAACTATCATGGCATGCAACCACAGTTGAGGAAAAAAGTTTAATACAGAGTGTGTTAGCTTACATGCATATAAATAACTACAAAGTCGCTCTGGAACTCCGCTTGCTCTTTAGATCCTTGTGGATGAGGAAGATGAGAGAGTACGTGTACTAGTAACGCTGCTCGACCTGCAAATCAGACCTACGCTTTGCACAGTCCCATGAATTTGTGCACATTACATTTGAAATGTTTACTGGAGCTTAAACTCACTTTATCAACTAGCGAGGCTGGCTGCGAAACACTTTCACTGCCTTAGTTACCCGATGAGTGATTCTTCCTTCCAATTGATACATGTATTCTTTCTCTTACCCATTTGCCTAGAGAATCTGGTGTCATAGGGAGATAATAACCTCAGACTTGAAAGTCTCATTACTTATTTGTCAATTAATAAATGTTTGAATATTGTGAGGGGTGTTATGTGTCAATCTCTTTTTGCTAGAAAGGGTCAGTGAACCATCTACATGAATGATATTTTATTTTTTAGATTTAAATACGTAGGTGTAATTCAAGTTTCTTTGTGTCTTTTAGGCAGCAGGAGTAGTGGTTGAACTGATTAAATCTAAAAAGATGGCTGGAAGAGCAATCCTTCTAGCTGGTCCCCCAGGAACTGGAAAGGTGGGTTTAAAATACATTATTTAGGGACATATAATGAAGATCAGAATTTTAGGTGGTGCAAGGCAAGTGTTTTTAAAGTTTATTTCCATTAATGATGGTCCATACATGCTAGACTTTCATTACCTGCAAAGTGCTAAATCTATGAAAGGAATGTTCTTCTGGTGCTGTTTTTCCAAACAAGAGTGGTACATTTTACTTAAAACAAACAAGTGTTTTATAGTTCAGTCAACTACCTCTCGGCATTTTGATTTCTTCGTGATTATATTTCATGGCAGTTAGTCTTGTTTGATTGTACCATTGCAGACTGCATTAGCTCTTGCTATTGCTCAAGACCTGGGTCCCAAGGTTCCATTCTGTCCTATGGTTGGGAGTGAAGTGTACTCTTCTGAAATCAAGAAGACGGAAGTTTTAATGGAGAATTTTAGAAGAGCAATTGGTAAGAACATCACATGAAGAATGTTGGGTGAATGTACACAGATATGTTTAGAATTGTATGTTCCTGTTGTATTAAACCTTTAACTCTCAAGATCTCACCAGTAATTCTCTTTACTGTCAGCCATACAGTTCTTGCAATTTTAGTTATGAGAATGTGGTATTGGATCAACCTATAATCACTAATTGATATTTTTCTTTATTCTTGTCACTTGTCTGCTTGATATCGCATTGGTATTGTAAGGAGAAATGCTGTCTTGGTCACTCGTGGGAGTTACAGGGTTAAGTGGATTTCTAAGATGAATAGCTTTGTGGCTGCTTACACTCATGTCAGATAGACTGAGACAGTAAAGTCTGTTCAGAATGATTTTCAATTGAGTTTTTGTAGTAATCCAAGACTGCACTGATTTTGCTTCTCTTTACTATGTTGTGATTTGTGTAAAAAATATTATTTTATACCCTTTCTCTTCTCAGCCAATCATATGCATAACTTACATTATCTGACTTGGTTACTGAGATAAGTGAGACTGTTAATTGAGATCTGCCTAAGTGTACCATAGAGGCTTATTTTTTATTTCTTTTTCATGAACAGGCTTGAGGATCAAGGAAACAAAGGAGGTTTATGAAGGAGAGGTGAACTATTTACCTGTTTTAGCATTGTTCTAAGGTTGTCAGTGTCATTGACAGTACTTATGCACTTATGCTATAGGTGTTCTTCCTAAATGGCAAAATGTAAACAAATTGTAATGTACAAAACAATTTTCTAATGGTTTTTGTGACAGGTGACTGAGCTGACACCCTGTGAAACAGAGAACCCTATGGGTGGTAAGTAACATGTGCTAAACTTTACTTTTCATTTGGCTTGCTAGGCAATCAGGCAAGATGATGTAAGTACTGTTTTCTAATTTCCTCCTTACTGGTTACTATGCAATTCTTATAATATTAGTTTGAGGAATTTGGTTTTGGATCAATTAATAATCTCCTAATTGACATTTTCTTTATTCTCATCACTTGTCTGCTTGATATTGTATTGATATTCTAAAGAAAAATTCTGTCCTGGTCACTCATGGGAGTTTAAGGGATAGGTGAATAGGCAAGTTGGGTCAATTTTGCCAGCTCTGATGGCACAGATAACTCTTCTGCATTCTTTCATCTTCCAAATATGCAGACAGTGATGGAGATAAGAACTTTTCCCTGCTGAATGTGATTGTTTTTGGCAGAAAATCAATACATAGTCCTGAAAAGTGTTTTACCTTTTTACAGGTTATGGTAAAACTGTCAGTCATGTGGTGATAGGACTAAAAACAGCCAAAGGAACTAAGCAGCTTAAGGCAAGTTCAGCTGAGAAACATGTTATCCTTCTCTAATTCCTTTATTTTTTATTGTTCCCTATTCAATTTCTTTCCTTTTTTTTATTATCACATTCTCTTTTCATTATTTCTTTACCAATTTATTGTAGCTGGATCCATCAATATATGAAAGCCTTCAGAAGGAAAAGGTAGAAGTCGGTGATGTGATTTACATTGAGGCAAACAGTGGAGCAGTCAAGGTTTGAGAAGCTTACACCTCTTTGAAAATATGCATCATGTATTTTTTGATTTCCCAGAATGGTAGAATATTATTTTCTCAATATGAATATTTTCCTATTAATAAATGTTTTTTTACATTAATACTTGGCTAGTTTTACTGTCCAGAATTGAGTCAAATTGGTTGCTGAGTGGGTAGAAATGATTTTGGTGATAAATTTTTTTTTCATGGTTGCACAAATGTATTTCCTTAAAATTTCTTGATTATGCTCACTCTTAACAAATTGAAGAGTCTTAAATTTATTTGTATGTTAGTAGGAGGAGGAAAGTAACAGTTTTATAAGATTCTTGTACAGGTACATGTATCTCACATAAGTTTGTTTTAACCTTGAGTGATTTATAATGAACTTTTTGATCCCAGCGTCAAGGGAGATCTGACACATTTGCCACAGAATTTGATCTTGAGGCTGAGGAGTATGTACCGCTACCCAAAGGTGATGTCCACAAGAAGAAGGAAATTGTGCAGGATGTAACTCTGCATGACCTCGATGTGGCAAATGCAAGACCACAGGTAAAGTGTAAATAGAAACTCACACATGCACAGTGTAACCTGAATGTTAATCTGTGTACTGAGAGGGGACAACTGGAAACACTGTTGGTAAAGAGGAAATGATTCAAATGGGCCTTTGTGGACACGGTTTTATCTTCAAGGAAAAGTACAGTACATGTATGCCTCAGAGAGTATTTTCAATTGTAGGTCAAATTTAACTTTTTATAAAAAAAATAGAAATAAAATTTTGCCATTTACATGTGCACGTACCTTTTGTAACTTTTATTTCTATGAACATTGTAAATAAGGAGGAGAGCTTTAATTGTATAAAGGTAATTTTTTTCTTGATTTAAAGAAGAAATCTCAGTAACATTATTTTAAAACTAGAAAAAATTAATGCTCCCTTCATCAATTATTATAAACTGACCTCACATACTTTTGAGCATGCGCAGAAATTACCATACTGTACATGTAAGGTCCAAGTTTTGCTTCTTGAGCTTAAGTCTCTAATAATTCGAAATGATTATTGAATGATTACTATTCATAGGGAGGACAAGATATTCTTTCCATGATGGGACAGCTGATGAAGCCTAAGAAGACAGAAATCACTGGTGAGGCATATTATACAGTGTTCGCAATTTTTTTTAAAATTTTTTTGTTTTAATATTTTTTTTAGGTTACATATGCATAAATCTGTAACACTTTTTTTGCTTTTTTCCTCAGACAAATTAAGAAAAGAGATTAATAAGGTAAGCTGAATAAAGCTGGTAGGAACAGAGGATCACTACACTTATGCAAGCTTCATTTTTATGTCAATTTGACTTGTGTTTCTCCTACTCAAAGACGAGTTCAGTGTCTCAAGTTTTCAATTTTTTTTATATTACAATCAGCAGATGAAAATAAATATTTTTCCAAAGTTCTTAGAAATGTATGAAGGAGAGTCGGAGGCAACTTAAATTATCGCAAGATAATGGTGGTATTTGATTGGTAATTAGTTAATTCATCTGTGTTGTAGGTGGTAAATAAATACATCGATCAAGGAGTCGCTGAACTCGTTCCTGGCGTGTTGTTCGTCGATGAGGTAATTTCGTATTTTTCCTTGGTTTTGATGGTGTACAGCGCATGATAGTCAGTGTTGTGGTGCTGTTCCTGTACGTGTATACGTGTGACTGTTGGTTTGTTTATGCATGTACATGTATGCAACGTGTACATTTTTGACATCGCTCGTTTTTTCTTCTGTTGTCAGGTTCACATGTTGGATATCGAATGCTTTACTTATTTACACCGAGCTTTAGAGTCGACAATTTCCCCGATTGTTATATTTGCAACAAATCGAGGAAACTGCACAATAAGGTACTATAATAACAAAGAGTTCGCATGAAATAAAAAAAATTAATAGTATTTAGAGGTGCTGTATACCACAGAAAATATTAGCACAGTTATAATGGGCATAGGAAACGTAATTGATATTTTCAAGCTCGTCTCTTTTGCTGCCAATGCGAATCTTTCAGTGAGTATTACCTGCGGTGAGAGCTCAGACTGGTAGGTGTATTTTGATCCTCCACACCCAAAATTGCCTGTCTCCTTGAAATTGTAACTGTTCCGTTAATTGTTCTGTTCTTCGGCAAGACACTTCACATTTACTCTCATCATTAGTACAGTGTATCTCTCTTCACTTTGAAGTTTCCGTGAGGCAATTGTCCGGGAAATCTGACCGGGGCGGGGAAGGGGCTATAAGGGATTTAGCATCTCATCCGGATGTGTGCAGACCTTTCTTATGTATTTGTTTGTTCTGTTGCTTCTCAGAGGCACGGAAATAAGTGCTCCCCACGGGATACCCCTGGATCTGTTGGATCGACTCATGATCATCCGTACCCTACCCTACTCACAAGAAGAAATGGTTCAAATTATTCGCATTCGAGCCCAGACGGAGAACATTCAAGCTGATGATGAATCGCTGAGCCTTTTAGGAGAAATCGGCACCAAAACTACTTTGAGGTAAGATTTAGATAGGAACGAGATAGAAACTATGTGTTGAATTCCTGAATAACGGTTAAGTTATGTGCATGTAATCATGCTGGCTGAGAAAACTCGTTGAGTGAAGGTACCAAGAGACTTGGATCACAATGACTTCTTTTTTAATCCACCAGTGCCTCGCTGTATAAACTTCTAGTAACTAAAACTACTATTACCACTGATTTAAAAACAGCTACGCGCACATATTCTCATTTGATTGTGTTTTTTTGACTTTGGAGTTGACATCACACCTTTATCTCTATGTGAGATTGAGGCACATTTGACCGTGTATTAAACAATCTGAAGCACAAACGGCTAATTTGGAGATTGATTAATTTAGAGATTAAGAAAACACTCTCAGATGTGAACCTTGCGCTCTTAAAAATTCCTAAAGTTTCATGCGAATGAAATGATTAAAAAAGCGAATCTATAGAAACATCGAATTCTAGAACGTATCTGAACTTACCCAAACATTGTCTTGGGTTTGTGTGGAAGCTTCAGTAAAAGTTAAAGATCTGTTGAAACCACAAGAAACGTTTTAATAAATATCTGAAGTGGAAAGGAAATTGACATGTCCGGGGAAGCAGTATACGTGTAGTAATGGAAGAGAAGACTTAAGCTTTGAAATAGACTCTTCAGAATATAATACAACTTAAGGCGAAGTGTTAGTTCAAAGAGAATGATCTACAAGACAGCTTATTACATGTATCAACGTTTTTCAAATAAACAAGATTTGAAGGAGTTGCTCTCCTTTTCGTTTTGATCATCAGATATGCAGTTCAGTTGCTGACGCCGTCTAACCTACTCGCCCGCATCAATGGTAAGTCCATATTACAGGATGGATTGATAATGGATAATTATCTGAATGAATAAATAAATTTAAACTGAATGAAAATAAATAAATAAACCAAACGCACTTTGTCCTTTTTTTTTCAGTTTTCATTCTCTTTAGCTCCCTGTAAAATTTCCCTTTGTTTTGATTGATCTTTGCCTGCAGACCAGACGTCCTTTTTTTTCGTTTTTCATTCGAATGGAGGCAAGCGCGAGACAAGTGCGAAGAGTGGGAAGAGAGCTGTTTTGTGTTCCTTCCTTAGCGCGTCACTCGCGCTTCGCACCCGCCTCGCGTTTGCCTTAGGTCGCCTGAACAACGCAAACATGCTACGCTTGTTCTGCAGGCAAGATTGACCCCTGCAGTGTTGCAAAAGTCAGTTAAGAGCACCTCACGTTCCCTACGCCTTTTTAAATGTGTTGTTGGCTTCACGGTAGCTGTATGGTACGGTATCCTGGGTTCCGGATCGAAACTGGTGTCGAGAGGCCACTGTTTGGTGTCCTTAGTTATAACGCTTTCCTCTCAGAACGCTTCTCTTAACATAACTACAGTAGGTCCCACTAAAATTTCAGGGATATCTGATGAAATGCTGAGGATTCACCTGTAATAGATTAGCCTGAGGAAGTAGTGATACTCGTAGTAGTTTGGCGCCAAGAAACCTGGGGCACGCTACGTCTATCAAGGGGTTGCTGTGTTCGTAACACTTAACCTTCCGTTTTTGTGTCACACAGGTCGTTCAAGTATCAACAGACAGGATGTGGAAGAAATAAACGAGCTATTTTACGACGCCAAATCTTCAGCAAAACTTTTGGCAGAGCACGAGGACAAGTACATGAAGTAAAGACACTGAACCTGAGCCGTATCGCCAAGAGAGATGTTCTTTCCTAGTAATGTTACTTTTAGTTACGTGTTAAAGCACTGTTAAGTCAGTTGTGGTAACTATTTATAACTGTCACAGTATAAGCGTTTGTATTTTATGGATAGTGTGTTTTTGCATAAAAATAAATGGTTTTAAAGTCGCCATTTTGCGGTGTGTTAGGTCTTTTCCTGGAAAGGTCAGAACTTTGACGCTTCCTCCCCTCCTTAGACACGACGAGATTACCTGGGGGGGGGGGAAGGATAGCGAACGTGATTTGCGAAGTTATGGACGTGCGTAAGAGGTGTTTGCCTCCTGAAATATAAGTGAACTGCGAATATTTTCTTTCATTTCGTGAAAACCTCAAGATTTCCCTGAAAACTTGTACACAGGAGGAGAGATTTTCAGATTTCCCTGTTGAATTCGTGACGCGTGAAATGCGCGTGAAGTGTTTTTAAAAAATTCGTGAAACTTGATCAGAACCCCCCACCACCCCTCCCTGTTTGCTTTCCCCTAGAATGTTGCAGATGAAACTAATCTTCTGACGTTAGGCATTTATTCTTACAACTGATAGCTCTTAGTGCACAATTATATTTTCTTTTAAGGCTGATAAAGTATTCCCCTCCACAATGCTATCGACTTGGGAAACCCAGCATCAACTTGTCCCGCTGTAGAATTAAAACGGTAAAAGAGGTTTTCCTTGAAGAAGTATGTGTAGCCATTTTCATCTGAAAACACAGTATCGGGGCCATCCGGGACGCCACTCCAAGTCGAGGCTATGAGCCGCGGGAAGCCTGGGTCTACTTCTTGGGAGGTGTCATTGAAGCGGAAATAATTCGAGTCTTTGAAGAAGTATGTGAGACCATCTATGTATCTAAAACAAATGAGAGGATTTCCAGTTCGGATCAAAATCGAAATTTCTCGCTCTGCATATCCGAGTATGCAGTAGTTGATTCGCTTTATTCGGGACGCGTAGGAAAATCTCCAAAATTAGGAATCTACAATTTTTATGTTGATAAGATGAAAATACACTCAAATATATATATTAAACGAAACGCAACTAGTTTAGTTCAGTATGGAGAGTAATCAATAAGATTAAAAATGACCGCTGCGCTAAACTTAAGCTAGCATTTTCAAAGAGAGGTCGAGGTCCGGCTAAGACTCCCCAAGTACTAAACACAACTTCCCTTGCAAATGTATCATAGTAACGTTTAATAAGGTGTCGAAAGTAGTTTTAGATCGCACTTGGCTTCGCTTCACTAGAGCGGTTTTTCAATTGCGTTTCGTAAAACCAAAGTATACATATCGACCAATCAGAATAAAGTTTTGCATTTTCATTAACTAATAAGAACTCAAAATGAAAGTGAAAATGAAATCAAAATGCGACTGCTCAAGTTGCGATTGATTTTTAATTTTGCATCTAATTGGTTGATAGGGTGGAGCGAGTTTTCTGGACCAATCGCATAGAAAAGTTAACTAAAACCAACGAGATCCCGAATTAAGCTCGACACAATTGAAATTGCTCTAAGCCCAGTGATTTGTCTAATCAAATGCTGAACTGATCAAGAAACGAAAAGCGAGTGCGTATGCGTGCGCTTGAGTGTGCGCTTGTATTTACTTGACCACTCATAGGACAGGATATCCGCGCAGAGATCCTTTCAAAGAATCAACTGATAGAATCTCGTGACTCGTTCTGGTGTCATTACCTGAAAACGGCGTCGACATTGTTGGGTATTCCTTTCCAAAACGAGCTTATTTCTCGTGGATACCCATCTTGGACTTTCCGTTGGCCACTATCGTACCGGAAGAAAAGGTTTCCCTTAAAGAAGTACACGTATCCATCACTCCATAGAAACGCGGCGTCCACATCCGCTGGCACTCCATCCCAGGCTGCCAAGCCGCGTGGATATCCGATATCGACCTGGCTAAACTGTTCATTGTAGCGCCAATAGCTGTTTCCTTTGAAGAAGAAAGTATAGCCATTCAAGTGTCTAAGAGAGGTAAAGGAATTAAGTAATAAGTTTAGTTACAAGGGATTTGCATTACGAGTCTATTACAAATTTATTACAAGTTCATTGCAATATAAATCACAACGCAAATGTTATAAAAACATGAGAAGCCGATTGTTCAAGACATTTTTTAATTAGAGAGACTGACCTGAACACTGTGTAGTCAGCAAAATCTGGTTCACTGCTCCACCATTGGGTTATTGACTCAGGGTAACTGGAAGGAACACTTATTGATTGCTCGCTGTGCACGAATAACCAGTGCTGCGTATCCTTAAAAACAAAAACGCCGCCATTGTACCATTGTAAGGCGCCTTCAATGTCGCTTGGGAGTCCGTTCCAGTAGGAGCTCACAGAGCGCGGATACCCGGGGTCCACTCTGAGGGTGCGTGGGTTAAATCTGTAGTATTGTGCTCCTTTGAAGAAGTAGGTGAAGCCATTCGAATGACTAAAATGATTGAGTAAACAAACGAACAAATGAACAATTGAACAAAGTCGCAAAATGTAGATTGAAATATTGAGAGGCCAACCCATATGGCATGAAGGTCATTTAAAAAGTGCACCGTATTGAGATGGTTGGCTTGAGTAAAATGATAAATAATAACCTAAACTAAAAAAAAGTTCCGAGAGTTGAAGTCTCTCCAACTACAGAAGTTGAGAGATAAAGATTTGTTGTTACTCTTCATTCTAGGTTTAGTTTGTGAGGTTGATACTCAAAGATTTGTACGTGAGGCGCAAACGTACCCCAATGCGGGTATGATCAGGGTTTTACCATGATATGCAAGCTTCTATAATAAATACAAAAATATTTTTTCCGAGGAGCTCGCTTTGAAAATTGCTGAAAAAAATTTGAATTGATGATGAATTGTAACTGAAAATATCTTACCTAATGACGTCATCTATATCGCTCGGCGCTCCAACCCAGTAGTCACTCATAAGTCGAGGATATTCTTCGTCCACCTTCAGTGATGTGTCGTTAAACCGATAGTACTGGTTTCCTTTGAAGAAGTACGTGAGGCCATTTGCGTAACGAAAAACGCCGTTTACGGAGGAAGGGACACCCTTCCAATGGTCGCTGATAGGTCGAGGGTAGCTAGGATCAATACCAGGAAGATTCTCATTGTAACGGTAGTAGTTTGATCCGAGGAAGAAATAAATATAGCCGTTTGACCAACGGAATATAGCATCGATTTTGCAAGGTCCTTGAGAATGAGTAAAATCAAGTTTTGTAAGTAATTATAATTATTAATTTTCAGAATTAAGACAAACAGCTTTACGCCGACCATATCACTCGAAAAGACTTCAATTCATAAGCTACGAATTTCATCAAACTTGGTAACAGAGCTATTCTAGAGTCTTGATTTAATTAGGTGGTCTGAGTTGCAGACTTTGAAGTTTTTCTTGTGGCGCGTTTTAGCCGTGAAGGTCAAGATCTTAACTCTCCTAATGCCTCTCCCTACTCACGAGGGTAAACGATTTTCAGGAAAATTTGGTAATTTTACCAGAGTAGGGAGAGGTGTAAAAATTGTGATCGGCAAACATCCCATCTGTCAGAATCACAGAACAATAAGGTGTGAAAACATTGAATGCTCCATCCACAGCTTATTACAACAAATCATAATGCTTTGAAGTACCACATATTGTCATGCAGTCTGAAAGTTAAGCAATACATCGGGCCCTGGTTGTTCGAAGGTTGGATAACACTATCCACTGGATAAAACTCTATCTGGTGGATAACGCTATCCGTTTTGCTATTACTTATCCGCTGGATAGCAATTTATCCGTTGCATAACGTTATCCGCCCTTTATACAACCGGGCCCATGTGCACAGTTGACTGCGTAATGAGAAAAATAGTTTATGTGATGCTTTATTTAGACGATAGTTTGAGAGAGTGCATGAAATCATAAGCAGATTGGAACTTAAAGAGTAAAAACGAGACAGAAACAAAATTAAACCATTAAAACTTACTATAGATGTTTTTCATCAGGGTAGGTCTGTATTTCTTGACATCTTTTTCCATTTTAGATATCTGCCCCGGAGTAAATTCATACATGCATTTGTCCTCCATGTCTTGGAAACAAATACAGTGCAACCGTAAGCAATCAATTTTTGAAATAACGCAAAAACCATTTTACCTTCATATGAGGCTTATTATTATTATTTTTGATGTTATTATTATTGTTATTATTATTATTGAGGTTTCTTTATCTACCATGTTACCTGTATATGAAGCCATTTTAATAAGAGTTTTACCGCTATCAATATCACGAAAAAAAGCCTTTGTTTTTTTGAAAGAACTTTTTTAAAGAACGGAACATTCTTCTGATTTGTATTTTAAAATGGTAGAAAAAAGACCTTACGTAACGCACTTTCGATTACACTCTCGATTCAATTACTAGCTCTTTACATCCCAACATCAATAGAAATATTCTCCATACTGTTCTCTATGTATTTCAATAATACTGATATAGAGAATTTGTTGAACAATCAAGAGCTTCTTTAGTTTTATTTCTTTTGTTCTCATGACCTTAACGCGGTTTGATTGAGGGGTGATACCTGAAAGCGGGGTTAGGTGCTCATCACCCCAACAGGTTCAAGAGCTAAACGTATCATCTTATCCTACACAAAAGTAAATGACTGAACGAAAAAAATGTAAACGTAAATATAATTAAGATGGGGGGTTTTAATCCTCAACCGTGTCGCGAATCTAACTAATTCTTTGTTTTGATCAAAAGAGCTCAAGAGTTCAGCTGTCGAGAATGATACGTACATCCCATATAATTATGAATTGGATCCAGTCCACTGATAGATTTACAGGTATCCACTGGTTGGTCTGTGCAGACATAAGTATAATCAGCGCAGCGCGGAGTGTCGGCGACCTCATCATCGTCTCTATCGAAACAACCTCCCTGTCCAGTTCAAAGTGTTTTACGATCAGATGAGCGTGGAAGTGAGCAAAGTAAACTGGAGCAAGCAAAGAAATCATCCTCCCGTTTAGGCAGTACAAAAAGGCCCGGAAAAATGAAGTATGGAAAAATGAAGCTTAGAAAAATTCAGGCTTTGACGGGATTCCAACCCGTGCTCCCCAGAAACTAGGAATCAAAATGTTATCTGTTTGAAGTCTTGCTTACTGAAAAAAATATCTCAGGAACTTAAAAAATAGCGTCGGTGGGAGAGTAAAAAACTGTTGTGCTGTTTTCCTGTTTCATAAGCAGGAATCTTTCTTTTTGATTTCTGGTCTATTTTTAAGAAATAACTATATAATAATTCAGAAATACTATTGCTGTTGACAAGTGGATAACGCTTGAGCTTTTATATTACATACCTCACAAACGTGAAAGAGACCGAAATAATGACCAACCTGTAAAGATGCATTCAAACGGTTATCTGATTTCGCAAAAAATCTTCACATTACATTAGTGTTCAGTAATTTCATGCCAAAGTGTATCTAGCCTAAAACTTCACCAGAGAAATGCTTAGCGTCTTAACAATAACCGTGAAGGTGTCCCATCTTATCGAGTTTATCGTATTTATTTGAATTCGATGTTAAGCGGCAATTTCACATAACTTGATCAGAGAATGAGACCTGAACCAGGCTTTTTTTGCTCACTCTATTCCCATACTCATTCATGGCAGTGTTGTAACAAATTCTCCCAATAAATCCTAAACGGTTGATTAGCGATCAAAATTTCTACGTATGACCTTAAGTAGGCACTGATACCCTGGAGGTACTTTTACTCAAGGGTGCTCTCCAGCCGAAGGATGCTGTGTTTTCATTTTGTCTTTGATATATGAAAGGAACTGATACCGGGTTTACACGATATAAACGTTGATTTCCATCTCAAATTTTACTCGATGGAGTTGTCACCCGTATTTCATTTGATTGAGGAGCTTTTGAGAGTGCCTTGGTCTTATCCAACTACGTTCTGTGATAAGTTGAGTAACTGACGTGGCATTTACACAACCAGTAAAAAAAATCGCAAGTTTGTCACCAGCACTTGAATCCGTTTATATGTGTCCAACGTAGATTCCCACTGACAACTTACATATGTCACAAGAGACTATAATATCTTGCCTCTCATGGCTAGTGGTAGCAATAACTCTGATTTTGGTTGCACGAAACTCAACTAAGAAGTTCTCTCTCTCTTTTTTTTTATTCTGATAAGTTTACCTCGTGAACAGCATTGTCTCCAAGATTCAGTGTTAGCATCGCTCCTCCGGGTAATGTCTCGTAGTGAATTGCCACGCCGTGTGATAAGCCAGACTCTAAGTCACTCCAGGGAAACGATGCATCGCCAAGTAGGCGATCCTGGAACTGGCACGTGTATATGTTGAGCGTTGATGCAGGCAAAATACCCAGACCTCTTCTGATAAAAAAGCTTTGGCCCTTGCAGTTATTGAACCATTCCTCGTTATTTGTTCTGTCAACTGAACGCTGGAGATAAAAAAAAAAGCAGTTAGGCATAAGCTGCGCGGAATGAAGATATTTTGTTGTCATCTTGCATAAGAGGTAAGCGATTTTTCTTAACGATGGTAACAAAATATGGATAGTCATTAAGATTGTATAAAGGCGACTCAGAACATTTAGCGCTCTGTGATTTTGACTGATAGTAGTTAAGAGAGCGAGAAATTGTAAGTTAGGAGACTGAATCCAAAATGTTGGCCATATTTTAATGGTAATCAGTCCTATCATCCAGTAGGTGTTCTCAAAAAGCTTGCCCACGAGCACCCGACTTCGAGTCTCCGCCGTAATCTGGTGCCATAACAGATAGGCTTATCAGTCGTCGATGTTTAATGATAAAGAAATGTAAATAAATTATCAAACTATGCATAGTCATTTTTTATCGTCTATTCATAGTTCCTGGGAAAGCACCAATCAGAATAGAATTCAACACATTGATATCATTAACTATCAACGCACCGTTGCAAATCGGAATGGTGAATCCGAGAAAGCCTCTGAAAAATAAACAAAGTCGATTATTAGTAGGACAATTTCACCGATAGATTTATTAATTTAGAGAAGTTTTCGGTTTGGATATATTCAGACAACAGCAATCAAAGCAATCACAACAGTCAAACGAAGCGAAGTTGGACATCACCATTAGCCAACGGAAATTCAAAGTAAAACATGCAAGCTGCATGGCATGAAGGAGATGGGGAGGGGAGGGGGAGGAGGAAAGCATGAAGGAGAGAGGGGAGGGGAGGGGAGGGGAGGGGGAGGAGGAAAGCGACCAATTCACGATTTGTCAGCAGTTTTGAATTTGATTGGTCGAGAAGGTGGCGCGAGTTGTCCGGACCAACCAGGCAGCGAAGTTAAGCTCTATAGGCCCTGAAAGAAAAGCTGCAGTCACTTATTTGTTTTTATACAAATTTGAGATGCAGTTGTCGTACGAAGGACGTACAAAGGTGCGTGCGAGAGGCACTCAATTGTAGTCAGCAGCTGCCGATCAGACCGACTCATTCATAAGAAGAAGCTCTTAATCGGAAATTTATCGCAAGATTGGCTGAATGTTATCTTATCCTTTACTCTAGTCCGATTTTCCCAAGAATTAAGATGATAAAAAAGACCCACTGCTAAAATTCACCACTTTGGATGGGCAATTCTGAAAAATGGTAAGCGCTCATTCAGTTTTCTTATGTGTGAGACTCACGATTCTTGCGCGCGTCGACCTGCAATTCCTCAAAGAAAGCTAAAAGAGAAGTGAGACAAAGAAAATCTAAAAAGATATTTATGGATGAATTCAAATTCGTACTGTTTAAAACTTTCACTTGATCTTCCAGCTTGGTCACAGAAACATTTCCTTTCCCACGTGCATCATGGAGAACATGCCAAGCGATAGGCACAAGATACTGTTCCTTGCATTGTAAGTTTTTGTTGAACAAGGCATTGAAAGCATCCTTATCTTTTCTCTGCAATACGTTCGTCATCAAAATATTTTCGATCTCAGGTATATACTGGGATGACTGTGATTTTGGACGATTTTCTTTGGAATCGTCGACGCCACATTTTCTCTGCAAATCTGACGTTTTCCCATGGCAACTGAATGTCAAGCAAGTCGCCAGAAGAATGCTGCAAAGAACATAGGGGATCAAAAGTCACTAAAAGCGTTTATGATTCAAAGTAGAACCCCACTAACTCGAACTGTCAAGGAAACGAAAAATGGTTCGAGTAAGCGGGGTTCAAGTCATAGGAATTCCAATTATTCCGTTGATAATTTACAAGGAATCATGATTTTACTATTCTTGCACAATCAGAAGTAATTTTCCTACATCTAGTCTGCTTAATATGAGTTTTTATTAAAAGAACGTCAAGGTTGGGACGTTAAGCTAACTTTATTACGTTTTCATAAATGTTATCACGTTCGTATCAGTCGCGAATGAAGAGGGTCTCTATGAGGTGACGACGTTTACGGCTAACGGTTAAATTTGGGCCATTTTACAGCTAACGATCAATATCATTCCATTGCTTTCACCGCAAATTGTTTTGAAGGTTAACTTTTTTTCGATTAACGGTGGAATTTTGTCAATTTTACGCCTAAAGGATAAATCTTTTGGCCGTTTTATGGCTCTCGGTGAACTTCATTGAGACCGGCTCGTTAAAGAGCGGGAAATGTCAATCAGCTACATTCTTACCCACCGACTTTTTTTATTTAAAGCTCAAGTTCTCAGGGTAAATACGAGCCAAGAGAAAGTAAAATTACTTCAAGTAGACCGAGTTCGAGTTAGCTGATAATAACTGACTTGAAAAATGGGGTCAAATCCAAGGGAAATCGGATCTTGTTTGAGTTATCGGGGGTTTCGAGTTAACTGGGCTCGAGATAAGGGAGTTAGGAGGTTCTACTGTAATTGAAAACATAAAGCCTGGAATCTTATCCATGGCCCGGTCAATAGTGTTCCTAAGCAACAGAATTTTCTGGAAGAATAACCAAGGATATTCTTTGATTTTCGAACTCATCTAACTATCTGTAACGACCGAAAATAACTGATCCGGTTAGCTGAAAAGGAAACATCCAAAACATACTTTACTTCATCTGTTACTGAGAAAACTTGAAGACATACTAACCTCAGTCTCAGACGAATTAGAGTCTTCATAAGGATTTTTAACAAATCGTTGAGCAATAATCCTTTTTTCCTCACGAGGTGGAGGTGACAATGAAATCTGCTACAAAAGTATTCCAAACGAAATGTAGGGAAAACTGAACTTTGTTAAAAATTTTTTACTTTCCTCCTTCCTAAAGGATCCCACGCAGTTAAAAAGTAAGGAAGAGAACCATTTTAAATTTTGAGCGGGATCCAGTGTCGATATGTGCCCAGATCAGTTGAAATGGACTTTTATTCGAAAATGTTTCTCTATATATTTGTATGAATTGTTTCTATTCAACGTTTACTTCAAGTGCGACCTCGTTTGAAAGTGTCAATCATTCTCAAGTCGAAAACTTTTCATTAAATGTTTTTATCCGAAAATAAGTGCCCACCAGTGATATTAACAATGTACATTCCATAGATCAAGATATAAATTTCAAATAAATATCATATGCAATGAAACTCGCAGAAACTTCTTATCAGATCTGAAATGAGGAAATTAACAGGATATTTCTTTTCTTGTCATCATGCCACAGGAAGTAGAGTCGAGTAGTTTTAATTTCAATGTCTTTACCGAAGTTCCTATCCCAGAACGTTTGAGCCATTCAATTTGAAAACTCTGTTTATTCAGATGTAATATTTCCCAAGAAAGTGCCACAAGATTTGTAAAAAACTAAGTACTTTATAAAGGGAAGTTATTTCGGAACAGCGTTTCGTGTCAGTCACACACAAAATGTGTTATCGCAGTCACTGAAACTGTGAAGTCTTGTCGGTAAGTCGTTTAAGGAAAAAAAGACATAAACAAACGCAGCTTTCTTTTCTGGAATAACTTTTTATGACGCTTCTTTCTTCAATTGAAAAGTCGCACAAAATTGCTCGTTATGTATCAAGTTATACAATTAAATATAATTAAAAAAAAGAAAAAAAAAAACAGAATTCCTCCTTTCGTTGTGAGGGGTAAATTTATTTCGTTTCTGCCAATATTGGATTGAGCAGCGATATGAAATGGCTGTGTTGTGTCAGACTAGTAGTCATACTGAAAAGGAATGAAAGCCTGGCAAAAAAGGTCGCTGCTCGAGGGCTTTTCCTTTATTAAAAAACAAATTAAACAAAGAAAGAAACGAAAAGAGACAAAAACAGACAGACGCACAAGTCGCAAAACGTAATTTACAAAGACCTTTATTTCCTAGACCGCCTTTGTATACTTAAAACAAACAAATATACATGCCTGAAAGTAAATCTTCTAAAATTGATTGGGACATTTCTACTGATTCTTGTTTGATTTTTAACATATATTAACCCCTATACTAAATACATTCTGTTCCTTTTTTAATTCCTTGGTTGAGAGAAAAAGAGCCTTTCAGGCTTCTGTGAATCCTTTAGTGCACGTCATCGCAGACTCCAAATTATCTCCAGCGTCAACAACACATTTCTCGATGGCCTGAAATTCCTCACGGAACTATAAAATAGAGACAAGATTGTTAAGGGTCACGCATCTCTCTGAAAAAGTAAATACCCCGAGATCTTTTGCGAGATTTGCCTGATGGTTGTATAATTTAAGATTATCATGATGTTTCTCTGGGGCCCATTCATCCTCTATCAACTGGGGAGGGGAGGGCCGGGGTTGGAGGACTCTGGTGGGACCACACGGTTTTCAGAACGGCAGTCGTTGCCAAAAACGTATGATGGAAAATAATAATGAAAATTGATTGACAAGTCTCTGTCTATGATGAGGGGCAAGGGGGTGGTGGAACATGAAAATATTCCAGAGCTCCTCCCTTAGACGAGAACTAATGACTGGGAAATGTTGTTGACAAAGTTGCTGCTCATTCCCAAACAAGATGCAATTGTAGGCTGTCACTCATATTTGTGAGTTACTGCTTTAGCAATCATTTATGCAAGTATAAAGTCAAAGAATTAATAATTTCATAAAGAAGAACAAATTTATAAGTTAACAGATAATAAGAATTGTGGTTCATTAGATAACTTACTAACTCAGTTTTCCATTTATTCAGCTAAATGAATTCCTTATATATCTATTCTTTCATTTGGTTTTTTTATCCACTAAAAGTAGAAAACAGAATATATGCGGATTTCAAGGTGCCAATATATTCCAAGGTTTGCAGACCAAGCATTTGTTTTACTCCCCTCATCATGGATGTCAAATTGAAGTCTGTGCAATAATTTGGAGTAATTAACCCCAAAAGTTTACAGAACGTAGCAATAACTTACCGACGGAATACAGGTTTTGTACACATCCTGAAAGCAGTCGCTTATCCCTCTATCGGGATTTTGTTTGCACTGGAGGAAATACGGCTTGCAAATCTGTGGGGATGATTTTTGATAAATCATTCGCTTATAGGATATTTCATATACACGTATAGTTTGAATCAAATACAAAAATGCCAGCTGTTAATTTTGGATAAATTATTTATCAGATTACTTCAATGCCACCTTTCTGGAAGTGAGACAGCATATCGAGACCATCTTTCGTTATCGATGTTTTCAAGGGTGTTTACAAAATAGCATACAAACTATCGAATATTATATTTTCCAAATCGTTGAAAAGTGTTTAATGCTATGTGAATCCCTCGAATGGACATGGTGGCATAGAAAGCGACTAGATGAAAATTTGAGGAAAGAAAAACATTATGCCATGCTCGCAGTCTTCTCGTTCTTGAGTCACTCGAGATGTTCCCAAAGGTTTCCATATTGCTCGAACCCACGGCTCGTGCGCTCAACTTTCAAAACGTCCCTCGTGCGCAAAAATTCCAGAACGTACTCGTAATCGTGCACTTCCACGTATGTACACAAATTCAATCGACATTGATTACAAATAATTTAAAGGGACAAAGAGAAAAACTCATGTGTTATAATAAACTTCCTCTTCAGAATATAATTTTTCAGTCTTCATCAGTATTTTATTTTTGCACTTCAGTTTAAAATTTTGAATGGTCATTTCCATAGAGAAAACTGTCAAATTATATCGGCGGCTACGATACAAAATTGTTGAGCTGAGACGGTTAGAATGTAACATTGCAGCTGGTATAATGAAAGACGATAACACACACCAAAGAGAAAAAAAGATATATGTCTGAGTAAAAACACCCTCACCTGGGCAGCCGCTTTGTAAATGTAATCAGGATCCTTCTTTGCTTTGGCTTGAAACATCACGGACAAAATAAGTATTAACACCAGGCTCTTCATTTTGTCGGAAAGTTCTGTAAAATTTTGAACAAGTAGGCGAGGAGTAAACCGAAGGACTGATTAAGATATGCAAAACGGGAAGACAAAGCATCACTTCGTAATCAAGTCAATAATTAATTCAGTTTACATTTAACCCTAAAATTATAGCCAATAAACTTTGCCTAAATAAATCAATTCAGTGCTCAATAGGTTCCTTGGCCAAATAGCAGACAGATCGGATAAGCTCCAGGGTGAAATGTTTTCTGAAATCACGTTCCTAAGAAAAGAACTAATCATGGGAAATTCATTACCCAAATTCATGGCCCTGTTATTTGGAATTCAATAAATGAAGATATCAAAAGCTCAACCTCATCCTCTTTCAAGCGCAAATTAAAGTATCAACTTCTCATCTTACCCTCAATATTTCTAGCAGTATGTGCGCTGTCTTCTAATTTTTTCTAAACTTCATTTACATACTTTACACATTGTAAGCTCTTTGGTTCAACTATACCGGCCATAAACTGCAAAATTACATAATTAAGAGGCAACTTGAGATTTTTACCCAACTAAGGTTAGCGATTGGGCTCTGACGAAGGGCTAACGCTCGAAACGTCAGCTTTTTTATTTTTTATGACGGCAAATTTACGTTTTCAACTCAGTTGTTAACACTAAATTACCTGCTATACACTCTCCCACCGACGCAGCACCACAGTTTTTTTAGAAACTTACCCGCTTTAAGGTTATTTTGGGCCGTCAGTTACCACCTTACATTCATAATTTTAAAATACTGTGACATTTTTAACTGTAGTAAAGGTAAGGGATAAATAAAGTTCGTTCAGTAAAGTAAATGGTTTGAACCCAGGAGTATCAGTAGTTCGTGTAGTGTGATCGTCCGGGTGAGTGTAGTTCTGTAAAGAACTGTTGTTGTCACCAACAACAGTTTTTTTCAGAACTACACTCACCCGGACGATCACACTACACGAACTAAAGTTCGTTCAGTTGTTGAATTGATTGTGCTAGTTTTTTCATTGGACATGCAAGGAGAATATCGAAAGTATTACAAGCACGTAACACGATGTCTGTGGTAGAAAACATTAAGTGTTCGAAATGCTCCCCTACGACTTCGTTGTCGATAACAATTATTTGTTGATCTTCCTTGCCGCCGACAAAGGATACCGCTGCATTAAAGATTCAGTAGGGAGTTGAAGAAAACCACGACGGCAACGGCAACAGAACGTCAATAAATAGAAGGTTGAATGAGCAGAACGATGGCTGTGCACGTGCGTTATAAATCTTTGTAAATTTCTTAGCGTCCTGCACAAAAACAACGTGAAATGACCAAACTTTGCGTCGTCCGGAGAACGTGAACGACGATGGCTAATTTTGTAAATTTCTATTAACGCTGTGTTCCATACCCAGTTGCGCGAAATAGTTTTGACAGTAAGCAACAAACTAAATGACTTGAGAGTATCGCGAGAAACGGAGGTAGAACTGATAGAAGTTTTTTTTAATTGACGTTGCCTACGGCGTCGCCGTCGTCTTTATTTAAACTCCCTACTACTATAGAGTTTAACAAAACCACCAAGGCGACGGCAAAGAGATCGTAGCAAAACAGAAGATCTAATGACAAGAACAAAAGGACACCGCGTTCGTTTTAAAACTTTGTACATTTCTTAGCCGTTCTTTTTACAGGGAAACCTTGACAGCAATTTCGTCACACTTTTACTTAGAAGTCAGCACTACATTCATATGTTATGCTGAATGGATAACACGTGTACGCATCAGACTATTGGTTATTGGTGACATCTGAAATCCCGTACTGACCTCCGTACGCAAAGACTTGTTAACTCATTGGTCTCAACCACTTCGACAAACTATATGCTGGATATGCTTTTTGAAGAGAATTCGAAGCTGATGAAAAGCTTCTTAAATTGAGCTAAGAGTTCCAACAAGACTCAGTTCAACTGCAAGAGTCTTCCGACACCGTTAAAAAAATCTATTAAAGATAAATGCAGCGCTATTGCAGTGTCGCTAAACTCTGTAAATTATGTGGCGTATTTAACGCTAATCTTTATTATTCAACTAATTATTCAACTTTCAGACACTGTTCGAATTCCGTTTTTCTGATTGGCTGAATTGCACCTCGTGATACAGGGTTGTGACGGATCAACCTCCTTGACGTTATTATCGTGGGATAGCCGTGGTTGAAATTCAACACACCACCGTCATTACACCATGGCTTCGGCTAACTCAAAGTTTCACGATTTTTCAGATGCAGACATTGATTCCCCTATCGATGATGCAATTCCTAAAAACACCAAGAAAGCAACTGCTTGGGAAATATCTGTTTTGAAAGGTAAGGTTGAGAATTTTAAATTTTTTATTTAAGCTAGTTGAGGTGTTTTTGCGTGTTGTCAACAGTTAAGCCAGCTTTGGTGGTTTCAATGCAGTGTTTCTTTGTGCAGTGTATGTAATTTGAATAATAAAAAATGTCATGGCTGGTAATAATAAACGATATTGTAATAAATGGTTCAGCGTCGCCATTTACACCTGTTGGAAATTGAACTACAAAAAGCGACACCTCACAGAAATTTAAAAACTGGAAAACGAACAAAAAATTCGATGTCACATCATTCAATTTTCCGGGATTTTAGATGCCTTTTACGCACAATGAAGGGAATAAATTAAAGAAGGGTTCCTTTTTCTTCCCCCAAGACAAAACAATTCATTTCCCAAATAAAGATCCTTCAAGTTTGATTCTACGAATTGAAAACCAAACCATAAGTCTTACTGCTTAACTTGAACTTAAAATGGTTTTATCGACATAGCTTAGTTGGTCGGAACATTTTCAAGCGTTGACTGGTGTGGTGGGTCGACTCCTGGCAAAATTATAATATTAATATCACCATTTGATGTAAACTTTTCATTTGATTGCGCCGTGCGTCACCTCAAAACCTATTCTTCTTTCGTCGTTTCCCTTCTCCAGTTTTATTTCGTAACCAGACTGAGATCAGATTCTAGTTTTTTTGCAGCAAAAGACTAGTACAAATATTATCATGATTTATATCAATGCTTTGTAGGAATTGAAACTGAGGTGACAAAATCGCATCACCTGTTCGACGATTTAGTTTGTTCTCAATGAGTCGGTTACGCAAATTGATCCTAGCGAAACAAAATTGGCCTCTGGAAAATATCCAACCGACGACCGAAATAGAAAATCAAGACAAGAAGGAAAATATTAATATATTGACCTCTAAAATTTGGGATGGAAATTGATAGAAACATTTACTGCTTCACTCAGAGACGAAGAGACAAATCTAGATGGTTTTGAAGACTCGAAGCCAGTTTCGCCACTCTTACAAGAGCTTTTTCATGTTCCTTTGCAACGTAAAGCAGACCAATAAATCATTAGGTCAAACAGATGGCCGAGAAAACTGTTTAGATTTAACAACCTTGCTCTATTTCTTCCCTATCTATAAGTTCTGATAATCTCGGAAAAGTCTCACAAATGTACGTAGAAACTCCTTAATGACGAATTTTACATATCATCTATGGAAGATTTTAACGTTTGACCGAGCGACTAATGTCAGGTTGAATGACGGGTGAAAACCGCAAACATGAGGTAATAAAAAACTGTCTCAAATTTAACGCGTTACTCCGTCAAAATGAACTACTTCTCTGTTCAAACGAAATCTGACAAAGATTAAAATAACACTCAAAACTTTACATGATAAATATTTAACAAGTGTGCTCACCGCTAACCTGTTAACTGCGATTGAAGAAAAGATCTTGGACATACAGAGGAACAGCAGCGAACTGGGGCTCTTCCGGGAGTTGATGATTTTAAAAACGATCAGGTGTATTCAATATGTTTCTGAATGGATTGTATGTGAGCCTCATTAAATTTTATGATTTCACTTAACTGCAGAATCTTCAAGTTAATTGCTATCCGCGGATTCAAAAGCCGAGTAGCAATTAGCAGAACTTCTTTGTTGAAATTCACCATTATGCAACAAGCTGCAGGTATCCTCTATTCTTAGACTAACATGTGCTAGTGGCCTGTCAATCTGTCACAGCCGGTTAATTTGTTTTTATAGAAACAAAAACAAAGACGAAGTTTCTGTTTAAATTATGTTTTAAAAGCGAATAACTTGAATCGCACCGCCTTTTCGCCGGCTGAGGGAGATTTCAAAGGCGGAAAATATCGCTCAGTGAGTGGTTTTTAGATGAAAAAAACTTTTAATAACCACTTCGGGAGCCCAACTCGCTTTGAAAAGCATCATTACATTAGGAGATATTTCCTGTTTTTATTCAAGAATGCCGAAGTTTCTAATCTTTTATTCCTACTTCAATTACAGTCCAAGGGAGGTATCTGAACTGAAATCCAATTTTTAAAAAGGATCTGTAAGGCCGCCGTTCAACTTGTCAATCCAATTTTAATAAAAAAGAAGAGATAAGTACTTCAGGAATAAATTAACCTGAAAAGGAATAAATGAAGTGAAGAAATATCTTACTTTGAAGTACCCAATAGATCAGGTGATAAAAACATCAACAATGACCTTAAAGCATACAAGTTAGTTCTAATATATCGTTTCCAAGACATATTCCATTTAATATGAAATGTCGTTGGAGTGATCATCTGTATATGGCAACACTCATATGGGAAACAAAATTGTGGACAGAGCTAGAGATTGCATGTCTTGCCAAACAAAGAAGATAATGGACAGGGTAATTTGGTATTACCAACGAGTTGACAACGTAAATTGGCCACCGTAAAGAGTTTCAAAGCTGACGTTTCGAGCGTGAGCCCTTCGTCATTCGCTCTGACGAAGGGCTAACGCTCGAAACGTCAGCTTTGGAACTCTTTACAGTAGCCAATTTATGTTATCAACTCGTCGATAATACCAAATTACCCTGTTAGACTATCCCACCCACGCTGCACCGCGGTTTCGGTAAAGACTTACTCCCCTTTAAAATAGTGGACTGTCTTGTTCTGAGCCCTACACCCGCAATATATATCCATATGAATAAGCATTTTTCTGCTGAGAATTCTTTTTGACGAAGTTGTCACAGTAATTTAACATTTCATTTTCTAGTTTACACTTGGAAATGGTCACCAATTGCTACTGTACCCTAAAAATTATCGTTAAATTATCAAAATGCTCCGGCCAAGCTGTAAAGCAGTCGGGATTACAAGGAGTCTCACTCGCAGCGGTTTTTTGGATGTCACGCAACGTTGTTTTGGGGGAACGTTGCGTGACATCCAAAAAACGGCTGCGAGGGAGACTAGGATTATAGGAGCTTGTTCTCACATAAGATTGGCATGATAGTGATTCTTAGTTAAGATTTAGCATTAAAAGTTCAACACATATGTTTATTTAAGGTAAAAGGGTCATCCTCTCTTTCCTAGTCTTTTGCCTGTTGATCGTTTGCGATAAGAGGCTCTTGAATCATGTTACAGTTCAACAATTAGGTTTTCACAGTTAACGATTTAGACCGGGAAGAGACATTCGATCGCACAGACAATTACGTATGATCGTTCGAATGAGCAAAACAATTACAGGTGAAGGATGGAAGGAAGTTAGAAACCTTGGAAAAACCTCGCGCAAACAATGGCCTAATGCAAGCTGAAATCAGAAGAGAGCGCCGATTATACAAGTCTGTATAAAAGTTTGCTCTTCTCTTTTTTTAGTGTGGCCAAGATTTGTGACTGCCATATTTAAAACGCGGATTACGGGATTTAGACTGGCATGAAAATAAAGGAATGAAAATGAAAGGAACAGATAATAATAATAACATTTTTAAAACCGGCATTACTTTTTAACTTATACACGGTATACTGAATTTTTCAAAAGAGCGGCATCTTCATTTTGCAATTTAGAATTTTATTCTTTAACCGTGGGCCAACATGCAATGATGCTCAATTATGCTAAGTGAGGAAGTTACAAAATATTCTTATTCTTCTAAGCGGTATAGCTTATCACAGTATCAACTGGTTAAAATAAAATCAAGTTAATTCAGCTGAAAGTTGCTTCGTCACATCCGCTGGTGCGTGTGCTTTTAAAATTATTCATTAATCTTTTCGAAATCCGGATCAAACTGCTCAAGTCAGGTCATCGGACTAATTAATGCTTATTCCGTAAAGAGGATAAATTTACTTTCCGACAAATGTTACTGCAGTCTTGAAAAGTGTTTCAAAATTTATGTATTACAATTTGAAAGAAGCACTTTCATTGAGATCCTAAAAAACAAAGAGCCAAGCGTCGATGAGTGCAAGCAAGTGCTACAGACTTGTTTACACGTGTCCTGCCTTTTAATGATAGAAAATATATACAAATGCGACGGATGAACTGTGAAGAATATTTAAGACTTCCTCGTCGCTTTCTACGACAATTGTACGCTTTTTACGAGACCCGTGGATGTTTACTGCTAGGCCGTCGAAGATTAAAAATTGGTAATAAGAAATACTACTGCCGATACAATCACTTCGGATGTTTACATTCAATGCGGAAGGTGAGTTTTTTTTTTAAAGTTTGTTTGTCTCATAACAAGGGAATCTAATTAATGATGCTACTGCTTCACTTACTTTAGCAGAAGCTAAATCTTTGGTTAGACGGTGTGAATCGACGGAATTCGGCTGACAAAACAATGCAAGCAGTGAATTTCTGGCAAGGTGGATCATCATTATAACGATTCGAACGGGGAACAGTAATTCAAGTTGCCTCATTTTCTCACAACAGTTTGAAGTTTGGGGCTTTTATAGCAACTTCGTAATTTCTTAATCCTTTATATGTCTAAAACCTTCTCGATTAAGACTAGATTATTTACGATTCATTAACATTTATTCGTATATATGGCTTCCTGTTTTATTTTCTTAATTTTCATCCTCAAAGATTCCTAAATTAGATCTAAATTTAATCATATATATTGTATGTGTTCAGTTTGCACCTAGTTGATGGAAACAGACTGGTAATCAATCTGAACACATCCCACTCCGAGGCGGGTCTACTCTCAGCACATTAACTTCTATATGAAGTTATAATTATTTCCATTTGAATCACATCCGGTATAATTTTATCCACAGACTTATATAGTTATTTCTTTTCTTAGACACGTAACGAATCCAAACTTATATACAGATATTTTAATTAATTTATTATTAATTACTTAAATATTGTACAATTTGTTGTAAATTAGTATCAGGCAGGTCCACATCAGCTTCGGTTGCGTGACTCTTAACCTGCATTACCAAATAAGTTATGTTGTTATAAATCTAGACTTTCACCCAAAAAACCAGCACTGTGGTTGGTTGATTCTTGGTCACGTGCCCCTGATCAAATTCAAATGTATCCCAACCGGGATTCGAACAAAAAAAAGTTTCTCCTCTAAGTTTTCGTGATGCGCCGATCTCAGCTATTAGGATATTTTTACAAGAAAAATTGGTTTTTTATTAACCACGCGTCTGCGAGAAGCCATCGTCAAAAGAGATTGCAAGAAGTTTACTGTCTTCTGTAGTGTCGCGGCAAGAACGAAAAAATCATATCGCAACACAAAATTGTTTGTTTCAAAAGGCATTCTCTTTTCTTTACTGTATGATGCGCCTAATAATCTCTCGTAAAAATGTCGAATTTCGAAGATTATGCAAAACGAACAAACAGTAGCATCGGGTCAAAATCGGGTGAAGCTCGGCAATCTATCGTTACACTTCCTCAATCATCCTTACGTATTGACGACGTATGTGGCAGTAACCACAAAAAAACCATCTAAACAATCTTAAATATAAGAGTGACTAATACTAAGCAGTAATCTTGCTTTCATCATTTACGCACATCTAATGGATTTTAATGCATTCTGTGGTTGAAAGGTCACCTCTCTGACCCGATTGACGCTAAGCTTGTGTTCTGCTTGGTTGATGGTGTGTCGTGTTTCTACTCAGTCCACATTGTTCGTCGAATGCAAATACTAGAAGAAAAGTACACACACTATTAAAAATAAGTATTATATTATATTGTTTCCGTGGTTACAAATTGCATCCTCATTTGCTGAGACGGAGTTTGTGTCCAAGGAAAAATGATGTGTTCATTTCCGCACTTTTTCGTAAAAGGCAAATATTACCTGACAAGGAATAACAAATATAGGTACAATAATTAAGCAATTCTATGACCAAATGCTTTTATCTACACAGGAAAAACTTGAATAGATGCCTAAGAATCTATGGCCCTTTATCCGCTTCGAAAAAGCACAGGGTGTAAGGAAAACCGCTGAGTCAAGTGCACGAGTGCACTTATTTATATTGCGTTGCTTAAAACAGCTGCGACGATACGTCAACGAAATCATTTTGATACAACTGTTGAATAAGGCAAGGCTTCGAAGTTTTGAAGTAGAAAGAAGGAAATACATCACCTTTGGAATCAGCCGAGTTTCTTCAAGGTAAATGTACTTTCCAGTGAATGGTTTGAGAACTGATGGAGGCGCAAATTTCAATTAAATTCTGCAAAATTTCTAGTACATCCGGTGGAGTGTAAAACCCTTTTGAAGCGTGTTCATGAGCATGTTTTGACGAAGTGAGGCGAAAAAATAATAAGCTGTTCTGTTTGTTTACACGTTTCTCTACGCAGGAGACAGCAGGAATCATGTTCACGAAAATCTCAGCATTCGGTGCCTTGATCCTCTTCTACAACACTTACTTGGCAAGGGTGAATTGTCAAAACAAATGTCTTGGTGTCCACAATTATTGCCCCGGCGGTTATAAAATGCAATCCAAATGTGTAGATGGGTCTTGCGTTTGTAACAGTCAAGACTACGATTACCACTCTTGTTTGCGTAAGTCATCTTGGAATTACTTTCAAGCTTCAAGTTTATTGTTTGTCATGCCAGTCAATTCTCCATCTTTTTATTCTTCCCGCTTCCTCGTTCGCTTACTCTAACAAACGATCATTACAACATTACTTAATCACAATCAATCGCTCCTCACCTTTAACATGCAAACTTTCATTGTCTTAGGGTTTTATCTAAGAATCGTTGAACAAAAAAAAGTCGAGTTCAAGCGCAAAACTGACACGATTGAGAATCGTTTCGATCGTTTACGATTTAATGCGAAATACGAGCCGTGGGGGCAGTTAAAGGTCATAATTGATTGATTGATTTCAATACATAACCAGCGTCTGTGTAGAAATTGCGGAAGTGCCTTTTTGAAAGATAGACGACGATCGTGAACGAATTTAAAACTTGGTAGTAGTAGTAGTAGTAGTAGATCTTTATTTAAACTCGGTTAAGAATCTTCAGTTATACTAACAGCATTTTAATTACAATCATTTGTAAAAATTAAAATAACTATAAAAACTGATTTACAAGATTGCCGAGTGGGAATCGAATGTTTCAAGTGCGCGGTTGATTTCCTTCTTAAACTGCCCAATTGATCTAGTCGCCCTAATATTCTCAGGAAGAGAATTCCACAGTAAGGCACCGCTATAGTCAAAGCTACGTTTCAAATAGTCTGTACGCGGCTTGGGCAAGTTTAACTTACGGAAAGAATCATGCAAGTCATAGTCTGTGAGTTGCTCACTGTATAAATCATGCAAGTACACTGGGGCTAACCCGTTGAGGGATTTAAACAACATTATAGCTTTCTGCTTTCTTCTTCTTAATGATAGCTGGTCCCACTTCAAAGTTTCAAGAAGCAGGCTTGAGTTTACCTCACAGTTGGCTTGCAGAATAACCCTAGCTGCTCGGTTTTGCAATTATTTGTAGTTTCTCACATAGATAAGAACTCAATCCATCCCAAACGGGGGCACAGTAATCGAAATGAGGTTGGATTAAAGCGTTATATATTTGTACTGCAGTGGACTGAGAAATGAGGGACCTAATGCGCCTCAGAGCCCCTATTGCCGAGGATATCTTTCTGCATAGTTCTTTGATGTGATTAGACCATGAAAGTCGGTCATCAATAATTAAACCTAATGATTTGGCATGCTCAACCCTGCAAATTGGATGGCCATCTAATTGGATATTAATCTCACGACAATTTTCTGAAAGAAACTTTTGTCGATTACTAATCACCAAACTCAGTTTTCGCGATGTTTAGACTAAGCTTATTGGCTTTTAGCCAGCTGTAAAGATTATTAAGTTCAGAATTTGTTGCTTGTTCGAGTTCGGCAAAAGTGCAACCAGGGACGGTGATTTTAGTATCGTCAGCAAACATTTTTGGGCAGGAAATATCGAGGCAGTTAGGAAGATCATTTATATCTATTAAAAAGAGCAGAGGTCCCAGTATACTTCCCTAAGGAACCCCGCAGGTTAATCTACTTGCACCGGATAACGCTCCATTGACACTGCATTTTTGGGATCTATTACATAAGTAGGACGCAAAAACTCGTAAAGCACTTTGATCAACCCCATAGTTCGCAAGTTTCCGCAAAATTATTTCGTGATCGATTGTATCAAAGGCCTTTTTAAGATCAATAAATAGCACGCCATTTAAGAGACCGTTGTCCATATTAATTGACCAGTTGTTCGTTGTCTCAAGCAGCGCTGTTAGCGTGCTGTACATTGATCGAAAGCCAGATTGGTGCGTATTCAAGAGGCTATTATCCTGAAGATATTCATAAAGTTGACGATAAATAACTTTTTCGAAAATTTTTGAGACGTGTGGCAATACTGATATTGGTCGATAGTTCCCTAGTTCACGCTTGAATCCTTTCTTAAACAGCGTTGTAACTTTGGCAATTTTCCACTCGTTTGGAGTGGTCTTTTTAACAGGAGGCCAAAGGAATGAACAAGATCGATTGCAATGAAATTTTATGGTTAATTTAACTAAAAAAGCTATGAAATTTACCTTTTCTGTTCCCTACGGTCAAATGATATCATTATGACGTTAAAATTGACTTCAAGATCAAGCATCTTATGTTTTTCTTCATAATTTGCATATGTGACCCTCCACGGGATTTCAGGGAATAAGGTGAACGCACGCACACGGTACACTAGCACGCTAAAACAAAAGAAAAAGCTTTTTTTAACACGTTAGCTGCGTGTAAGTTACTTGTCTCCTTAACTTCCCAGCCATTGTCTTGGTTCGCACGGTAAAAACAAAGGAACGTGTTATGATCTTGCTCGCAACTTTGCACGATCTAACAAGGTGACCGTGCCAATATTATAACACGCCGGCTTCGCTCCGATAGCTTCGCTTTGCACCGGCTAAACAGCGTTTATTTATTTTTAAAATGCTGGTTTGCATAGAGTGACGAACAGCGACCGCGTAGGAGACGTGGAGCCGGAAAACTGTTGCTAAAGGATTTGCAAAGATTTGGTTCTGGGCTCATTAACTTCGTGAAGCGATGAGAATTTATATTTTACAACGTGACAATTAAGTTTTCAAAAAGTAATTCATGTGTTCAAACTGAGCTCCTCTGGACCTTGTGAAACATGTCGTGCTCACTGAATTCCTTGGTGAAATCCTAAGGGAAAGAGCTGTGATTTTCCGTGAATGTTTCCTTTTTTATTACAACTTTCGGATAGGACAGAAGATCTTCTTCATTTTCGCTTATATTCTGTAAGTAATGTATTTTACAAACACCATTCTCACAATTAAGAAGCTGACAAACACAAGGAACAAAGTAAGCTGGGTTGTATAAGATAAGCTAGCGTGTTAAGGAACAACGGAATTTAGGGTGTGAAAAAAAAAAAAATCCAGCGTGTTATAGAAAAAATGCCCTACCGTGTTAGACAGATATGAACAATGGCTACAACACGTTTTCCAAAATCAATTGTTGTCATGCGCATATGTGCACGGTAAGCGTGTCATGCCTTTGGCGTGCAAGCGTGTTATAACGCGCCGTGAGCGTGCGTTCACCTTATTTCCTGAAATCCCGTGAGGAATCCCATATTTTCAAACATGATTTACCAGCGCAAGAACGCATCAAAGAGGCACTCGGATTTTTTTCTCTCGCTAGAAGTAAGCTGACATTTTTTCCCTTCTTCTTGAAGTCAACATCTAACTTTCTTCTGTGCAATGATTAACGATCAAAGCAAGTGATTATGTAAAATGACGGTGGAGCGCTTAAATTTAATTGAGTGTCGAACCCGAGACTGTCAGATCAAAACGAAAGATTTACACGAGACAGTGAGATCTGGGGGTACAACAATCAAATATTTTTTAGCTTTTAAATGCTCGATAAAGGTGTATTATATAGAAGCGATTGGTTTCAGTTTTGCAAGTAATTTCTTGAAAAGGTTGCGCGAGTTTTTGTGGCCGAAAACAGCGCGTACTAAAGCGGAAACAACAAACAAAAGTAATCTCGGACAAATTGAGAATTATCCCGATCCATTGCAAGAAAATATAAATAGCGTATAAAATATGCTTCTGCCTTTGTGGGTTTTTAAAAGTATAAGAGATTTGACGATAAAAAGCCAACGTCACGGCAAAGAAATTTGAAACGTACGTGAGGTATGGAAGGCGCGGTGGTCGAGTAGTCAGGACACTGGACCTTCACCCGCTCAAACTTAAGCTTTGGGTTGCGTTTCTGACTTGGTTTACTGTGAAGTGTTCTCGACCGAGGCAATTTACTTTCCCAGCGTCTCTCTCAACCCTGGATGTGTTCTGAAATGATTACCGAAGAAATATCAACAACAAGACGTTAGGTAACCCTGCGATGCACTGGCACCTGGTCGAAGCAATGGCGGGAAGGGAAAGGTCCTAATACTTTTGCGCCTCTCATGATACACTGAAATCGAGATAGCCTCCGGTAGAATGGGCCTTTTGGCTCGTCCCTTAATACAAAGGGCGGTATAATCAGGTGGGCTCCACTCCTTGGTTTCAGCTAAAATGCAAATTACGCCGTGCTAATATTACGCGATGGGGAAGCGAATTATTTCGAGTTTCAAATCTACCGCCACAAATGAAGACGGTTTTGATTGGACAGAGGAGATACAAACCTTAAAAAATTCAACCATTTTGATGAAAACGTAGAAGCTTATTAGAGCTTCTGAGAAATCCGTCTGCTGTTCACTCGTTTTGGATAGGCTGCAGCTCATGCTGTTTTGATTTGAACGTAGAGGTCATTCTGTATGCCACAACGGTTGATTGACAAATGATCTAGAGGCACCTAAGGTACATCTCCTTTCTTAGTGCGCCTTCCTGTTTCACCCTTGCCAGCCATTACCAGTTCTGGTCAATTAAACATTTTGATTTGCCACGTATCTTTTTGTCGTTTGTGCTATGATGGTTTGGTGCTATCAACTGAGTTGATCGTATTAATTTGCCACCATAAAGAGATTCTAAGATTCTAACACAGTTTCGTCGGAGCAAATCAGCCTCGCTCTGACGAGGGGCTATCCCTAGGAATGTCAGCCGTAGAATTTCTTCATGGTGATCGATTGATATTGCCTGAACTCAGCTAATAAATTCAAATTATCTTGTAATGTCCTCCACAGATGTACCACCAAGTTTCTTTAGAAACTTATTCGTTTATGCCACGTTTAATTCAGGTTATATTATTGTGTGTGTATGCAATGTCCAAAGATGCCTAGCAACAAACAACGCGTAGTACTTAGCTAGTAACTATACATATTTTAATCCCATTAGATACTTATATTTTTATATCATGTACATATGTTTGTGATTAGTTTTAACATTTGCCTATTTATATATTTCTCTGTGAAATACGCAATTCAGTCTAATGACTGCGATGTATTTGTGAATAAACAGTCTATCTATCATCTTGTTTTTGCATTAACGTTTATTTCCTCAGCGGATACAAAAGGATGCAAAATATCAGTGGATGCTGCTACATCCCTCGGTAAACCTCAATATAACAACCAGCCCCGGCAGCCTACCTACAGCTGCACGCCTAGCAGCAGCAGCTCCAATCAGTATGAAGTGCACGTACTATCTGTTTACGAGGTTATCAACAGACGTCCCCCGACCGCTGGTGACGCTACTGTTAACATCTTCAGCGGTGGAAGGCCCGACAGACCTCTTGTACTTGTACTTGTAAGTTACGAACCTGTAAATTGGATCCTCAAGCTACCATCTGACGTCACAATAAGTAGGGTGATACTGGTACGTACACAAAAGAGACAATTATATGATAAATAAATCATTTCGACAGAAGGGTCACTTTAAAAACCTTCGACGTTCAACCTTTTCACTTTATATGGAAACATTAATCTCCCGACTCAAAAATTAACACCTGAACGACTGTAAATGTGCCTGCAAAACTATTCTTTGTATATTCTTCGCTAGTATTCGTTTTGTCAAGCTATAAGTTGATCATGGGGGTTTTTTGGAGAACACGCCAAAAGCTAAATTGAATGTGGAAATACAAAATGAAAAAAGGACACAAATAAAACAGGTTTATATCTTTGTTTCTCTCTTTAAAGGTTGCATACTACGTGGATAAAAGTTCAGTCAGTGGAGACGTAAACCAAGTACAGGCGATTGAACGAAAGAGTTACCGCGACTCATGGCCGACAGGATTTGGTAGTGATTCAGGCGGTGGAGATACAGTTGGGCTTCTAAAGTAAGAAAACAGAAAAAGGCATTGAATGTTTGAAATATGCCGCCTAACCCCCTTGCCTCCTCGGTGCTGCCGTCCTTTTCACTACAACTGTCGTAAGGATTTTAAAGTCAGCCTTAATAGCGAGGAGTGATTTATATTGGACAATCGTCTCCATTAATTCACTGTGCTTATACATAATATGTCTTTACTTTTAGGAGGGGGGGGGGGGTCGCTCGAAACCTGCTAGCCTCTCTAGTGGTACCGTCCATACCAATATCTGATATCGCTCCTTCGGATCTTAGACTCACTGCGTCTTGATAGCGAGAAATGAACGAAAAATTATTTGCATTAATCTATTGACTATTTAACAGTGGACTGATTTCATTGACCGGCCATATTTGAATTTCTTTTTACAGGAAGATTTATGAAAAGTTTGGTGTGGTGACGTCGTTTACAAGCACTTACAAAGCAGATAAATGGTCTTTGAATCTACGTTCTTCAAATGGTACCTAATTGATCACTCTAAACCCAATATTAAGGATTATTGGCTTTCTGGCAGGTTTGACTATGAGGACATCACTGAAATTTTTGATCGGCGCAAAGCTGTCCGTTTTTTGAGATAAGAATTTTTGTTTCCACAAGAACTGACATTTAGAATAAAAATATATAATATTTAATTTCTCTGGTACATCTGCCTTGAAAGCTTCAGACGAGGTTTACAATATATCAATTTGAGGTAAGCTGACTGGGTAGTATCTTTCATTTCTGCCGTCGCCTTTTAGGAATTACCTTACAGGTCAGGATGAGCCGTTGAATAACAATTGCTTGCACCCAAATGTCCTGATACTGACGGCCACATCATACATGATTTGCTTTTGTCTCCCTCTAAAAAGGGTCGGGGTCTAGCATCGTCGGTAACAGCACATCCTCTGCCAACACCGTCATCACCAGCACCACACCTACCACCACCATACCGTCTACCTCATCCACAGCCAAGCTGCATCGCAAAAAATGTTACTGGTGGAACAATGGCTATCACTGCTCCGGCCTATATGGCACAAAAACAGCTACCTGCATCGATGGGTACTGCGTCTGCTCTTTCCAAGACTATGATTATCATACTTGTTTGCGTAAGATTCCCTTTGCTGTTTCTTTTTATTGTGAAATTTTCAATATGGACGGCTTCTGCCAAGAATGGTTTTGTCCAGTATAACAGATTTCAGAATCTTTTAAGGTAAATGCATTGACACTCAACCATAACGATGCAGGCTGAAGTTTACGTACTGGACGATATAGCAATGACTTCAGTAGCCTTGAACAGTCTAATTAATCTTGAATTCTTCTGTTTCGCCATGTTTTGCCGGGACCTTTGTAAGATCTCAACATGTATTGCCGTTCTTTTCTTTTTTTAATATGTCCTCAGCTGATACAAAAGGATGCAAAATATCAGTGGATGCTGCTACATCCCTCAGCAAACCTCAATATAACAATCAGCTCCAGCAGCCTACCTACAGCTGCACGCCTGGCAGCAGCAGCTCCAGTCAGTATGAAGTGCACGTATTATCTGTTTACGAGGTTATCAACGGACGTCCCCCAACCGCTGCTGACGCTACTGTTAACATCTTCAGCGGTGGAAGGTTAGACAGACCTCTTGTACTTGTACTTGCAAGTTACGAACCTGCAAATTGGATCTTAAAGTTACCGTCTGACGTCACAATAAGTAGGGTGATACTGGTAAGTAGGCAACAGAGACCATATATGATAAATAAATCATTTTGACAGGAGGGTCACTTTAAAAATCTTCGACGTTCAACCTTCTAATCTATTTGTTGAAACCTTAATCTCCCGACTTAAAAGTTTACAACTAAACGACTGCAAAACTATTTTTTGTATATTCTTTGCTAGTATTCGTTTTGTCAAGCTATAAGTTGATCACGGGGGTTTTTTGGAGAACACGCCAAAAGCTAAGTTAAATGTGGAAATGCAAAATGAAAAAAGGACACAAAGAAAACGGGTTTATATCTTTGTTTCTCTCTTTGAAGGTTGCATACTACGTGGATAAAAGTTCAGTCAGTGGAGACATAAACCAAGTACAGACGATTGAACGAAAGAGTTACCGCGACTCATGGCCAAGAGGATATGGTAGTGATTCAGGCGGAGGAGATACAGTTGGGCTTCTTAAGTAAGAAAACAGAAAAAGGCATTGTATGTTTGAAATATGCCGCCTAACCCCCTCGCCTCCTCAGTGCTGCCGTCCTTTTCACTACAATTGTCGTAAGGATTTTATACTCATCTTGCCTCAATAGCGAGAAGTGGTTGGACAATCGTCTCCATTGATCCAATGTCCTTATACATAGCATGTCTTCTCTTTTATGGGAGGAATTCGTTCGGAAGCTATTAGCTTCTCCAGTGATACCGTCCATCCCACTATCTGACATCTCTCCGTCTGATCTTGGACCCACTGCGCCTTGATAGCGAAAAAAGAACGAAAAACTGTTTGCATAGATCTATTGTCTATTTAAATATGAAGTGATTCCATTGACAGGCTATAATTAATTTCTTTTTACAGGAAGATTTATGAAAAGTTTGGTGTGGTGACGTCGTTTACAGGCACTTACAGAGCAGATAAATGGTCTTTGAGTTTAAGTTCTTCAAACGGTACCTAATTCGTTACTATTAACCCATTACTAAGGATTATTGATTCTCTAGTAGGTTTTGCGATCAGGAAATCGCTGAAATTTTTGATCGGCGCAAAGCTGTCCGTTTTTTGAGAAACGAATTTTTTTTCCACAAGAACTGACATTTATGATAAAAATTGATAATAATTTCTCTGGTACATTTGCCTTGAAAGCTTCAAACAAGAGGTAGGCTGACTGGAGAGTAGCCTATAGCAGCTGCTAATAATCTATATGCATCCAACGGTGGATGTAAGTAAAACAGGCAAACCTTCGACTATGACCAGGGTCAACGCCTCATATTCTTTTGGAAGAGTAATCTCCCTTCCAAATTTTGAAAATGCAGGGGTGAACCATACAGTACCAAGTGCTTAAAGTTACCCCCGAATGATTAATAGATTTTCCCTCACTGAGACGAGTTAGTTAATTGCACTGCATGATCTCATCAGTTATTTTAAGAGCATGTTTGTACGTATGGTTTTTATATAAACCTGTGACCTACCGCTCTGTAACCTTGACATAACTAAACAGTCGGAGGACATCGATCAAAGTAGTTATGGTCTTCGAACACTGATAGACTGTAGTGGGATGTTAGAAATAATATATATTTAACGGAACACTAAAATGCAAAAAACATTTTGCATCTTTCATTTCTGCCGTCGCCTTTTAGGAATTACCTTACAGGTCAGGACTAGGCGTTGAATAACAACTGCTTACACCCAAATGACCTGATACTGACGTCCACATCATACGTGATTTGCTTTTGTCTCCCTCTTGGAAAGGGTTGGGGTCTAGTATTGTGAGTAGCAGCACGCCCTCTGCCAACACCGTCATCACCAGCACCACACCTACCACCACCATACCGTCTACCTCATCCACAGCCAAGCTGCATCGCAAAAAATGTTACTGGTGGAACAATGGCTATCACTGTTTCGACCTATATGGCACAAAAACAGCTGCCTGCATCGATGGGTACTGCGTCTGCTCTTTCCAAGACTATGATTATCATACTTGTTTGCGTAAGATTCCCTTTGCTGTTTCTTTTTACTGTGAAATTTTCAATGTGGACGGCTTCTGTCAAGAATGGTTTTGTCCAATATAATAGATTTCAGAATCTTTTAAGGTAAATGCATTGACACTCAACCATAACGATGCAGGCTGAAGTTTACGTGCTGGAAGATATAGCACTGACTTCAGCAGACTTGAACTGTCTAATTAATATTGAATTCCTTTGTTTCTCCATGTTTTGCCGGGACCTTAGTAAGATCTCAACATGCATTGCCGTTCTTTTTTTTTTTTGAATATGTCCCCAGCTGATACAAAAGGATGCAAGATATCAGTGGATGCTGCTACATCCCTCGGTAAACCTCAATATAACAACCAGCCCCGGCAGCCTACCTACAGCTGCACGCCTGGCAGCAGCAGCTCCAGTCAGTATGAAGTGCACGTATTATCTGTTTACGAGGTTATCAACAGACGTCCCCCGACCGCTGGTGACGCTACTGTTAACATCTTCAGCGGTGGTAGGTCAGACAGACCTCTTGTACTTGTACTTGCAAGCTACGAACCTGTAAATTGGATCTTAAAGTTACCATCGGACGTCACAATAAGTAGGGTGATACTGGTAAGTAGGCAACAGAGACAATTATATGATAAATAAATCTTTTCGACAGAAGGGTCACTATAAAAATCATCCCTTCAACCTTCTCACCTATATGTTGAAACCCTTAATCTCCCCACCTAAAAATTAACACCTTAACGACTTAAAAAAAGCCTGCAAAACTATTCTTTGTATATTCTTTGCTAGTATTCGTTTTGTCAAGCTATAAATCAATAATGGGAGATTTTTGGAGAACCAACAAAAACTAAGTTAAATGTGGAAATACAGACTGAGAAAAGGTAACACAAGGAAAAAAAGTTTATATCTTTGTTTTTCTCTTTGGAGGTTGCATACTACGTGGATAAAAGTTCAGTCAGTGGAGACGTGAACCAAGTACTGGCGATTGAACGAAAGAGTTACCCAGGCTCATGGCCAAGAGGAATTGGTAGTGATTCAGGGGGTGGTGATACAGTAGGGCTTCTCAAGTAAGAAAGCAGAAAAGTGTATTGAGTGCATGTCATATGACCCTCCCCCTCCCCGAACACTGATACGTAGAGAATTGAAAATGATGGAACATGACTCTTGACCAAGAGTTAAATGACGCTATGAAGTACAGTCTGACATATATTTGCTGGACCATTTAAAGAAATTGTGTTTTTTTTACACATATATCATATTTTACACATATATCGGACACTTTGACTGACTGACCAGGCTCCGGTTGCTCGAAGGTAGGATAACACTATCCACTGGATAACAATCTATCCGGTCGATAACGGCATACGTTTTGCTATCACTAATCTTCCGGACAGCGATTTATCTGTTAGATAGCGTTATCCGCCTTTTATACAACTGGGCCCAGATCTGATCGAAAAAACTGTCTCGATTGATCTATTGATTTGCTAAAAGAAATCATTAATTAGTTTGTTTGAACATGCTTGGATTTCTTTTGATAGGAAGATATACGAGAGGTTTGGTGTGGTGACGTCATTTACAGGCACTTACAGAGCAGACAAATGGTCACTGAATTTATCCTCCCAAAGCCATGACAAAAAGACGAAATCCTCCTGTCACGAGGTTAGTAACCGTAATGATAAGTTAATATCATCATCATCATCATATTTTTATATGCCTTATTTCCACAATACAAAAAAATTTATTTACAGCGGTTATAGCTAGAAGGCGAGGAAACCCAGGAAGCCACCAGGCTTATGAGAGAGCCACCTCACTTACATTAATAAATAAAGTAAAGAAAAAGTGCTGCGAATGTGCGGCTAGGCCAATTCAAGGATTATTTAAGTAAAAACTCTTGCATTTTCGTCTTAAAACTAAGAAGGTTTGACGAACAAGTGACTGAAACAGGAAGAGAGTTCCAAATTTTAGGACCTTAGTAGAGAATTGTAAATTGCTTGAGATTTGTACGGCACAAATGCGTTCGATAATTACTGGCTGTTCTGGTACCATAGTTGTGAATTTGGCTATTCGTTACCAAAAGATTGAGAAGCAATGGAGGCAATAAGTTATTTCTATAATAAAACATGAATTTGGCGATTTCAAACGTATTGACTTGGAAAATATCTAAAATTCCTAGTTTGGAGAATAATATGAACATCATCCGTTTATGCCTAAGCGATCGAGAGTGAGACTCTATTATTATCATTGCCATCATTAGCATACTCGGGGATCGGTCATTATTTGTCCACGGGAGGGGGAGGGTGTAGAATGCGATCCTCCCAAAACTCCTCTCCACCTACTGCCCCACTCATACGATGAATAAGAACTGATCACTCGTCGGAGCGAAATTTGAAACAACTAGTTTTGTTCCAACTGATGTCTTTTTCTAAAGTGAATATTGTCTTTCAGGTCGTTGAGAAGTTGAGCAAGAGGATTGAATTGCTGTCTGAAGAAGTAAAGAATCATAAGATGAAAATCATCTCTCTCAAGGAAAAGCGTGATGAGTCATTTGCCCCTCAAATTTCGTCGGGTGAACCCATACACAAGATTCACAAGAATCTAGCTAGCATTTTTGCGACAATAGTACTAACAGCACATATTTATTTGGTGATGTGAACCTTTTACATTTGAAAAAGCTGTGAAATTAAGACGCATTCTGCCGTAAACGTTGTAAGAAGAGGCTAAAGATTCCAAAAGTGCTGCTAAATTTAACAGTTGTACGTTCCCTTGCTTAAAAAGAATGGAAACACTTACATACAACTCTGTCTGACCACTCTGTTGCTTGTAAGTTAACTCTCTTATAAACTCTTCTTACGCTATGGTTTGTAACATTTTCAATAAAATCGTCACATTTGAGGAATGCCTGTATCTGCCTGTATCTGTAGGGAACCCAATGTTAACTACTAGAGAGCGGCAACAAGAAAACTTGAGATGCGATGAACTATAAACTCTTTTTATTACATGAACAATGATTCGCTGAAATCAAATGCATAAATTCGCTGAATAAATAATGGTAATTGAACTGAGTGAAGTGCAATTTGGGCTGAAATCATACGCGTGATTTCAAAAATCGAACGAGCGTACAGCGCGATTTCGATTTGAAATCACAAGTATGATTTCAGACCAAAATTGCACAACACGAGGTTCAATTACCACTTTATTACACCCATTTTGAAATCGCCCCAATACAGGACTTGGTCAGTTCAAATATTTTATTGATGCAGTACTGAGCCAGTTTGAGATTAAATTCATCCATTTTTGAGGGGGAAAAATGAGAGTTTTAGAAACAGAATTTGCAAAATTTGCCACATGATACTCTTTGTCTTTCATTTTCCTGCAATTTGATTGGTTACTTTAAATAAGCCTTGAAATCTTATTGGTTGTTTTGTTCTTATTATAGCCTCTTCATTGGCCGGGAAAAAGATGCGATTTAAAGCAAAAAAAGTGGTGCGATTTGTGAATAAATTGCACCAGTTAGAGCCAATCAGATTACAGGGACCACCAGTGATTTCAAAATGGGGGTAATAAAGCAAAATAACGACCGAATCACGAAGGATAAGAAAGCTACACAAAAACCGATGGATACTTACAAGTTTTTTTGTGCCTTGTTCTGCTAATAGCAAATGAAATCTTGTTCGACAATCTTAGCAGAAGCTAAAACTTAAGCACAAAACAGACCATATGTCGAAAACTTGTTATCTTATCGTGACTGCAAAAATATGCAACCAGCGGTACAGGTCGTAAATAACTCACTGAAATATCTTTTTGAATCAGCTCTCAGACATTTACAGTATCTCTTAAGAAAATAACACCTTGAGAAGCTCTGGACGTTCTCAACTTTCGTAAATGGCCGGCATGATGTTATTTTTCTGAGAATAGATAGTGGTTTGATACAATTTGAAAAAAAGCAAAGGATGTTCAGAAAAATAGAATTTCACCAATTACTGAGACCTTGGAAAGTGAAGTAAATAACGAAAAGAAAGCGTATTAGTAATCGACTCACTACAAGAACCATATACTGGACAACTTCTTATCGATAGATCGACCTTATTCATTCTCAAGTATTCGCTACAAAGTCTTAACTCTTTACAGTTTAACATAAGTATAAAAGTGTCCCTATCCTTCGTAATTTTTTTTCGTTCATTTCTTCTGGTGTTGACGAGGAAAATTTCTTTAATCAAAGTTTCCTAGGTTCGCGATCATTCCCCGTTATTCTCACGATCCTAATGAATTACTCAGCAATTTTACTGTGAGGTTAAATCAGATGGTGGTCCCTCTTATGGTTTGAAAGGTGAACATGGTGACGACAAAACAAGAGTAAACTAGTTGAATGAAAAGCGCTCGTTGATACCGTGGGGATTAAAAGTGCACACTTAAACTTCCCTCTTTTAAACATCGATCAGTGGGGCGCAGTTGTGAGAAAAGATAAAAAATTTACAATATTCGCACTTAAATTCTTATTTTACATTTACATCTGGTACATTAAGATGTTAAAATACACCGCATAACCATTTGGCTCAGTTTACGTGAAAACTCATCGATGCATGTTAGACACTTCCTCAGACGGTCCTGTGTAATTTTTGTGATGAAGAGAACAGTGTGTGTAAACTGACGTCATTGATCTAACTTGTGAAGATTGCACAACAGTTGTAATCCAGGTTCGAAGGTTTGGTTGACGGAAGGAATTCCTTGTCCTTCCACGTCCTAGAATTGAAGTGGTTCACACAGTCGAAAATCCTTGACATACTAATAAGCTTGACCTGCCCTTCTGTCATGTCGCTATCAAGTCATGTCGCTATTAAGTCATGTCGCTACCTTCGAGAGGAAAGTCCCCAAAACTCTGTTACCACTTATGCTCATGGCAGGCAAGCGTACGGTCAAGGTTATCATTAGCTTCTCAAGGAAAACGAAATATAGCAATTAATGAAAAAAAACCCGTAAAACTGCACCAATCAACAATATAACAAGACTTTCACTTCACAGTAAAAAAGTTTAACCTTCAAACTCTGTTGGCATGGCAATCGCAGTAGTTACATCCCACCCAAAAAGGAAATTTTTTTTCCAACTACATTACCCATAATAACTTTCCTCAGTTATGTTTTCTTTTGCCAACAGGGCATCCGAGCCAGTATGACGTCTGCGACTGACACTTGCAAGTACTCATGGATCAGGGACTTTAAGATTGGGGTGTTGTTTCGATTACCGCGAACGGCAAACGTCAAACGTCAAGTTCTCATTTAACGTAGCTCTTAGCGCGCAGTTTAAAACTTGTAGGTCGCAGTTGAACGTGAGGAGTGCTGTTTTGTGGTAAGTGATTTACGAAAAAGTTCTTCTCATACTTCAAGACTCTAAATTCACGTAATCACGTTTTCTGCTTATGTTTCCTTCTTTTATTATCTGAAATACCCTCTGACACTTAAGTGTTTTTGAAACAACAAAACAGTGGAAAGATGTCTAATGGTAAGTGTAGTGGAAAACGGGTCAAAAGCATTGGGTTCGAGACTTGGACGGGTCATTGTGTTATGTTCTTGGGCAAAACACTTTACTCTACAAGGTACTGGCGAATTGCCAGGGAAGCCTGATGAAATGCTGGGGGGATAATCCTGCAATAGGTTAGCTTCACATCCAGGGGGGAAGTAGTAATACTCCTAGTCGCTTTATGCTAAGGAAACTGGGCTAAGGTTCGGCTGGGCGGGCCACTTAGCTCGCGAACAGACTTTTTTTTCACTAAAACAGCGCTTTTATAAAGCGTTGGAACGGCTAAGACCTTTAACTCTTATTAATGTTTTGTTTGAACGAAAAAAACCGACAGCTGCATACAATGTCTCTATACCTACATGCTCACAGGCTCGCCTGTGTATCTCATACTTCTTGGACATCATGGTCCTCCATGAGAAATTCAGCGGCTTGCGCTTCAACGCTTGCTCGGTAACCTTCACGATGATAGGCGGAGAATTGCAAGGGTGTGAAAAATTGATTGGCAGTAGAGGTGTTTGGGAACCTGTCACAGAGGAGCTCAGACAAACCGCTTAGGCAGGACTTTTTGTTGCAGCACTCACAGCAACAGAAGGTCAACTTATCGACTTCCTCCCCAGTCAAATACGGACTATTTCCCCAGTCATTCGGCTCCAGATTAAAACCAAATTCTTCCCAGGTTTTGACCTCGCTTTGATCACCTTTGCGTGGACCTCGTGGCCTTATCATCATAATTTCACCTTCACCATCTCTGCCACCGTCATCTTTGTAGTACTCAACTTTAAATCTAAGCAGAAAAGAATGAATGCTTTTAGTCAATTTGAAGAGCTCATACAACCTCCATTGAATCAAAGGAACTCTATGGATTAACCTCTAAGAGTGACTAGCACCTAATTTCAACCTTACAAGATCACTCCTGAATCAAACATTTAGGCCACGAGGATAAAGTAAGTTATCAGCAACTAATGAAGCTCTAATTGAATTGATTACTGAACAAATGCTCGTGGCCCAATGCCTTTCAATGCCTTTTAATGCCTTTCAAGCTATAAAGAACGAGCCGCTAGACTGCTATTGACAACGGTGGAGTCTTGCCATCACAAACTTGAGGCCATATCTTCCCTTACATTAGACTTGAAACAGTGTATACCACTGATATACCCTGAATATCTCGAGCCCACATCAACTGATTGGTCCCTAAAAGAAGAGGAGTAGGAGAAGGATCGAGATACAAGGATTTCAATGTATTTTGAATTTCTTACTATAATGAAAAATTCTTCTACCTGACACAACTCTTCTCTTCCAGGATGTTAGTTTTTTTTCTGTTAGTTATGGACACATTCCCCATGTAGACAATTTCTTACTATCGAAGATAAAAAAAATTGGTGCATGAGAAAATACATACCTGTAATATCTTGGTTTCCTTTCATCCGGTTTATTTGGTTTTACGAAGGTGTCTAACAGGTCTGAAATGACGTCACGACCTCCCTGGCCAATAAACGAACAGTTTAGCTCGGTACGAGCGAGCATCAGTGCTTTCAGAAGGTCATCTCCATACCTCTTCTCATCAGAGGTGTAACCACCATTCACTATAACAATTTTCTTGAGTTTTTTCTTTAATAATGGTAGAATCCCGGTATTTTCCATGTGGCCTCCGTCGCTGAGTAGCATCACAGGAGGGGGCACGGGTCCGATGTTCTCAACGGAAAGGGTTTCTCTGACAAACTCCACGAAAGACACGTGTACAATAAACCACCTTTGAAAAAAGACGCAATAGATCAGGAATGACGATCTGGGTTACAAGGTGTGTTTTTCAAACTGTGGGTGATGTCATTAGCGAACCTGTGCCTTGTGGCATGCGACAATTTCAATATACTACCAGGCAGCAACATCCTTTCTTTGCAAGAATTTTTTGACACCATAATTAGACACGGCGTTGAGTGAGTACCCTTTGCTAAACACAGCACGAGTCCCCTTTGAAAAATCCTGACTTCGCCCGGGGGCAGTAAGTTACAAGAACGAAAAAAAGTTATTTACTAGGAGCTATATTCATAGCGCCAAACACCAAATTCACCAGAATAGCGTCTGGTAGTCATCTGTTGAGATTTAACTTTTAAATCTTGGGATCGAAAGGATGAAGAAGACAATGTTTTGTATGAGTTTAGCTTGGATCAACGGTTCGGTTCAAAAGCTATGCACAGTTGTTCGAAAAGCGGTCGGCGATAATCCAGGATTAAAAGTTTAACGTGTTCTTGAAAGCGTATTTATTACGGCTTACGTTTTGAGCGGTTTCACCTTAGTCCAAGAAAAAACTGAAGGAAAAAAAACTGCCTGCAAGGCAGCAAAACAAAATAAAAAACTGTTGGCCAACCCTCGGTTAGCTTAATCGTGCTTTGAACAACCCTGCTCTTAGGACTTTTCAGTGTTTGTTATTGTACGTTTAGTGGGAGGAGAGCAATCCGAACCAAATGTTTTGCTTCACCAACATACGTCAATGGTCTGGAAGATTCACACCATCCTCTCTAAAGGTAATAAGTGCTTGAACTACATGCGTCATATATACCCACGTTTTCTGACGCTTCGCATGGTTTGTACGCTTTTACTTATTTCAATTTCGGTCCTCATTAACTCCTTCGAACATTTAATTTCTTCTGGCCTGTTCCTGCCATTCGGTTAGTAAAATGGAGCGAACTAGAAAACGGCGCGAAAGTTGTGGCGGAGCAAAACCGAGAGAGGCTTGGGCCGGTTTCTCAGAGTTCTTTACGCGACCCGACCCAAGCCTCGCTCGTTTTTTCTCTACTTCGCTATTATTGCGGTGTTTACTATCGTGCCTCGTTTTGCAACGACTGAATTCTGTGATTTCCAAAGGTTTGTACTTAAGTGGAAATTGAACTCCGTATCGCGCAATTTTGATCTGAAATTATACGTGCGCTCGTTCGATTTGGAATCACGCGTATGATTTCAGACCTAATAATATACATGAAAAATTATTCAGTCCTGATTGATTAAGATAAATGCAGTTTTCAGGTAATTCAGAGCAGAAGAGAGCTAATTCAGTGTAGAAGAGGGTTAATTTAGTGCAAAGAAAGTAACAAACCAGACATTCTTATTGGTCAATAATCAAAGAAACTCACAGATAGCAATCAAATGCGAGCCTTGGATGTCGCAGCAAAATTTGAAAATTTGAAAATTTGCGAGCGGAACAATAGCAGACGTTCTAAGTAGGTTTTCTTTCGCCACCGCGGCTGAAAAACAGCTCAAACAACGAAAAAATTGTAAAAAGCACTGCTTTTTGGTTGTCGGTTTGGAAAAAGCGGTGTTTAGAGAAGGGAATTGCCAAGGAAATCGAAAATTACGAGCCAACCCAGCTTAACACTTTGCTCGAGCGATCCAACGCCGAAATGAAAAAACAAGCATGGTTAAACCTCGGAAACGACGATTCCATTTCATCGAGAGTGATTCGGACACAGACTGAACAATTGACTTTGAACTTTTTTGCCCCTTAAAGATGTGAGGATATCACTGCATATGATTGTTTTAATCGTAGGCGGTTTTTTTGACCGGTTTGAATAAATTATTTTTGCACTTGATTCGCGCGCTTTGCTTATGCTTACTTATGATAACCTATCTCGTATTTTATTATTTATATTATTAACACGTAATCGCATGATTTTTCTCGTGCAATTTGGAATAAACAAGCACTTGTTAATTTTTTCAAAGACCACAAATTGCACGAGCCCGTGGGGCGAGTGCAATTTTGTTAGTCTTTAAAATAATTACTCGTGCTTATATATTCCAAATTACACTCGAAATCATGTGATTACCACTCACTCCACTCAGTTCAATTACCATTATTAAGACATTCAGTCAGTGATATGTGCACTAATTTACACAATACTGACCTGGCTATCTTCTCCCATGACTTTGGTATCACAGCTCCTGTGTCGGCGAAAGCTCCGATGAAGGCCAGAATCAGGTGAATTACGAAGAATACAATTACTCCAACCTCAATTAACCTTTCACCGCCGACAGTGAAATAGACCGCTGGCACAGCGATCAACGGAAGACCCCGGAGAAAGTTTATAAGAAGAGGCAGAGGCTGTTAAAAAGACATAAATGAATAAGAAATTGTGCTGCATTATTTGGTTATCTAATCATTTTGATCGCGTTGATGAATCCCCATAAAAGAGAAAACACTAACTTGGAGCGTAATGAGAGTAGCAAACTGATTTCATACTTTCCCAGAGAGAATCAACCTATAACACTGACTCCATTTGGATTTTATTCCAACAACAATCATTCTCAAGTTTGAGCGCTTTTCGATCGAGTGCCGTAAAACCAGGACCAAAAGATTCACGAAAGCCAATCGGAGGAAAGGAAAAATGCAAAAAGCGTGGGAATCACAAGTGGCCAAGCTGTGTTTGGTTTCAGTATTTAACTCTGATTGGTCGAGAGCGAGGATGGCGCGAGTTTTCCAGACCAGTTACATGGCAAAGTAAAGCAGAAGCAAAGAAATCCCGCATTATTTTCGACACAATTGAAGATAGCTCTACTTTTAGACCTTTAGCATCAAGTATCCCGAAAAGATTCTCACCTTCATTATACAGGACTCTTCTTTAACCGCCTTCATGTCACTGACCATCGAAGCCCCCATTTCAAATCCCAAAATCGTAGAAAGACGCATCACTTGTAGAGCATCGTCATACCCTGAAATTGCTGCCGCAGACGTGGCCATGGCGTCATCTAATTCCACATCTCGAGGATCCAGCTTACCTTCAAACCGATTGACTTTCGATGGATCTCGGTCTAAGCGCTCAATTGCTTTAGGCGACATTGTCAGTATGTCATAATCTCTGTCAGACCTGGCATTTTTCTCCCAATTGTGGACGGTCGTGTTTGATATTAACTCAGGTTCCGTGCCACGGAGGTCGGAAAGGTTCAAGGGTCTTGTCTCGGGTGGCTCATCATTACATCTCTCTTCATCATCGCTAAGGATGTCCATCTGTTGGTCTGTGTGCTGTTTGGACCTTTGTCTTCGGTTCTTCAGCAGACATGTCCACAGGGGGCAGAAGATATCTTGGAGTATCTCAAGGCATCCCCTTGTTCTTGAACTTTCTTCTGAGTAAAAGGCCTTACGAAGTTTCCATCTGCAAATTAGAACAGTTCATGTGGTTAAGTGAGTGGGAGGAATCGCATGGTTTTCAGAAAGAAGTAAGAGGGATCAGTCATCGCCAACAGAGTATCAAGCTGACATATACAGCTGACTGCCAGTGAAATGCTAATGAAGGGGGGGGGGATAAGAATATTACGTAGCCTTTCAGGGAGATGAGGTAAACTTTATCGTGACACATCCAAAGTCCTTCCATCCCCCCACCTCTTCCCCTCCCCCCTCCCCCATAAATAACGACCCATTCCTCACCTGTTAAAGACATGGACGAGCCTCTCGCGTGATTGTCTCAAATATGGCACAGACCACAAGACACACCCAGAGGCAAAGAGCAGCTTATTAAACAGTCCATCAGAATACCCAACACAAACAACCTCGGCTTCGTACACTCTCCAGTAGATGATGTAAGAATAGAGATAAATTATAATGCCGTAGGACGTTTTGTCCCGGAGTATAGGAAGGACGAACCATAGTACCACACCAATCACCACAATAATCGCCCGACTCCAAAGAGGGATTTCAATGAAGAAATCATTTATTGCAAATGGGAGGAAAGTAAAACAGAAAAACAAAAAGAAAATTGTCGCAAAAAGTCTGAAATATTTAGACTTCATGTCAGACAACTTTTGTGACAGAATGTAAAAAGTGACATAGAGCGCCAACAGAACTGAAAACAGGATAGTCTTAGCAACAGGAACGGTTCCTTGACGAGAAAGACAGTGCTCGCGGCTTTCTTGAGCCGTAACGTTGTGGTTACTTGCAGAAGGGGCTACTGTAGCGTGATCACAATCCACTTTGGCGCGAAGTAACTTTCCGAAGAGGTCATCGATAATGAAGGCAAGTGGAAATGCGTATGATCCATATATGACAATCGGTTCGATAATGGTGACAGTAAGCAGTAGAAAGAACATCATAATCGTATCAAGGATTCCTCGACATGGCTTCTCCCAGTTACAAAAGTAACCTGCTCTTTGTCGCATGTTGTTGAAGAACTCTTCATGCCATTCTTCGTTGCCCTTTGCTTTCTTCTCGTTCCTGTATTTCCAATCCAAAAATGCCGTGCCTGTGTAACCACCCCCTGACACGCAGCTCAGGTAGTCTATTTTTGCTCTAACCTGGAGCAGTCTACGCAGGACTCCAGAGCATAGTGCCGCTGACCGTATGCCACCACCAGAAAAAGCCACGCCAGTTTCGTAGGGATTCATGGTACCTAAGACAAAAATGAAATTGGTAATCAAATAATCATAGAATGAACTCAGAATTTCCAGTCGGCAAATTCTGCGTCACGATTATTAAGAGCTCAACGTAGAGTCTCTACAGCTCATTGTTAAAGCTTCAGAGCGCGGAACCCGAAGGTCTGACGCTCGATTTCTCATTGCGACTCATGTGGAACCCGTCCTTATTATCGCCTGAGGGGTGGGGGGTAGGAGGATTTTGATCGTGTCACAATAAGTCTACCAGATCCCTCTGAAGATTCCTTTTTGTTCTCCTGAAAACCATGTGATCTCCATAAAAATTCTCCCACTCCTTCCCCCCCCCTCCTTACCTAAGGCGATAATTAATGACTTTTCACTAGGAGCTCCTGCTTTTCACCAACATTTCTTTGTTTCCAACGCTCTTTCATGAAAAAAACCATCTTTCTCTATTTCATTACAGAGCTCAAACTTTACCATATTCCTTATACTGTTTAAGAAATTCTGAGTCAAAATTGTCATTCGGGTATCCAATTCCGTAGTAGATGCCGGATACACGGTGGGCATGAGCTTGTATCTTGAAACTCTTTTCCTTATTCAGGCCAAAGAAGTGATCTTCTTTCTCATTTCTGACTCGAACTGCTTCTCACAGGAGACCAATCAAATACTTTCTTTGCTAACGATCGCAAAAAATCAGATCTTGACTCGTTAAAGAGGAATACCTTACCACATTTGACACTGAGGCGTTTAAAGAGGATACTAAACTCGAGATCGTGAGGGGTTTGGCTACATAGAATTATTGCAAATTTATGACAAAATGCAAAAGAAGAAGGTAATTTAGTGCTAACAACTGGGTTGAAAACGTAAATTAGCCACCGTAAAGGGTAAAAAAGCTGACGTTTCGAGCGTTAGCCCTTCGTCAGAGCGATTAGAAATTAGATCTGTAATCGTTCTGACGAAGGGCTAACGCTCGAAACGTCAGCTTTTTTACCCTTTACGGTGGCTAATTTACGTTTTCAACCCAGTTGTTAACACTAAATTACCTGCTATACTCTCCCACCGACGCAGCACCACAGTTTCTTTAGAAACTTGCCCCTTTATGCAAAAGAAGAAGTTTTAGAGCGCTTTTAAAAGTCATTTTTTCTCATCATGAACGCCGCCCAAAGCGATTTTTAGCTACGAAGTTAGTTGGTTTTATTCTTTTATTTGCGGACTTTCAGCCGACTCCTTACGTACCAGAAATTCTGATCTAGCGTGATTCAAATGACTTTACTTTGAGGGAATCTTACACAGTGTCCGCTGACTGAAGGAAACGTCAGCTTTTTGCATTTGACTTTAGCAGAACGCTTCCTAATTTGTGGAGGTTCCTTTCACTTCGTGGGTAGTCCTGTGTAACCAAGGCGAAAGCTCTTCGAATTTTTTCAGTGGTCATCTCCGATTTCCGCGCCATCTTGAATGACTTAATACTCATGTTCTACTGCGCACCGGTCACCTCGTGCCAAAGAGCATTTGATAAACGTCTCAACTGTGAAAAGCAATTTATTCAAAATTAGCGCAATTATTAAACGAAAAGCGGAGTTGTGCCACAAGTGGGAACATAAATACAATACAGACCTGCGATTTATTTTGAATCCAAAGAAAATTTTTTTTAGAGTGAAAACCCTATAAAATCTTTCTTCATCCTGGACTCTGTTTTGTAAAGACATTCGCTGTTCGTCAAAAGTATTCTGAATTTTGTCCAGAAGAATCCAAAAAGAAGTGTGCTATGAGGATTCTGAAAATGAAAAGAAAAATTTCACTTTCAATAGAAATTCTAAATGAAGAAAAAATATTTTTAGAAACTGGAGAAATATGGAAAAATATCAGACTGCCGGACGTTTAGTTATTCGAAGACCGTGTCCGGTAGTGTCTGGTGAAAATTTTCTTAGTGTCACTCTTGGATCTCTTCGCACTTGGTTTACAAGGTCAGCGAAACGGAGAACGTTGGAATTTTTTCACTTTCTAGAAGCGCTTGAGGATTGTGTCATAAAAATCTTACGTACTTAATTCATCTTCTCCCACACTCTGTTTCCACACTTGGAACATTTCTTATCTAATGAATATATAGAGCGATTGTTACGTTTTTTCGAAACTCGTATATGGTCAAGGTCACAAACGTTACGAGGCTCTCACGTCAGACCAGCAACCATGGAAGCAGAGCTTATCCTTCGTGTTAACTAATCGGGAGTCAATCGCTAATTAATCTTTTCATTGCAACTGTTAACCAAGAAAACCTGTATCAGAGCTAATCTATGAGAAGCACAGCACTCACAAATCAGAATTCGGCACCTTAAGACTTGGAATTGTAAAGCCAGGAGAGCGTTTATTTAAACAGGGTGACGCCAATTAATTTCAGACTAAAGCAAGTGGCTACAGGGCAAAACAAAAGTATCTTAGCGATCGTTAAATATAAAATTGAATCTAAATGGAATAAAGCAAGTTAACGCTTCGGAAGGGACAAATGTTCAGTTAATTTGAAGCTAACTCTTCAATTCAAGTCATGTCTCTTTGTGGGTCAAACTGTGAATAATTGCCTCAACAGACAAAATAAGCAGTCCATGGAGGAGGAGAGATTGCCTGTACACCCGATCACCTCTCTTTTCTCTCTCTCTCGGGGGACGTGATAAGAGAAAATACAACAGCGTAAGATTTCAAGTATCTTGATTTTCGCTACCCACACGCTAATGGAAGGTCGACACTCAATACTTACAAAACCGCCCGAGCGTGTTAGTATTAAGCCGAATTTTAGGTTTTAACCACGAGAACAAATGTTTAGCGACCATAAACTAGTAATTCAAGGCTAGAAGCCCGAGATCTGAAAATAAAAAAAACTCATATCTGAAGAAAAACAAATGTGGACAGCTTAGAATTTCAGCTCTCAATCTGCTTACATTGTCGAGCTTATGGAGTGGAATTTAGGAGTTTTATCAAATGATTTTGAGACTCCGAGCCTTTCATAACCTTAGCAGGCCTAAACGCTCCTGAAAAAGAGAGACTAAATTATACATACCGGTGCTATGTAGATTTTCTTTCAAGATAACCGCAACTTTCTGCAACTGTCTCCTGCAAAATCTCAACCTTAGCTGTCAATGGCCTCAAAATAAGAAACAATTTATTTTTCGTCCCGACTGTTTACTTTTGTTTCACTATTACGACTGTCAATCACGGAAAAGTTTTCCGTGATTGACAATCACGTAGTCAGCTCGTGCAAAGAACCTCTGGCCGTGACATGCACGCGAATGAATATAAACTTTTTTCCGTCACGTGTCAACATGCCGACATCTTATACTTGATACCTTGGAGAAAAATTCCATTCTAAGACTTTATTTTCTCCAGTCAAGTTAATTTCGTTTTGAAAAAGTGTACCCATTTTACTTTATTAGTGCATGTTGTACTCTTCAGATGTGGGTAATCAAACTACTTTTATCACCAGAGGAAGTCAATGGAGCATGTCAGAGGGTTAATTAAGCCCGATCCAAATATCAAACAATGACGAAACAGGAAGATGAGGAGGAGCTATTGAGTTTTCCATCAGCTGCAAATATTTGCGGTGGATCACATTATGTAGCTTAAAACCACACGATCGATTGTGGTCATGATTAAAGCCACAAGATCACCTAGAATAGAGAAGTTTTCGATGTCGAAAGTGTAGAAAGCAAGCTGGGGTTCCATTTATGATTTGGTTTGCAACTAAAAAACTCTTTACGGTGGCCAATTTTCATTTATTTACATTATCAACTCAGTTGAGAAAACAAAGTTATCACTTAAAACCCCCTCAACCGATGCAGCAGCACAGTTCCTTTAAAATTTAGGATTTTAGTGCCTCTCTCTTCCAGCAGAACTTGACGGATAACCGCAAACTATCTGCAACTGTCTCCTGCAAAATCTCAACCTTAGCTGTCAATGGCCTCAAAATAAGAAACAATTTATTTTTCGTCCCGACTGTTTACTTTTGTTTCACTATTACGATTGTCAATCACTGAAAAGTTTTCCGTGGTTGACAATCATGTAGTCAGCTCGTGCAAAGAACCTCTGGCCGTGACATGCACGCGAATGAATATAAACTTTTTTCCGTCACGTGTCAACATGCCGACATCTTATACTTGATACCTTGGAGAAAAATTCCATTCTAAGACTTTATTTTCTCCAGTCAAGTTAATTTCGTTTTGAAAAAGTGTACCCATTTTACTTTATTAGTGCATGTTGTTCTCTTCAGATGTGCGAAATCAAACTATTTTTATCACCAGAGGAAGTCAATGGAGCATGTCAGAGCGTTAATTAAGCCCGATCCAAATATCAAACAATGACGAAACAGGAAGATGAGGTCAAAGGAGCTATTGAGTTTTCCATCAGCTACAAATATTTGCGGTGGATCACATTATCGATTGTGGTCATGATTAAAGCCACAAGATCACGTAGAATAGAGAAGTTTTCGATGTCGAAAGTGTAGAAAGCAAGCTAGGGTTTCATTTATGATTTGGTTTGCAACTAAGAAACTCTTTACGGTGGCCAATTTTCATTTATTATCATCATTTATTATCAACTCAGTTGAGAAAACAAAGTTATCATCTAAAACCCCCGCAACCGATGTAGCAGCACAGTTCCTTTAAAATTTAGGATTTTAGTGCCTCTCTCTTCCAGCAGAACTTGACGGATTGATCATTGCCCTAGAAATCATAACTAGTCTTTTTAAAGATTTCTGTCGAGGAAACGACCCGTATCAAAATTAGAGATTGGAGTAAAGTTTGTCTTTTGTACATTGTGAGAGTAAGTTACAGTACCAACAGTGTGTGGAATTCTAATCAAGCAAATAAATGAAAGTCACAGTTTTCTGTTTCTACCTACCATGTCAGAAACACCACTCGACCGAATCAACACACCCAACTTATTAGGTGCGAGTTGATCAATCAGCGGAAAAGTTCGCTTAAGCAATCGTCAATTGAGCATCGAAAGAATTTACAGATTGCCCTGATTCTACTTTGGTTCACGACAAGTAATACACGTAGTTCACTTATCTCTATCTAATGAAGTGTAAACTAGTCCTGCTGGTTATTTGTCTAGCTGTAAACCATTTTGATTCATCGTCATTGACGCCAGGAGGTTAAATTTTACAGAAAACCTGTTGGCTCTCAGTCAACAACAATGGCACCGGTTGGTCACGCTGCGAAAAGTTCCTGCTAATCTGTGACTTTGCTGGCTCTATGTATCGCGTTTTTGATGTTGACCGAAACCTACTTCCCAAGAAACGTACTGGAAACCTGGAAGCAGACGAAATTTGTATCTTAAGCTAAAATAACATAGAGACAAAGACCACGTTGTCGTGGAAACCGATTTCTTCTTTGTCGAGTGCGCCGCTCCACTGATGAGCGGAGCTGGTTTAACATCCAACGACTACAACGTTGTGGAGATGTTCATCTTAATCCTGGCCTGATAAAATTTCCCTGTAGGAAATGTGAGAAGAGCGTTCGAAACAATCAGAATGCGATGTTATACTCTGAATGTAGCCTCTAGATTCACGCAAAGTGCCTCAACATGTCGATCGACTTTTAAGTATTTTCTTGAACGACCAGCAATCAAATGGACTTATCCGCTTCGTTCTCTACCGAGATTGGGAGACTCATTTTTCCTTGAGGATGAAGAAATAATAAATATCGAAGGAAACTAGGCAAATCAGCTTCTTCTACAACCTAATGCAAATGAGTTGAATAACTCGCAATTCCACTCCCAGGAGAATATGGCTATTAACAACTGCGACCAACGGGAGTTTGATCTACTCTTGCAAGAAAGGCAGGAACATTCCAATCGGATACTAATTTTCCATCTGAACATCAACAGCCTCCAAAATAGATCTGATGAACTGAAACTCCTGAATGATAAGAATAAGTCGCAAATTATTTTTCTCTCCGAGACAAAGATCGCCAAGTCTTACCCGAACAGCCAGTTCAACTTAACGGGTTACAACATGATGATTTTAGATATATAAAATTCATTTATTTGCACTGCGGTGAAGAAACGAAATTAAGAGATCCTCGCAGCTAAGAACACTACTGAAACGAGTAGTTGAAAATAGGACCTGAAAAAAATTCAGGTCCGTGCGGGATTTGAACCCATGACCTCTGCGATACCGGTGCAGCGCTCTATCATTTGAGCTAACAAGCCAACTGGGAGCTGGTTAATGTGTTGCGTCGAAATAAACCATCCAAGTAATGAATGATGATTTTAGATACATGAGCCTTTTTTTTTTTTTTCAGGTCCTATTTTCAACTACTCGTTTCAGTAGTGTTCTTAGCTGCGAGGATCTCTTAATTTCGTTTCTTCACCGCAGGGAAAATATATGAATTTCATATATCTAAAATCATAAAGCCATAAAGAACTATCGTCCGAGTCTCTGATTGTACGAATGATGTATTTTCACATTCGTTCGTTTAGCATTTATAAAATAAAAGAGAAAAATGCATTGAATATTTCAAGTATACCTCCTCCCACCTCTCCCCAACCCCCCTCCCAAAAAAAGAAAAACCAAAACAAAACAAACAAACAAAAAAAACACTCAAAGGTAGAGATCTATATTTAGGGGCTTTCATATCGAGAGGTCTGAATTCTAGTTTAGCCGCTTGTAAGGACAGTTGTAAGCAGTTGTTTCAGGGTCACGGGGTAAACGAGAAAATTTCTTTAATTCCCTTTCGCGTTGTAAGCTCATAAATCATTGGTACACTAAGCAGAGCTGCAAAACCACTTGCCTTGGCGGTATACGGTACTACCTTTGCGCACTTCCTTGTTTACATGACCGCCATGTTTGTTCAGCTGTCCTCACAAGCCGCTAAACTAGAACTCAGACCTCCCGGTATGAAAGTGTAAAATGACCCTTCAGCAAGTGAAAACTACACAATGAAATAAATTTTCCGGAGAGTTTGCTCTCATCAATAGTATGTGTCCATTTTGGAGGGGGTAGATGGCATGAAAACCGCTAGCCTCTCCAGTGCAGCCGTCCTCACTACTATCTAACAACTGCCCTTAGACCTTTAGCTCATAGCACCTTAGTGACGAGAATGAATGAAATATCCCCTATGGAAATCTATTGACTAGTTAACAATTGATTGATTTGATTGACCGGCCCACATTTGGATTTCTTCTGATAGGAAGGTATACGAAAGGTTTGTTGTGATGATGTCGTTTACGGGCACTTACAGAGCAGATGAATGGTCCTTAAATGCATTTACTTCAAACGGTACCTAACTTATTACTATTAACTCATTATTAACGATCATCAGTATTCTGGCAGGCTTGGCGTGGATGACATCGCTAAAATTTTTTATCGGCTCAAAGTTATCTCTCATTGAGTGACACGAATTTTTGTTTCCACTACATAGAAAGATCTCTCTTCCATAAGAATATTGAAAATTGTTATTTCTTCCGCAACTTCCCTTGAAAGCTTCAAATGCGACTGACGACCAATTAATTTAGGGCGGGGTGATAGAAAACAGCCAATTGTAGCCTCTAACCGTCCATATATGACAACCGATGGATACAAGCGAAACAGGCCAAACCACTACCATGACCAGGGTCAGTGCCTCATAGTCCTTTTAACGAGTAATCCCTTTTCAAAAGCATGAAAACGAAGAGGCGTCACATACAATACCAAGTGCTTCAAGTTGCCGCAGAATGACTAATAGTCTTGCCCGGACTGAGAAAAGTTCGTTAATTGCACTGCCCGACCTCACCTGTTAATTCAAAATCCTGGTTGTAGGTGTGGTTTTGATGTAAACCTGCGACCTATTAGTCACGGTAAACATGGCGCGTTTAAACAGGCGGAGGTTAATTAAGAATTTGTGCATGCTTAGCGTGCGTATATCGAGTTATGGATGCACGCGGGAAGTTTGGAGAGCACGAAAAATGCGTAAGAGTAGCTCGAGGCGCAGCCGAGAGCAACTCTAGCTTTTTGAGTGCTCTCCAAACTTCCCAAATGCATCCATAACTCGATACACGCACAGCTAAAAGCATGAGCAAATTCTTTTAAAACAGAGCGACAACAAGGATCTGCGCGAGGAAGCCTTTTATTGTGATACAGTACAAAATTCTCACAACGCACACAAAAAAGTAAACAAACTTCCTCATTAGTTGGTCAAAAACACGCCACATTTTATACTTTGGTTTGAGCGAGAACATTTGATCCAGTTAACCGATAGCTGTGAATGAAAAGCTCAAAATTTACGGAGAAATGGTTTTAGATTTAGATTTTTTGCGGCCTTGATTGTTTTGGTTTTGGTAAATTCCCAATTAACAACTGTGTACTTTATTTCCTAGGTTGAACAAATTCAAAAACAACAATGAAAACGGAAATTTTACCTTTAAATGTTGTTAATGGCCAATTAGTGAATTTTTTTGTTCCCAGTGAATGTCTTTTGGCTAAAATTTGCTGCAGCTGGTCTTCCGACAAATTTGCGAAACATGGAACTTGCGAGTTTTTTCGGCTTTATTTTTGTTGCTTGTTGGATGAGGACCTAACAGGTCAACGCCCATAGAAAATTGGTCAGTTCTTCGCTGGTTTCTTCCATATTTCAAAGAGAAGGAAAACTGCACTGCAGCTTAACAGGACGGAAACTCTAAAGCCAGGAAAAAAAAAAAGCTCACGTCATCTTATTTACGCACGGGCATAGATTTCGTTCATAGCGGCTCAATAGGACTTATATAGGGCAAGCACGTGCGCTATGTTATAAAACACGTTAAAGCATTATTTTGGGACCTCGATGAAAATAGATATGGTCTCGGTACACTGTATACTTTGCAAATTGATGAATTTTTCTTCTACATTGGCAGACAGTGATGGGTCGCTAGGATGCCTAATGGTAAGTGCGGCGGAAAACAATGCGAAAGTACTGGGTTCGAGACCTGGTCATTGTGTTGTGTTCTTGGGCAAAACATTTTACTCTCCAGGGTACCGGTGAATTTTGAGGGAAGCCTGATGAAATGCTGGGGGTAATCCTGCGATAGATTAGCATCACATCGGGGGGGTATTAATAATCCTAGTCGTTTTATGCCAAGGAAACTGGGCTAAGCTTCGGCTGGGCTCGAGTGCAGTCTTTTTTACAAAAACAGCGCTTTTAGAAAGTGTTGAAGGGCTAAGACCTTTAACTCTTGTTGATGTTTTGTATGCATGAAAACACCGACATTTGCATACAATGTCTCTATAGCTACATGCTCACAGCCTCGCCTGTGTATCTCATACTTCTTGGATATCTTGTTCCTCCATGAGGAATTCAGCGGCTTGCGCTTCAATGCATGCTCGGTAACCTTCACGGTGATAGGCGGAGAACTGCAAAGGCGTGAAAAATTGATTTGCAGTAGAAGTGTTTGGAAACTTGTCACAGAAGAGCTCGGACAAACCGCTTAAGCAGGACTTTTTGTTGCAGCACTCACAGCAGCAGAAGGTCAACTTATCGACTTCCTCCCCAGTCAAATATGGACTATTTCCCCAGTCATTCGGCTCCAGGTTGAAACCAAATTCTTCCCAGGTTTTGACCTCGCTTTGGTCACCTTTGCGTGGATCCCGTGGCCTTATCATCATAATTTCACCTTCACCAACTTTGCCAACCTCATCTTGGTAGTACTCAACTTCAAATCTAAGCAGAAAAGAATGGATGCTTTCAGTCAATTTGAAGAGCTCATATAACCTCCATTGAAACAAAGGAACTCTGTAGATAACCCATTGACCCCTAAGGGCTACTGACGTTAGGTTGTAAGAGGTTAACGGTATTTCGGGTCAGTTGCAGCATGCTGCAGCTTAAAACTTTATCTTGAGCCATAAAGAAAAACGTACCAGGGGTCAGAACAAACTAACATGGAACGAGCCAGGCCAATGAGTAAGAAAATTGATAAAGTCAACGAAAAATAGGATAAGATTTAGCCCAATGCCTTTCAAGCTATGAGGAACAAGCCGTTAGGTAAGTGCTAAAGACAACGGTGGAGTCTTGCCATCTCAAACTTGAGGCCATATCTTCCTTTATATTAGACTTGAAACATTGTATACCACTGATATACCCTGAATATCTCGTGCCCGTGTCAACTGATTGGTTCCTAAAGGAAGAGGGGTAGAAGGAGGGTCGAGATACAGGGATTTCAACGTATTTCAAATTTTTTTACTATAACGAAAAATTGTAAGACCTGACAAAACTCTTCTCTTCCAAGATGTTAGCTTTTTTTCTGGTAGCTATTGACACATTCTCCAGAAAGACAATTTCTCACTATCGCAGGTAAAAAATTAGCTTATGAGAACATACACACCTGTAATATCTTGGTTTCCTTTCATTCGGTTTATCTGGTTTTACGAAGGTCTCTAAGAGGTCTGAAATGACGTCACGGCCTCCCTGGCCAGTAAATGAACAGTTTAGCTCGGTACGAGCGAGCATCAGTGCTTTCAGAAGGTGATCTCCATACCTCTTCTCGTCAGTGGAGTAACCACCATCCACCATAACAATTTTCTTCAGTTTTTTCTTTAATAATGGCAGAATCCCGGTATTTTCCATGTGGCCTCCGTCGCTGAGTTGCATCACAGGAGGGGGCATGGGTCCGATGTTCTCAATGGAAAGGGTTTCTCTGACAAACTCCACGAAAGACACGTGTACAATAAACCACCTTAGAAAAAAGACGCAATAGATCAGGAACGTCGATCTGGGTTACAAGGTGTGTTTTTCAAACTGTGGGTGATGTCATCAGCGAACCTTCGCCTTTTGGCATGGGACAATTTCAATGTATTATCAGGCAGCAAGGGCATGGAAAAGGGGGAGGGGGGCTGTGGTTCCCATGCCGGCGCGGGGGTCGACAAGACACCCTGGTGAGAACCCTCTGCTGACACAGTGTGAGCCCCCTTCGAAAAATCCTGATGACTTCGCCCCTGGGCAGAGAGTGACGAGAACTTAAGAAAATTATCTATAGTGCCAGACACCAAATTCCTTGGAATAGAGTTGGGTCGGTAAAGTCATTTACTGAGATGTAACTTTTAAATCTTGGGATCGAAAGGATGACGAAGACAATGTTTTATATGACTTTACCTTGGAATCAACGGTTCGGTTCAACAGTGGCACAGTTGTTCGAGATGGGGCTAGTGATAATCTAGGATTAAAAGTTTAACGTGTCCTTGATAGCGTATTCATTAGGCTTCACGCTTTGAGCGGTTTCACCTTAGTCCAAGAAAAAACTGAAGGAAAAATTTATTCACTAAAAACTGTCATCAAAGCAACAAAACTAAATGAAAAACTGTTGGTTAATCCTCGGTTAGCTTAGTCGTGCTTTGAACAACCCTGCTTTCAGGACTTTTAGGTTTTGTTGTTTTACTTTGAGAAAGGCCATGGCAATCCGGGCCAAACATTTTTCTTCCCCATCATTCGTTATTGTCCTGGAAAATTCGCACCATCTTTTATGAAAGTAACAAGTTAAGCTAGAACTAGTTAAGCTAGAACTACGTGCGTCTTGTTAACTTAAATCGCATCTTTTTACCAAGAGGAAGAGAAACTTTACTAAAATAAAATAACCAGTCAGGTTCAAGGCTTTTTTAAAGTAATCGATAAAATTGCAGAAGAATGAAAGACGGCTTTTTTAACTTTTTAATATGAAGTAAAACTTTGTATTGCGTAATTTTTGTCCGAAATCATACATATAATTTCAAATCAAACTCATGCCGTGCGCTCGTTCGATTTGGAAATCACTCGTATGATTTCAGACCTAATAAGATACATGGAAAAATTACTCAGTTCTGATTGTTTAAGATAGGTGTAGTTTTGAGGTAATTCAGTGCCGAAGAGGGTTAATTCAGTGCAAAGAAAGTAACAAACCAGACATTCTGATTGGTTAATAATCAAAGAAACTCACAGATAGCCAATCGAGTGCGAGGCTTGGATGCCTCAACATTTAGATACGCTGAAAATTTGCGAACGAAACAATGGCCGGCGTTTTAATTACGTTTTCTTTCGCCACCTCAATAACAATACAGCAGCTAAAAAACAGCTCTAACAGCGAAAACACTATAAAAAGCACTGCTTTTTTTGGTTGACGGTTTGGAATTAGTGGTGTTTAGAGGAGGAAATTCCCAAGGGAATCGAAAATTGCGAGCCGACGCAGCTTATCACTTTACTCGAGCGATTCTACGCCGAAATAAGAAAAAAAAGCAAACAGATTTAAACATGGTTAAACCTCGCAAACGACGACTCCATTTCCTCGAAAGTGATACGGACACAGACTGAACAATTCCTTGAACTGTTTGGCCGGACTTTGAACTTTATTTTTGAGCATTAAAGATTTGAAAATATCATTGTATATTATTGTTTTGATCGTACGCGGTTGTTTTGACCGAACGCATATAGTTACTTGCGGGGTTTGAATAGATTATTTTTGCACTTGATGCGCGCACTTTGCTTCTGCATAATTACGATAAGCTATCTCGTTTTTTTTCATGTATATTATTAATACGTAATCACATGATTTTTCTTCGTGCAAGACCACAAATTTTTTGTTAGTCTTTGAAAAAATTTACTCGTGCTTATTTATTCCAAATTGCACTCGAAATCATGTGATTACCACTCACTCCACTCAGTTCAATTGCCATTATTAAGACATCCAGACAAAGATATATGCACTAATTTACATGATGCTGACCTGGCTATCTTCTCCCATAAGTTTGGTCTCTCAGCTCCTGTGTCGGCGAAAGCTCCGATGAAGGCCAGAATCAGGTGAATTACGAAGAATACAATTACACCAACATCAATTAACCTTTCACCGCCGACAGTGAAATAGACCGCTGGCACAGCGATCAACGGAAGCCCCCGGAGAATGTTTATAAGAAGTGGCAGAGACTGTTCAAAAGAGATAAACAGGCAAGAAATTGTACTGCATTATTTGGTTATCTAATCATTTTGATCGCGTTAATGAATCACCATTGAAAAGAAATACACCTACCTGGAGTGTAGTGAGTGTAGCAAATTGATTTCATATATTCCAACAGAGAATCAACCTATGACACTGACTCACCATTTGGATTTTATTCCAACAACAATCGTTCTCAAGTTTGAGTGCTTTTCGATTGAGTGCCGTAAAATCAGGACCAAAATAGTCACGAAAGCCAATCGGAGGAAAGAAAAGATGCTTAAACTGCGGGAAAACAAAAGTGACCAAGCTGCGTTTGCTTTCAGTATTTAACTCTGATTGGTCGAGAGCGAGGATGGCACGGGTTTTTCAAACCAGTTACATGGCAAAGTAAGGTAAAACCAAAGAAACCACAGATTATTTTTGACACTCAAAATTGCTTTATTTCCAGGACTCTAGCATCAGGTATCCCAAAAAAAATTCTTACCTTCATGATACAGGACTCTTCTTTAACCGCCCTCATGTCGCCGAACATCGAAGCCCCCATTTCAAATCCCAAAATCGTGGAAAGACGCATCACTTTCAAAGAATCGTCATATCTTGAGATTGCTGCCGCAGATGTGGCCATGGCGTCAGCTAACTCCACATCTCGAGGATCCAACTTACTTTCAAACTGATTGACATTCGATGGATCTCGGTGTAAGCACTCAATTGCCGTAGGTGACATTGTCAGTATATCATAATCTATGTCAGTCCTGGCATTTTTGTCCCAGTTGTGGACGGTCGTGCTTGATATTAACTCAGGTTCCGTGCCACGGAGGTCGGAAAGGTTCAAGGGTCTCGTCTCTGGTGGCTCATTATTACATCTCTCTTCATCATCGCTATGGATGTCCATCTGTTGGTCTGTGTGCTGTTTGGACCTCTGTCTTTGGTTTTTTAACAGACATGTCCACAGGGGGCAGAAAATATCTTGAAGTATCTCAAGGCATTCCCCTGTTCTTGAACTTTCTTTTGAGTAAAAGGCCTTACGAAGTTTCCATCTGCAAGAGGAAGAGGAATCAGTCATCACCAACAGAATATAAAAGAGGAACTACTGACTGCCAATTGAATGCCAATGAAGGGGGGGGGTAAGGATATTACGAAGCCTTTCAGGGAGATGAGGTAAACTTTATCGTAACAACCAAAGTCCTTCCATCCCCCACCCCTCCTTTTACTAGCGGTATATTGTGGTCGGTTCCTCACCTGTTGATGACATGGACGAGTCTCTCGCGTGACTTTCTCAAATATGGTACAAACCACACGACACACCCAGAGGCGAAGAGCAGCCTATTAAACAGCCCATCAGAATACACAACACCAACAACCTTGGCTTCGTACACTTTCCAGTAGATGATGTATGAATAAAGATAGATCATAATGCAGTATGACGTTTTATGCCGGAGCATAGGAAGGACGAACCATAAAACCACACCAATCACTACAACGACCACCCGACTCCACACGGGGATTTCAATGAAGAAATCATTTATTGCAAATGGGAGGAAAGTAAAGCAGAGAAACAAGAAAAAAATTGTCGAGAAAAGTCTGAAATATTTAGACTTCATGTCGGACAACTTTCGTGACAGAGTGTAAAAAGTGACAGAGAGCGCCAACAGAACTAAAAATAGGATAGTCTTAGCAACAGGAACGGTTCCTTGACGAGAAAGACAGTGCTCGCGGATTCCTTGAGCGGTGGCGTCGGGGTTACTTGCAGAAGGGACTGCTGTAAGGTGATCACAGTCCACTTTGGCGCGAAGTAACTTTCCGAAGAGATAATCATTAATGAAGGCAAGTGGAAATGCGTATGATCCATATATGACAATCGGTTCAATGACGGAGACAGTAAGCATTAGAAAGAATACCATAATCGAATCAAGGATTCCTTGACAAGGCTTCTCCCAGTTACATATAAAGCCTACTCTTCGTCGCATGTTGTCGAAGAACTCTTCATGCCATTCTTCGTTGTCCTTTACTTTCTTCTCGTTCCTGTATTTCCAATCCAAAAATGCTGTGCCTGTGTAACCACCCCCTGACACGCAGCTCAGGTAGTCTACTTTCGCTCTAACCTGGAGCAATCTACGCAGGACTCCAGAGCATAGTGCCGCTGACCGTATGCCACCACCAGAAAAAGCCACACCAGTTTCGTTGGGATTCATGGTATCTAAGACAAAAATGAGACTGGTAATCAAATAATCATAGATTGAACTCAGAATTTCTACTTTTCTAGCGTCCTCCCAACCTAAGGCGATAATAAAAGACTTTTCCCTAACTTTTTTTTGTTCAACGCTCTTTTCATGACAAAAAAATCGCCTTTCTCTATTTCATTACAGAGCTCAAAATTTACCATATTTATTATGCTGTTTAAGAAATTTGGAGTTGAAACTGCTAAACGGGTATTCAATTACGTAGTAGGTGCCGGATCCATGGTGGGCGGGAGCTTGTACCTTGAAACTTTTCTCCTAATTCAGGCCGAAAGAAGTGATCTTCGTTTCCCATTTATAGAGACCAATCGAATATTTTCTTTGCTAGCGCTCAAAAGAAATCTCAGATCTTGGATTTTTGAGGAGACATACCTTATCAGATTTGAAACTGAGGCGTTTAAAGACTAATCTCAACTTCAGATCGTAAGGGATTTGGCTTTATAGAATTATTGCAATTTTATGGCACGATGCAAAATAGGAAATTCTAGAGAGCTTTTTTAAAAGTCGTTTTTTTTTCGTCTTGAACGCTTCCAAGAGCGATATTCAGTCTCTAAATTGGTTGGCCTAATTCTATATTTGCGGATTTTTCAGCCGATTCCCTACTTCCCAGAAATTCTTATCTAGCGTGATTCAAATGACTTAACTTTAAGGGAATCTTACTCAGCGTCTGCTGACTGAAGAAAACGCCAGCTTTTTGCGCTCGACTCCAGCAGAACGCTTCCTAATTTGTGGAGGTTCCTATGACTTCGTGGGTAGTCCTGTGTAACCAAGGCGAAAGCTCTTCGAATTCTTTGTAATGGGTCCTTTACGATTTCGGCGCCATCTTGAATGACGTCATGCTCATGTTCGATTGCGCACCGGTCCCCTTGTGTCAAAAACCGTTTGATAAGCGACTAAACTGTAATATTTAACGTAATTTTTGCTTTCTCGAATACAAACCTACAATTTATTTTGACAACTGCCAAAATAAAATCAAGTAGGTTCCCCTGGAAACTGACTTACCCCTTTGTTTACACTTTACTTCGAGACATGCGCACATATTTTCGGGCAAAAAGTAGAGACATTTCCGAAAGCAACGACTGATGAAAAGCAATTTAGTCATAATAACGGTGTTCAAAAGCAGGCGCTTGCAGTAGTAGGTCTTTGTTTGGGAGACACGAGAGTTGTTGGTGTCCACTAATAGATTTGTTAACGAAAAGCGGAGTTGTTCCACAGGTGGGAACATGAAATATTAATGTTATCAGGAACAGTCAGTGGGATGAAATTCGTTCACGGTTTTGGAAGGAATTAAAATTTCTGTTGCCTGCAAACTACGCTTTACATAAAAATCTTCATGTCTTCGACCAGACCCAAAATTCATCTTCTCCCGCAGTCTGTTTCCATACCATACTTAGAACATTTCTTATCTAATAAATATGTAGAGCGATTGCCACGTTATTTTGAACCTCGTATTTGGTCGAGGTCACAAACGATACGAAGCTCAGACGTCAGACCAGCGACTATGATCGGAAGTCAATCGCTAATTAACCTTTTCACTGCAACTGTTAACCAAGGAAACCTATATCAGAGCTCTTCCACGAGAAGCAAAGCATATCACAAATCAGAAGTACTATCGGCACCTTTAAGACTTGGAATTTATTTATTCAAAAAGGGTGACGCTAAAGAACTGGGTCACGAATTTGAGACTGAAGCAAATAGCTACCGGGCAAAACAATAGCATTTTAGCAATGGGTATATTGATTATTAAATGTAAAAGTGAATGAAGCAGGCTAGCACTTCGAAAAATGTTCGGTTAATTTGAAGCTAACTTTTCGGTTCAATCGATTTCTAGAAGTCATGTCTGTTCGTGGGTCTAGCTGCATGTCGATAACAGCCTCGATAAACAAAATAAGCAGTGCACGGGGGAAGGGGAATTGCCTGCACACCCAACGTACCTCTCTTTCTCTCTCTCGGGGAATGTGATTTCCAAAGGAGGAAAAGAAAACACATCAGCGAAAGATTTCAGATATCTTGATTTTCACTACCCGCACGCTAATGAACGGTTGTCACTCAATACTCGCAAAACCGCTCGTGCGTGTCAGTTAATACTAAGAATTTTAAGGTTTTAACCACGATTATAAATCTTAAGCGACCATAGAAAGGAATTCGAGGTTAAAAGCCCGAGATCTGAAAATAAAAAACTCATATTTGTTGAAAAATAACGCACTTCATACAAATCTACCGTTCACCAAATTCTGCGGACAGCTTAGAATTTCAGCTTCAATCTGCTTGCTTTGACGAGCTTATGGAGTGGAATCTATGAGTTTTATCAAATGATTTTGAGACTCTAAGCCTTTAATAGCCTTAGCAAGCCCCAACGTTTCCGATAAAGTGGGACTTAATAATGCATACCGCTGCTTAATTTGTAAATTTGCTTTCAAGACAACTGCAACAGTCGGCAGGTCTCTGCATACACAGGACTACATAGAATCATCTATGCGTGACCGGTGTCATTCTGATTATTATTCTGCATTCGGACACCAGCGACAAGAGTACAAAGAAAAGAACGGCCACTAACAATAGGCGAAGTCTAACACAATTTGCATGCAACACAACCTTCAAAGTGGTAGCAAATGTTTTTAACTTTCATCATTTAACAATGCAACAATGTCAAATATAATGACCTGTATATTCAATCGTTTTTCTGCGCAAGGTTTCGAGATAAAGAAAGCGAGAGGCCATTGGCGTGATCTCCAGTGATCAGACGACCTTGTCAGTCATGAAAAAAAGGTCTGTGTCGAATAGGACTAAAGAAATACCACCAACGGAAACAGCGTGATTAAATTATGAGGTCACTTTTGATCAAGTGCTATTTTGTACCGTACTTCCTTGCAATGATAACGTCTGCTAAATGGCAAACTTTGGTTATCCGTGACATCATAAAATATTCTAACTCTTCCAAAGCCTAAAAATTTTGTAACTGTCTCAAAATCTCAACCTTACCTGTCAATGGCCTCAGAATAAGGAACAATTTATTTCTCGTCCCGACTGTTTTGTTTTGTTTCAATTACGGAAACGTTTTCCGTAATTGACAATCACGAAATCAGCTCATGCAAAGGATCTCTGACAAAAGTCCAAGTGAATATAAACTTCATTCCGTCACGTGTCAACATGCTGTCATCTTTTACTTGATACCTTGGAAAAAAATTTCATTCCAAGACTTATTTTCTTTAGTCAAGTTAGCTTCGTTATGTAAAAATGTACCCGTTTTACTGTATTAGTGCATGTACTCTTCAGACCTGCGCAATCAAACTATTTTTATCACCAGAGGAAGTTCATAGAGCATGTCAGGGCGCCTAAGCCCGATCTAAATATCAAACACTGATTAAACAGGAAGAAGAGGCTACTGAGTGTTCCATCAACTGAAAATAATTACAGTGGAATTGTGTAGATTGATTAAAAACCAAATCCACACAATCGATCGTGGCTATGACAAAAGCCACAAGATCACGTAGAATAGAGAAGTTTTCAACGTCGAAAGTGTAGAAAGCAAGCTAGGATTTCATTTATGATTTGGTTTTCTCAACTGAGTTGGTAATGTAAATTGGCCACTGTAAATACTTTCTAAAGCGGAAGTTTCGAGCGGTAGCCCTTAGTCAGAGTGATTGATGAAGGGCTAACGCGCGAAATGTCCACTTAAGAAACTATTTACGATGGCCAATTTATACTATTAACTCAGTTGAGAAAACCTAATTATATTCTAATATCCCCCTCCGACGCAACACCACAGTTTCTTTAAAAACTTACCCCGTTAGGATCTTAGTGCCTCTCTCATACTAAGAGAGACTGCAAGCAGAACAAAAAAACTGGGACAAGCTCCGAATGTATGAAAGAGTCGGTAAATATCACCTTACATAACCATCTCCCAACGAATTTGCACGCGATAAAAAATGCTCAAATTCAATTAATCGGTTTCTTTATTTTTTTTTCTAATATATTTTTCTAATACAATTTTCTTTATCAGATTCCTACCTAGATATCAAAGGTAAATTATTTTACTCAATGAAATTTCATAATTCCCTATGAAGAAAATTTTCCTTGATTGCAGCGGTTGTACTTTGCTTCACTACGAGCAATACACTTAGTTCACTTATCTTTGTCTAATTCAGTGCAAACTACATGTATTGCTGGTTATTTGACTAGCTGTGCACCATCAGGTAGTTTATCACTGACGCAGCGTAAGCCAAGATTGGAAGCTGTGGTGTCAGCAGAATTCTGACTTCTAGCAGCACAACGATATCGGTAACAATACGACTGAAAAAGAAACGGAATACAATGCAAAAACATCAATGAATGCAGGTTGAAACGCCCTTGAAATGAAAAAAAAAAACTGATATGGGAGTTACTCTATCTACCACCAACTGGTGTTTCTTAGAGTAATTAAATGCTCAAAAAAAAAAAATAAAAAGATGGAAGTGGGATTTCAAAGTCTATGAAGTTGGGAAAGGAAGCCTTAAAAATTTCACGAATTCAAACAGGATTTCAACTGATGACTTAGCAGCGCAAGGCCGACTCACCTTGTGGCACATGTAGGATCCACCTTTTTTCACTTTATCCCTTCCTGATGCAGGTCCTTTCTAAACCAATGGAGATTACAATGACCTCTTATGCAGTTCATACAGAGCTTTTTTTAACAGAGCAACTTTCAACTGAGTGTCGAAGGTGATCAGAGATCGCTTTAGTTTTGCTTTACTTTGCTCTATGATCGGTCCAGGAAACTCGCGCCACTCTCTCAACCAATCAGATGCAAAACTAAAACCAATCATGACTTGGTCGCCCGCGTTTTCCCGCGCTTTGGACAATTTGCTTGTTTGTAGTTTGAGTTCTCATTGGCTCTTTAAGGTGTTTTCCTTTTTTCTGCTTGGCTGTTGTTACTACCTTGGTTTTGCTTTTACGACACTCAACCGAAAAGTGCTTTAACGTTTATCTACGGGTGCATTTGTTTTATTCAAGCATGAACTCTCTTGAGGCTGATATAGGAGCGTGCTCTAGGAGCATACTGCTAGAACAAAGCTCTCTCTTTGACTGTCAATGAATTCATGAGTATACTTTATCTTAGCAAGCTTAATTTCCATCCTGTAAAATGCTTCATAGTGTCAAACGGGTTACATATTTGGATGCAAGAATTCAGGGAAAATTGAGCAAACTTGAAAATGCTCCATAGTGTATTCTTATAAAGTAAAATGGCCCTTAGCCATGCTCCGTGTTCTATGTTCCCTTGTGGGCATAGGTCTCAAGACTGGTCTAGTCAGCCTAGTATGTAGGCTAACAGGCTTAGATGACCAATACCTGCTCAGGTGCTTAACTTTAGTTACTATAGCACCAAGCAACTTGGAGTATTTTTTGGGTGGGGTGGTTTTTAACTTCAAGTGACGCACTGTAGATAAATCAGTTTAATCAACTGAGTTGATAATGTAAATTGACCATTGCAGAGAGTTTCTAGGACCGACATTTCAATTGTACCCCCCATCCGTGCAGCACCACAGTTTCTTTAGAAATTTACCCCCTTTAATCATTTACAAGTAACCTAGTCGTATGTAATAAAATATGTGTTTATTGTTCATCGTTGTGTAAGATAGGAGATGAACTTTGTTCGTTTGTCTCATGATAGAGTCACTTTTGATGTTGATCGCGACGTTTTTACTGCAGTACTGCTTGTCTTCATCAAGCGATGAGGTCGATTGTTAACGTGTTGCTATTTGTAGCACGTTGGTGCGAAATGCACCAATAGCAGCGTACAAACATGCTACAAATGGCAACACTTAAACAATCGACCTCATCACCTGATGAAGACTGGCAGTCTTGCAGTCGAAGCATCGTAATCAACATCAAAAGTGACCCTATCGTGAGACAAACGAACAAAGTTCATCACCAACGTGGTTGTATTTTGTCAACTGTGCGGAGAACCCTAGCAGCTTGATGGTACCCATTTATACTCCTGAGTGGAGGGAGACACTCTTGGATCTGTTTTTCTGTCCTCCTAGGACACCACACAATGACACAGCCAAGGCTCCTGAACTTCTCAACAGCAGCCCAGCGCACTAAGCCGTAAGCCACCATGTTTCCCACTACGTATACAATTAAGTCTTGTACAAAACCAAACTAACTCACCGGATTTTCTTGGAAGTGGCTTGGGTGCCGTATGCTCCACCAATCTTGTGTCCACTCCCAGGCATTTCCCAGCATGTTATACAGACCAAATTTATTAGGTGGGAATGCTGTGACAGGAGCTGTACCAGAGAACCCATCCTCCCCTGAATCGACTGTTGGAAACCGCCCTTGCCATGTGTTTGCCATGTGACGACCATCTTTCTTAAGCTTGTTACCCCAAGAATAAAGCCTGACCGTGAAAATGGTTCATAGAAAGGTTACACATTCACTTTAACCCTTTAACTCCCAGGATCTGATTGTTAATTCTCCCCTCTGGCTGCTACACATCTCTTTGTAGATTAGTTACAAGAATCTGGTGTTAAATCAAGATAACAACTTCTACCTGATACATTTGCATACTCTCATTACCTGTTTGCTGGATAATGGATGGATATTGAAGGGAGAAGTTACTTGTCAATCACTCCTGAGAGTTAAAGGGTTAATCAGGAACAACTGACAATAACACTTGGGTAAATTGTTGAATGAAGTGCAAAAAAAAAAAAAATTTGTTTTCATTAGCTGAATTAGGCCCACATTTTGATTTGTTCTTCCTTGTGATCTATTAGAGGGCAAATGCATTCTATTAGATAATGTCATCAAGTTTTTGCTTCTTTATCAAATAAAAAAAATTGATTTCAAGTTGCTGTGGATGTGTTCAGTCATAGATCCCAGATGTCAAAATAAGGCAAGGAAAACACAGTGGCACACAAGGTGCAGCTGAGTGTATCACTGATGTCATCTATGATCTATAAATGAACAGACACAGAGCAAAATGGAATCTATTTGTTAACCCTTTAACTCCCATGAGTGACCAGGAGAGAATTTCTCCTAACAACATCAAGAAGACAAGTGATGAGAACCAAGAAAAGTATCAATAAGGGGATTATTAATTGATCCAATACCAAATTCTCAGAAGTAGCATCAGAAGAATTGTATAGCAGACAGTAAGGAGAATTACTAAAAAGATCTACGAAGTTAAACGGTTAATTAAATCTGTGTCTTGAATAACATGAATGCCCAGCGAATTCACAAAGCCATCAAAGCAAACTAGTTTGGCCTCAGTGTGCTTTCTAGACTCAGAATCATTGTACAGGTTGAGTTTATTTAAAACCCTTTAACCCTAAGAGTGACTGGCATCTAATTTCTTCTTACCATATTACCCCTGAATCAAACATTAAGGTTAGGAGAATAAAGGAGCTGATCACCCACCAAAGAAGATCTTAATTGTTAAACAAATTCTCCATGTCTGCATCTTAGGAAATGTATAAAGAACAGTGTGGAGAATCTGCATGCCGATGTTAGGGTGTAAAGGGTTGAGGTTCTTATCCCTGCTGGGAAGCAGTTTCCCCTGATCTTCTTGCTAACTCAAAAACCAACAATCCAGACTCCAATTCCACATGGATTCAGTGGTTAAAAAATCAGTCTGTGATGTGCCACTGTAAAACTTGTTATAAAAATTTCATAACTAATACATGTAATCAAGTTCACATACTTGTCCTGTAGGCCAGCCCTGCAGGCATATTCCCATTCAGCTTCTGTAGGCAGTCTTTTTCCACCCCATTTACAAAATGCAACAGCATCATTCCAGGAGATATGAAGAACTGGATGGTCCATTCTAAGAGACCAATCAAACCCATTGAATGAATTCTACTTAGTTGTAGCATGTATGAGAGACATACAAGCAGTAGGCCACATGCAATAATTTATGGTGGATAAAATCTTGCACAATACCTGTCTCTGATGTGAGAATCAGGTCCTTCTGGCTTCCTCCAGTAAGCTCCCTTAACTGGCAGCCACCAAGGAGCTGCTGCGACCTGACATTAGAATAGAGGAGAAATATAGTAACTGAGGGACATACTATAACCATATTAGCAGCAAAGCTGCAAAACAGGGAATTGTAAAATTCTCTCTTAGATATAGAACAGGATGGCTGATATAAGCTAACAAATTTTGATAACCATGAGAGAGCTCATTTACATGTGGCCATGATGGATCTCTCTACACTAGTCCCATTGTCCCTAGCGATACAGTCGTTAACTAATTAGTATTAAAAGAACTGAACAATCATCTTCATCATACTAAACACATTCCTTCCAGCAGTTTGAGTCTGCATTAAGGTTTTTAAGTGTTATCACTGTCATTGTTCCCAGCCACTATCATCACTAGGATTGTTAGGGAGCTTGGAAGGACACTATTGCTGGGGTATAGTAGGGGAATTTTTCACCATGTTTTAATAAACGCTTTAACTTGGCTAACATCTGATCATTTATTCTCCCTCTGGCTGCTATACATTTCCTTTTAATTTGTTAGGGGAATTTGGTGTTAGATCAAGAAAAACAACTTTTACATGATTAGTCTAAGTTTTCACACTACCTGTTTGTTAGATAGTGTATGGATATTATAGGGAAAAGTTATCTCTAAATTATTTCTGGAAGTAAAAGGGTTAGGTGATCAAAGAACACGTAGAGTAACCTGATAACTAAACTAGACTATTAACCCTTAAACTCCCAGATGTGATTAACATGTAATTTCTCCCTATAGTTTCTAAACACTTTCCAGGAAAACAAGTAATAGGAATATTCGAACCCTATTAGGTTAAAGTTGTCATCCTGATTGAGCACCAAAGTCTTGTAACTAGTTTACAAGGAAATGTGTAGCAGCCAGAGGGGAGAATTAACAATTAGATCTCAGGAGTTAAAGGGTTAAGAAGTTGATGATTTTCACCAGTTGCTGGTTACTTTTGGAGTTTTGAGCCATCACATTTACCAATTAATTATCAAGTAATTTGGTAGCTGTCATTGTGCTGGTCATCTGTGTCATCAATTTTCTCATCGTCAACGATATGATCCTTGCTGTCATTATTTTAATTTATAATTATTCTGAAATAATGAAGTGACAGCACATAAATGTCATCACTCACTGCTTGATGAATATCCTTCTTGATCTCCTTACTAATCTTCCCTTCAAGCACAAATGAATCTCCAAACTTTTCAGCCTGGCATTTATAAGAGAATGCAGAAAAAGGAGCAAGCCATTAGATCAGAATTTTGTCATAACAGAAAGGAGAGTAAACCAACTTATAATATAAAGAAGTGAACACTACCAAAGAGTTCGTTAAATCTGGCAGAACCTTTGTTCTGTTTGCAACTTTTTCAGGCAAAGTCATGGGCTTTCATGCAATGTGAATTTTTTTTCCATGGTTGGTGCAAAACCCTCTTTCATTTCTACATCAAGTGTAATGCATTGATTCCATCCTCACCTCCCAGGAGGAATTACTGAGGCTGTTACAAAATCAACACATGTACACATTACATGACATTTGACAGAGCAATTACTTATAGGATATTTCAGCTTTCATCACTCAGCAAAAGACAGGATTCAATCAATTCTGGCATATTTAACTGCAAATTCAGATTCTAGCACCCTAAAAAAAAGAGAATTGGACACATTCTGATTCCACAGCAGTTCTTTAATCAGGTTCATTTAATTTTTGAGAGACAATGGGGGTGGAAGGTGGAAGGGATAAGGAGCTGAAACATGAATTCCTATCTGCATGCATCACACCCTCAGCATTAAAGTAATGTCTTTACCTCTGTGACATAACCAGTGTTGTTGACAAATAGTTCAAATTCTTCATTACTTGTTTCATAAATGTCCATATAAAATGAATTTATTTTCACTTCTCTCGCCGGCCCTTCACCGTCCATTGGCAGAAATGGTTTGTTGGTACCCATGGCAAATTTACCTCCCTTGATTAAAACCATTTGATTCGTTCTTTGATAAGACGATTTCAAGTTGTCACTGTTCTCTATGTTTTCTTTCTGCGGTGTTAGTCCTTCGTCAATGGAAGCTTTATCTCGTTTGAGAATAGAACATCCACACGTCGTCTTTCCTTCGTTCGAAGAAATAATCTTAGCTCTGGAGTAAAACGAACTTAAACTGTAACCAAAACTTGAACAAGTTTCCTGACTGCTAAATACCGTTTGCACCACAATTTGTAGCCATATCAAAGCTTCTGTCCACATGTTGTTCTGAAAGGTCGAAACGAAAAAGTGAAAAAAAAAATTACGACAATGGTTCAATTTCGTTCAATTTGTAATTCAGAACATAAACATTTTGTTTTGGTCACATGCTTCTAAAGAAGCCTCAACGCTTGGTAACCATAAATATTTCCGAGCCGTCAGTTTGATTAAAAGCGGTATACTTTAACAGAAAACAAAATGGCGGCCAAAGTTGATGTAAGTTGAGTTACTATTATCGAGGGTTAGATCTTAGTCAAATTAAATGTTTTAAACCTCTTTTATTTTTTAAACAGGGTCTGAGAAATGCAATCGATCAAGCGACCCAGGCTGGGGAGGAATTTAGTAATGTCTACTACGAGACTTTGGACAAACGACGCCACGTGAGTTCTTCGTTAGTCAGTTCTACGACTTACCAAATGCTTCGGTATTCGTTCCCTAAATCCGTTGATGGGAGACTCGATTATGTCGTGATCTTCCCGGTTTATTTTGTTTTTGCAGCTTATGTCGAAACTATACTCAGAGAATACTACAATCGTCTGGAATGGAAATGTAGTTAAAGGTGGAAGTGCTAAGGTGACGGATTTTTTCAACAACCTTCCAGCTACGGAACACACGCTCCATTCACTGGATTGTCAACCAGTTTCAGGTACTAAGAGTGTTAAAACTGCAGATTATGGAGGCACTTGTTAAGATCTTATTATTCAAAATTATTTCAGTTCCACGTACCATGTTATTCCATCATTATTTCTGTCAGCAATAGTTTGAATCCGGGGTTGACATGTCATCTTGAAGTGTGATCGTCCGGTGAGTGAAGTCCTGATAAGGACCGTTGTCTGTAGTTGTGGCTGATGTTTAAATAACCTGAGCGGAATTCATCATCAACTGATGACTGACTGATGATCTGGTGATGATTTCCCCTAGGTTTGTCAAAACGTCAGTCACCACCAGCGACAACAGTCCTTCCCAGGACTGCTCTCGCCTGGACAATCAGACAACACAATTTCCATAATAATTCTTAAAATTTTCCAACAAATTATGGCCCTGCACTCTGTGGTTAACTGATTGAACCTTTAAACCCCTTAGATTGAATGACTAGTATCCCCTGAATCAATTATTAAACTATGAGAATAAAGGGTATGATTGCCAACTGAAGAGGCTTTGGTTGTTACCAAAAAATACAGAATGAGTGATTTAAGGTTGTAAAGGGTTAATGGTAAAGTAAGAATGGTCTGAAGCCATCCAAAAACAAATTCTTATTCCATTTGTTTGCTGTTGGACTATACTTTGATTAAATGACCTTGAATTGGTGATGCAAAGCAATTCTCTGAAAGGTTAGATATTTTTAGTCCTTCCTCTCGTGGCTTTTAGCTGAGTGGATCAATCCCTTCACTGAAGAATTTAAAAGGTGCAAATTCAACATCAGTTTTGAAATGTACTTCACAACATGAATCAGAGAAACACGTTAAATTCTAACTTAAAGATAATGGTCAGAGTTAGGAACACCAATTGAGGGGAAACAAACGATTTGAACACTTCTAGTTGTGGCCCTGGGGCTCAAAGCAGGTACCAGTACCTCAGCTTGCAATTCCAGGGCCCTCTCTACAAACCCTTTTTCACCATGCCTATGATTTACTTGTGTTTCTTTCTACAATCAGATCAAGCCATCCCTGGGCAAACAACAGTTCTCGTTGTGGTTGAGGGATTGGTTAAGTATGATGGGCACAAGATGCATCGGTTTTCTCAAAACTTTCTGTTGACTGCTGAGGGAGGAACTGTGTGGAAAGTGGCGAGTGACTGCTTCAGATTTATCCAGTGAAGGACTTGGTGGAATTCAACAACATTCTATTGAAGTTGTGCCAATATTTATTTGAATCATTGGTTTGACAGAGGCATGTACACTCTGTATAATGGTGTGCTGCATGTGGCCCCAATGCAAGAGATGAGATGTGAAATACATATACTCTAATAAAATGTCTGGGGAGTGGACTGCCACAAGTTGTCACTGCCCTCCATGCAGTAGACAGTAACACAAACCATCAAGATGTGGAGTGTGTGATCTTGTGCAAGAGATACAAAAAAACTAAACTTTCCATGCATAAAGCTGAATCACTGCTGAATAGAAAGAACCAATTGACAACTTTTTAATTTTTAAGACAAAGTCTTAAAAATTAAGGTGCCTCAATCAGAATGTACCATGAGACATATTTCTCTTTTCAAGTACATTACTCAATGATAAATCCATAACTTTACATGCTTTTCTTCTTCCAGAGTCAATACAAATGATTAACAAATTGGTCATTTTTAATACAATTATGTTCTATGCATGTCCGATGCCTAAGAACGTACTCTATGTAGGTGAAATATTTCTTCTTTCATTTAAACTGGTACCAGCTATTCCCATGTAAGATATTGACCGAAGTAAAAAAAATAAAAAACTACAAAAATTTTAACTTAATGTTGATGTAGTTCACTTGGAATAGCAAAGAGTGGCAATATTTTTGAAGAGCTTTACTTGTTCAGTAACTCCCGTGTTAACATTACTTATGAGGAGGCAAACTAGGAAAAGGAAGCTCTTGGAAATTTTTATCATCTAAAAGAAGCCTAAACTTAAACCTGATACTTGCACAATCTTGGTGCAATGTTCCAAACAAATTAGCTACAGCTTATGGAAGCACTGACACTGTAAACTGTTTGAGCTCACAATCAAGATGATAAAGAAAAATTTGATAAGCTACGAATGGCTAAGTATTGGAAAGAACACACTTATATATGACTCTCGTCTACATTGTGCTTTTTCAATCATCTCCACTGACTAAGACCTTGAACACATGCTGGACTGTGAACCACAGCAATTGTACACAGTGTGTGTTTGCTGTTTTTGTATGAAAATATATACAGTGCTTCAAATACATGCAATGAGAAAATGGAAGAGGTGCTTGAATTTAAACCTGAATGGCTTTTGATGCAACATCAAATTCCCTTTGTGTTTTAACAATAAATATGAGTTTTTTAGCATACAATTTAGAAGTCTATCAGTCGCAACATAACTTTACTCCATGCACCTCTCCAATTCATAAGAGTTTGACAACAGTGACCACCAGATCTTGAAAATGCATAAGAAATTTATTAACACATGCATTCTAAGAAGATCATGATACTACAACTCTGAGCAAACAGGGTAGTTAATAAAAACTACACAGCAATTTATTGATCTTAAGTGTTTGACTGTCTCAGTTAGACTGCCAAACACAATCTGCAAAATTGATGAATTATGCTGCAAATTTAGTAGCCAAAATGTTCTTCTAGTCACCAAGGCCACCAAAATAGTCACAGCTTGGAGCACTCTACAGTTTTCTATCTATATCTTGTCCACTTGTACCAATTTGAAAAGAAATTAGAAATAAGCCATTCTCATCCTCAAGCAACAAATAAAAGACAGCCTTTTTCTTCAGTTCTAAATGGTACAGAGTACATCAGTACAAAGATATGAAGTTTTTCCCAGTGTCAGATGATGGATACAAGAACTGCATGATGAACTCATTGTCCATGCAGTCTAACTGTCCCATTTTTTATATTCCATTCCATCTGGAGGTTTACAATCCACATGCCCTTTTCTGACTTCATCCCAGTTGGTACTCAAAACTGTTCCACCAGATTCAACAAACGACTTGTTCATTGCTTTCCGCACTTCCTCACTACCATCACCATAAATTTGTTGGAATAGCTGATTTAAAGCAGCTTCACCTTCAAGTTTTTCCTCTTTCTCCTCCTTGGCGATCTCTGCTGCAACTTTATCCCAATCTTTTCCAACATGCCGTGAAGTGGGATATTTATGCACTGCATCACCAGGGTCTTTTGTTTCATCTACAATAGACAAAGTACTTTACATCGTCAATGTCAACAGGAAACATATAAGAAGTTATTATTCCAATAACTTGCTTTAAACTTTGCAAGCAAACTATTGCCACTTTGGGAATGTTAGCCCTTTCCACCTTAACATCAGTGTTCATATTCTCCATACTGTTCTCTGTACATTTACTAAGGTGCTGACAAGGAGAATTTGTCTAACAATCAAGAGTTTCTTTAGCTGATCATTTAGTTTATTCTCATTGCATTAAAGTGTGATTCAGTAGTGATATTGTCAGGAGAAATTAGATGCTTGTCACTCATTGGGGTTAAAGGGTTCACAAGTCATGGTCTGCACAAGGCAACCCTATTAACTGTTGTGAAGTTTATATGAAATAATTCATATGTGTTATATATATGAATTATTTCATATAAACTTCACATCATTTCACTGCACGGGAAGATATGAACTCAATAAATTGACCTCGCTCCCAATGTGTGGCTTCATAGCTCAGTTGGTAGAGCATCGCACCGGTATCACGGAGGTCACGGGTTCGAATCCCGTTGAAGTCCTGATTTTTTTCAGGCTTCTTCTTTCCAATTGCTTAAATTGGAAAATTTACTGCGATGATCACATTTCACTTTCACCTATTAACTGTGTTGCTCATGCTGAAGAAAAACCAAGAACAATCGCAGCTAGAGGTAAAAAGTGCTGGGAGACTGGTTCTGCTACCTGATATTTATTTTGTACTGTGTTCATGGGCTAGACACATTATAAACTACAAATCCCTTCTTTTTGGCAAAGTCTGTCATGCTTGTCGAAAAAAATCAGTGAAAAAAAAAAGTGATTTGAGAGCACTTTAGGGAGTTCTTGGAGTGACTTCAATGTCCCGCAGGAGCTCCATGAGTGAGACACTCAAAAAGCCTACTTTTTGAGCTGTGGCAAATGCCACTGAGTTACCTGTACCTTCAATGTGCAAAAAGTTGACAGATGGTAAGGTACAGTTACTAGGTTAAGCTCCACAACCTAAAGGTATGTAAGTCAGTGTTGCACATACTTTTTGTTGGAAATGGTTTGCAGACAGTTTCATCAGCAGCCTCAAGAGATGACCATCTCATTCCCTCAGTTTTTTTCATCTTTAGTTCAACCTGTAAGGCAGTTCAAGCATCTTAAAAATAAAACAAAATAAAAATATTCCCTGGCTGTCCCCCCTGCATTCCCTTCCATGGACCTAAAAACTTAAAGTGGCAGCAAATTAATACTCAACCCACTCACAATAATCCTGAATTCTTCAAAATTCTGAATGTCAACCAGCCTTTTTTCAGGATTTGATCAACTTTCGTCTTGTTTTGCATACCCAAATATTTAAAACAAACTTTAGAACAAGTATGTACTGTAAGTATACATGGTCACCGCTTGACTGCGTTGAAAATTTTAAGCAAAGTTTTTTGTTTTTTTTTTTAACGCTAGTCTTTGCAAACTGTGACAATCCCACTGTACTGATGGTATGTCTTAGTTCATTAACTCTCTAACTTGTTTGGGAACATGAATTAGAAAAAGAAAAAATTGACAGTTTTTACCTTTGTCGACATGATTCTTGTTTTGCACTGTGCTGGATTGATTACATGAGCAAGATCCAGTTCTAAGCTGAAGTCACTGCCGCTTGGAAGCTTCACTGTAGCACTCAACTATAACAAATCAAATCCAGTGTTTCAACTAAGTGCTCTGACTGAAAGGTTTTATTACCAAGTAACAGCTATGGTGGGATGCAACAGTACATGTAGTGCACTGCAACTTATTCCCCCTTGCATTCTGTCTGATCATTCCAAGACAATTTAGCAGTGCTCATTATTCAGTGTTGTTCCCTATGCACTCCAAATGGGAGAATTCTCTAGCTTTTATGAAGAATTCTCCAACCAAATTTTTGTTGGTCTGAGCTATCTTTTGACTGAGACATAAAGCTGTTGTGTAAATGTGTATGTAGTGCATTCTCTTGTTTCTTTACAATACTTTCCTGCCTTAATGTCTCTACATGAAAGCCCTATCCACATGTATATGATTATGTGGTCATGGAGAGAAGCTTTTAAAGAGTAGAAAAAGATTCAAGAACACAACATCAAATTTTAGCTCATTTATCATTAGGCCAATGTGGCTACTAAAATTTCCTGTACTACATGTAATTTACATATCAATGAAGTTTTCTCTACAATTTACTAGAGGGTCAAATGAGGCCTTCAATTTTCCACCAGCAAGCTGATTTCTTGTCATCTTTTGTGATGTGTTGAGTAGAAATTCAAATAAACATGATTATTCAACTGATGATGTACAATACTCTCATTAAGAATTCATTTGCTGCAAATCTTTCATAGCTTCACTAGCAAAGAAACTAAATTAAATCAAGAGTAAAATAGCTTGAGAAGAAGAGTGATGTCTCTTACTGTTTTGTCACCATATTCCACATTCACATTCTCCTGTTTTACATTCTTGATCATCAAAGTTACAATAACGTGTGTTTCTGTTTGATACCAATCATATCTAAAACAAAATAATGTCAGTGAGATCCATTAGTAGAAAATGAATTAATATTAATTTGAAACAAATTTATTTTGTAATTTCACACTTGAATTAATGATTGAATTCACTTATTTTGAACCTACTTTCAGGTATTAATTAATCAGGGATTATTCCACCACCACAATGAATTGATTTTTATTTAACCTATGAGCTGACTCCCAATTTTGCACTCCTCCGCAAGTAGCAAAGCTCATAAGATTCGAAGGAACAAGAGATCTGTAAGAAGTCTGGTACTGAAAAGTGAGAGCCTGCAAGATTACTTTTGTTTCCAAATACAGTATTCTAATTGGTCAAAAATTGTAGGTCCTATTATTACCATGCAGAACAGGAAGTTATTGACAATCGAACCCAAACATGGTTTTCGTTAACCCAAATGTTGGATACCTGAACTTCAACAACTTACCTCGGTTTTGAAACTGTGTTCTGTTGCTGAGGTTGTTCTTGATTAGATTGCCCGTCAATGGCAGCCAAAACTGATGAAGGCTGTCCTGTCACAGACGCTGCATGACCATCAGAAGCTGCAGGCTTGACAACTGGAGGCTGTTGGTTAGCTTTGCCTGCTGTCTCAGCCTTTTTGTGATTGTCATCTTTTTGTATCAGTTGTGAATCTTCCCCTCTAGCCATGCCCACCATAACCTAAAATGTACAGTTTAAATATAACAGATTCCAATGCAAATAGACAAATTAATAGACAAAAAATAGACAAGTGAAACTATGAGTATGGTGAACTTAGGGGTATACAGTATAGAACTACCAGTAATTAAACTACTATTCCAAGAAACAGAAAAATATGTCCTTTCATTATTTTCATTGGCCTTTTCAACATTTAGATCAAGTGTAAAGACTTGCTTTGATTTACAGTAAAATGGTTTGTACCCAGGAGTAACATGTGGTACATTTGAACTGACAACAACTATTCACTTAACTCTGATGACTTCCACTCAGGTTGTCAAAATGTCAGTCAGCACTACCAACAACAGTCCTTCTCAGGACTACACTCAACAAGACAATCAGACTATACTATCACTTGTACTGATTTCTTGCCATTTCTTTGCGTCAATAAGTCTTTGGTTAATTCAGTTACATGTGGGTAAAATATAAATAATGCCAGTACATGTAGAAAGAATATTGATATCAATTTCTCTATGATGTTTTAACCTGTGTTCTTCATTGCAAGATTATGTACCATACCGTATCAGGAGAGTTTTCATCCTGTTTTGCTTCATTTTCTGCCACTAATTAAACAATAAAAAACAAAGTGTGTCTTTATTTAGACAGTAAAGTAAAAAAAAGCATTAAAATCTTCAATTCTGCCACCACTCAGTTCAGATCATATGTCCACACTCGAAATTCTAATGACTCACACCCTCCAGAACTCAAATCTTGGGCTTACTCGAACTAAAAATCAATTTCTTCTCAATTTCTGTCATACATTTCAGTGCAATTTACCCTCATTAACTCAAACCCTCCATGACTCAAAGCTCCCCCAGCTTAAGGAAGTTTTTTTCATTTCCCTTCCCATCACTCTCTCTATAATTTTGCCTTAGAACCACATTCATAAAAATTAATATGTGACAAATTGAAGCAAACAGTTAGGTTTAATTCTGATTTCTACAGTAATTTATAGTTCTATTTTTCTCTCAACTTTTCTTTTATTAAATGTGATTTAAATCTACATTGTTGTGTATTATTTTTGGTCCTTTGTTTTCCTCTTGCTCAACTTGAACTCCCAATATCTTGATCATTTTTCCATTTTCCCTTAAGGTTAAAGTTGGTGTAATAATGATGATAATAAATTATGAGACATGATGAACATAACTATCATTTGATATAAACTTACAGTCCAATTCAGCATCACACTTTCTAATCCACATTTTTAGCTCTTTGTTTTCGTCTGCAAACAAGTGACAGAAACAGAGTCATTGTGGTTTTGAAGTATATCAACACTTCTTTGATTAAAAACATACTGTATGTTTATTTAAGAAGTGAAACAAGTTCATTTGGCTTACTGTCAAGTTTTAATGCATCTGAAAAAGCCTCTCTGGCAGCTCTGAAATCCTCAAGGTGAAACAGCGCCACTCTGAGAATTAACAACAGTAATAAATTGGGTGATCACAATATAATTATTTTTATCTAATTTCAATTTTTTATGTGTTTTAGTCATAATGAGGATCAAAAACATCAACTTAAAACATTCATAATTTTTGGACAATGTCAGCAATAGAGATGCATAAACACCTATCAAATAAGATCATTTTTCAATATAACAAATTGAATTGAATTCAACAAGTCATTGTGTCATGACAGTTTGCCTTCTTTCTAGAGCTCAAAACAAACTTTATAATAAATACTTTATTGAACAAGCTTGTTAAGTCAAGAGGGCTATATGTTAGTCTTGTTCCCTTTTTCGCCTTTTAATGGATCTTGACTCCAACTTGGTCCATAAAAATGCACCAGAAGAACTTGACAAAAATGCAGCCATCATGACTTTACGCTTGGTGAATGGTGCATACATGTAACTATGTATTACACAATTTAGGTGCAGTACTAAAAGGGCTAATTTCAAGTGGTGCCAAATGAGATCTGTCCTTACCCTTTCCGTGTGTGTGCCTTAGAGTTGTCTGGTTGTAGACTTGCTGCTGAAGATGCATCTGTTGCTGCAGCTGTATATAATATTGAAAATAATATTGAAAAAAAAAAAGAATTTATTCTAACTTCAAAATCTAAGATACTCAGGTTATACAAGCAATGTATTTGTTGTAGTTCAAAATGATTTTCAGGTCAGAATAAATTCAATCTTGTTTGACAGGTTCATGTAGGTTCATTTGTTAATGATTACTGTAATATATCGTTGACAAAAGAAAGTGCAGATTGATCTGGTTCGAAGTATTTTCTTTGACCTGAAAAAAATTTAAACCATAACCCATACTTGTCTGGTGATTTTTAGTTTGTAACAGGTACAGTAAAAATTCCTTATCAACTATGAAGGCTGGAACTACTCACATGGCAATAGCTTGTCCTGATAGAGTGTCTATAATATAAAGCATCTAAAATTATTGTCACCCCTCCTAGAGAGTATACTCAGGTATACTGTATTCTAAGGCCATCTATGAGAAAGGGGGAAGGAGCAGCCATGTCACAGCCTTTAGAGTGCCATTATTCCTCAAACCAACCAATTAACAGCTGTTTTGAGGAAAATTGTCTTACAATCCCAGAAGACCTGCGATTGCAGCTGTCAGAGTTTGACACAAGCAGTTCTATGTGCTTGGAGTCCATCCTGTGTCAAATTAAATGATTGCCCATGTTACCTTGGTAGTTATCAAGCTTCATAAACGCTGCTGCCCTCTTCAAATAGCAGTCAGCATCATATGCATTCAGCTCTATAGCCTCTGAGTATTTCTGCAAACGTAAACACATTTTAGATCAATTCGTGATCAACAATTACTGAGTAAGAGGGAAAGGAAAGAAGATATGTGTTACAAAGCAAGAGCCTTGTCTCGATAAAGTTTATTTTCAATCTTAGTTTAGAATAAAATGGAGTGTGGAGGTACAAACGAAACGACTGAAAGTAAAATTGCTTGCAGGGTCGCAAGTCAAATTTTTTAACTTGAGTTTGAAACGATGAAAACCACATAATTACCTTAACAGCGAGTTCAAAATCATCATCAACAAAAGCATCGTTGCCTTCTCTAAAATAACGCAAGAGAAGTTAGAACGTCACCACCATAAGTAAAGCGACAACTTATGCGAGGGTCACCTCTCTTACCTTACAAGGTCGTTAGCCGCCATCTTGGTTTTGGTTTTGTGCAGCCTAGCCTTCAAACAAGAAGGCTAGGCTACACAAGCCTACTGCAAGCCGACAGCGACACAGGCTTGAGCTAGGCCTGACTAAGGCCTAACCTCATTTGACCTCTTAGGGCTCGAGAGAGGCTAGGAAGGCCAAAAAGTTGCCAAAAAAATTGCAAAAAATCCAAAAATTTCCAGCTTAAATTTCAAAAGTTGCTACTTAAATTTGCCATCTATATGTTTATATAATCGTTAATAAAAAGCTTTATTTGTTTTCTTCACAATATGTGCTAACATCGGTTAAGACAGGAGCCATTAAGTAATGGGCTCCTAGTTAGGAATAATAGCTGGAAACTTAGCTTTAAAGAGTTGCTCGCAGATATGATTAAAATTTAAGGATGCTAAAAGTCTAACAGAACAAAACACATGGTTCATTTGACGTTTTGCCGAACGTCATTTTAGCCAATGATCCGTCATAATATTTGAAAGAAATCGCAATAGGCCTGCGATACGTTTTTAAGTGACACGTTATGTGTTAGTTTTTCATAAAATCGTTGACTTTTTCAGGCTTAATATGTGCTCTAGATCTAAAGTTACTCTAAACGCCAAAAGTTGCTGAAAAGTTGCCGAGCACAAACGTGACAGGCCTATTGGCCAGGGAATACAACAGTCTCAGGAGCCCATTACGTAATGGGCTCCGGACAGTCTATATTCTCTTGCAAGTTGTTAATGCAAGATCATGAGTTGCTCAAAATACCAGTAGAATTAAATTAAATTTATTCTCATTGAAAATGCTCGTTTTACGAAAAGTTATACTAAAAGTGGTCTTTAAACAAAAAATTGATCCATTGCCCTGATCCATATTATAATTATTCAGTCATTATCTGTCCTCTGGGGGGGGGGGAGGTTTTGGAGGTATCACACGGTTTTTAATATAACAGAGGAAGGATTAGTAGTGTCCAACAGAGCGTAAAGAGGGGGAGGGGGAGGGAATGTAGAAAAGTGACATCATGATTAACTTGTCAACGATGGGGTAGAGGGATCATAACAATATTAAAGAGCCTTATGGAGGGGGGGCCGGGGGAAATCAGGCCACAAGCAAAATCCTCAAACGCAATTCCTTTCCTTTAATACCTCGGGAGCAAGTTTAGAAGCAGAAACAAACTGCTCGAATACTAAGATTCTTTAAAGTAAAATTGCTTCCAAAACCAGCTCAGGTGATCGTTTATTCCATTGTATTCCGTTAAATAAACAGTTCATTTTGGTCACTATGGGTATGGAACTAAATTGGAATTAATTTATTGTTTTCCTTGTTTTGTTTTGTATTTTGTTTCGTGTCTTTTGTTGTTTTCTTTTGTTTGGTATGCGATTAGTTTTATACTAATTAATAATGAATATTTGTTCCATTTTCAAAGTTCCACTCCCTACCGATTTGTCGAATAAGTATTTTAGGTTTATTTTACGGTTGGATCCTAGGCGCTGGTGTGTAGAACAAGCACAAAGCCCGTTGCGCACTAACTTTATTGAACTCTATTTTTAACTAGCTCACTTGAACTACACAAAACCTTAATTTCGGCTTTTTTTATCAAAAAACGGCTGCATCGATTTTAAATTTGAAATGGTTTTGTGGTGTCTGAATACACTGCGATATCTAAAGTGCGGTGGGCACTATATGTCCAGCCAAGTACAGTACTAAATTACCCATTGAACAAAGAGAATACAGTGCACCTTTTTTTCTTTCATCAAGCAAGCATACTTAATAATGAGCTTTCAAAAAAAAAAGAAAGAAAAAACATGTAGATGTTAGTCTAAACATTGTGCTTATCAGCATCTCTCTTTATGTAAATGCCTCTAATTAGCACAAGAAGAGCAGAATTTATCATAAAACCCACTTTCTCCATTTCAACAACAAACTGTCTCCCACAGTGTGTTCAAGCTTTAAAAACAAAATTGTTTACAAATTGCAGTATGATATGTGTATCAGGCCCTTCTGTTCCACACTCGTAAACAGGTAATTTCGTCCAAGTCGAGCTAAGACAAGACTGTCAAAACCAAACGCACACACGTTAATGCACATTTTTTTTTGGTCATTAACTTCGCAAGAAAGGCCGAAATCGATAACACAGTGAGTGATGCAACGGGAAGTTTGTAGTTGTGACATTAAGAAATTAACTCCACGTCACCGTGCCTCTGTTTAAGAGTAGATCACATGTGACGAAAAAATGCGCGTACGGGGCGCAGCCGTGTGAACACAGTGATCAAACGTTTGTGCAAGTATAAAATGACTAGTGGCGCGCTTTCAGGCTGTCAAATCAAGGTAGTCACCGTAAAGAGTTTAAAGGCTGACGTTTCGAGCGTCAGAGCGATTGACGAGGGGCTAACGCTCAAAACGTCAGCCTTTAAACTCTTGACGGTGGCCAATTCACGTTTGATAACACTAAATTACCCTGTTATACTCTCCTACCGACGCAGCACTAAAGTTTCTTTTGAATTCGAATCTTACCCCCCTTGTATTCATCAGTCTCGCACGAGTTACAAACAACTACACATCTGGGAAGTCATGATTTTTTAAGATAAACTCGTTGTATTCGAAAAGTCTAGAGTTTTCTTTTTAACTGCTTTTGTTCCCTTCTTAGAGGATCTTCGTGGAGTGATGGCATTTACGACTAACAGTTAAAATGTTGGCTATTTTACGGCTAATATCCAACTTTCCTCCTTTATGATTAAAGGAAAAACGCTTAAAGGGTTTTTTTTAAGGTGGTTGAAACTTCTCAACCCCATTGAGATCCTCCTTTAAAAGTTTTGTTTCAATTTACTTTCGCCTATTTTACTGGGCAGAAAATTTCCGGTGAAATTTTTCGCGCGAACTTGGTGAACGACCGACAAAGATGGATCTTCTCACGCATGCCTGGAGTTTGACTGCTGTGTTAGCAGAGCCTTTGTCACTGATTTTCTCTACATAGATAGTCAGTTTGAAGAGTCAGAGATTGCTTGAATTCAAAGCTTAGTTATTGAACGATTATACATTTCACGCATGTAAAACAAATCAAGTATTGCCAGAGTACTACAGTTACCGTCAAATAATTAAGTCATTTTGATTAGTATAAGATCAACGTATCGCAAATACTCCAATCACGTTAAAAAATATATTTCCCATTTATTAAACCATATTCTTCATTTATTTATCTAATTTCGTTTTTTTTGTTTTTATATGATACTTCATACCGTGGTATCTGAAAATAAAACGTTAAAACAGGTTTTACAATTTGCCAATTTGACGCTGCAGTTTAATTCAACGTCATCCAACCTCAGGAATTTATGACTTTATATCTGAATTTTTATTCTTAACTCATTATTTTGACTATGCGTGAAGAGAAAGCTTCCCTCTAGCATGAAACTAGACACCAAGAACAAAGTGAATTGAACTATTGAAATGTTATCCTTCAGTACGCGCATGCGCGAAATGCTGACTACGAACTTTTTCCTATACAAACTTATCCCATATGAGTTACACTGATTTTTTTCGGTTTTGACATAAATATACCTTAAAGGGGCTCATTTAAAGTATTCTGAGTAAAATCCCTGGAAAAAATTTCTACAAAACTAGTCGGGTATTTGTA